GAGCATCGCCATTCTGGAGACGGACTTTGGCTGAAACCGCCGAGGAGACCGGAACGGCAGAGGAAGATTGGTATTGGACGCCATCCCTCTTCGCATGCCCATACGAGAAATCTGATGGGCTGGTCATTTTGCTCAATATCATCCACTCGAAATTCCACTTGGTACCCAAGAGACCATCCCTCTCGGAGATGTACAGTTCCCTTTGCCTCGCCAGCATGTATGAAATGGAACAAGTTCTGCAGCCATGGATCGGGCACTGGTATGACGTTATCGATAGCTTGGAATCCGCGAGAGATGGGCACAGCCTCGCCATGCTAGCATGCATCGCGTGGGGGCTGGGTGATGAGAGACTTTACGTCAGAACGCTCACCGATATCACCCTCACATGTGTGGTGCACGAAGACGGGCACATTATGACTACCGATGGAGTTCGCTTGGACGATTATCTTCATGATGCGTTAGGCTCTCCAGTGATTTCAGGTATGAGCGAAACTGTTATCTCAGATTAGATTCCTGACATACTGACCTTCGGCAAGAAAACATCCGCTTAATGCGCAACCAATTAGCATCAGAGTTACCAGCACACATCAACCAACTCATCAAGCGCCTGATTGAGGGTAAATGGATGTGCGCAGGGATATCTGACATACCGATAACCAAAAACAAGAAGTGCGACTATGTTGTGCTGGGAAGCTTGTTCGCGGGTTTGATTTACGTTCGAGGCTCCAAGGCAACAGAGCTTCAAATGAGGCAGGATGAAAGTATTGCAGACCTGCTCAAGTCAGTGAAGCGGGTCTTGTCGTACGTGTCTTGCTACGAAAAGCATACAGAATGCAATCCGGCGGAGAAGATCGCCGACGCCATGAAGGAAACAGTTGAAGACTTAGACACATCGTTAAGCGTGGGCATACTCGAGCGAATGCGGGAACAGCGACAAAAAGCAGGTCTAGAAGCACAGACTTCTGAGGAAGACAAGGGATGAGTTATCGTCAAGTCATGGCATGCATGGACCACGTGGAAATCAAAAGTTTTGGTGTTGTTACGAGTCAAACAGTGCTGAAAGCAGTGATTTGGTGGAGCGCGTGTCAATATGCGAAATGAGGAATGTGATCTTTGCTTTCGGCAACTAACCAGAACTGGCCTCTCAACACGAATTGGGACAACTGGGCAGCATGTTTAATCAGTCACCTGATTAAGCTTAACGTGACTGTCGACTACACATCGTATGTGCCGCGTCTTCTCATCAACTTAGCTTTCGGTCAAACAAGAGTTGCCCGACTTGTCCGAAGCCGCAACGGGGCGCGGAAAGTCCCTCATCGTGCCCAATCAGCGCTGATCTCGCTTACGATACAGCGCAGCATCGACATCCACTTGAGCTGGCTATGAACAGCATAGCTTCAAGATCCGGCTGTGTGTTCTAGTTGGTTAAGATTTCTCGTTCACATCATGTGTACCTGATCCGAGAAGGTCCCAGGTTCGAGCCCTGGCACGGTCAGATTACTTTTTAATGTTTTTGACGACGAGCATTCATTTCGAGAGACGCGTTCCAGAGGCGATTGGCGGTGTCTTCTTTTTGGACCCAGGTTGACAGGACAAGAGCAATTGAATGACAAACGAAATACCATGGCTTCTTTCGCGTACCAGGCTTATGACAGGCCTTTTGAGCAAGTCCTTTGGGTGGTTTGCTGGCTCGCCCCGGAGCGGCAATCTCGGTCGCCGGCGACCGGCCGGTTCGGCACTTTAGCGCCGCCCACTCGGTGCCCCTTCGCTAAGCCCCCTTTATTTCAGTGTGACGGCTACCCGCCGGGCTAAGCTTTGGATCGGGGGATTGTCCACCAGTAGTCGTCTTTGAAGCGGCGAGGTGCATCTGGAATGCAGACCGGTTGACGCGGCAGTTGATCTCGCAGGAAAACCGATCATCGCGTTTCAGACACAGCGCAACGCATTCGAGAACGCGATTTGGCTGGACGGCTGTCGCGGCCGTATCGATGGGCTCTGCAGCCATTATTGCAGCTGTTTCCCGGCGCGCGGAGCAAAACAAGCCGTAAGGCGTGCTTGGCGCGTGGACCGCATCCTGGTAATCTGGGGGAGGTTCGCCGGCGGGCTGGCCAGACCTATCTTGGCGCGGCATTGTGAGCGATTGCCGGCATAGGTGTCTGCGCCTTGCTGCAAGGGATACATCAGGGGCAAACGATCCGGTGGGGAAGCAGAGGCTCTTCGTGAATGGTGAGCATCACGGGGCTGGCCGACGGAGATGACTTCGATTCTTGAGTCTAGCGCCAAATTGATTTTTACTGAATACGGCGTCTCGAGAGCGATCGAGTTGCTTGGGGAGAAAAGTGTCCGTCGGAGTGTTCAGTCATCGACTGCGAAGACAAATTTGATGGCGTCCCCTAGCAATGACGTTGTCTTGCTGAATTTTGCAGGACGATGTTATGTGCCATTGAGCAAAAGCAAAGATAATCGGTAGGGGCGGATTGACATAAAGTAGCAGTGGATGTGGCAATGGTCTATCCAGCACACGGAGTTAGCTTCATATATATTCTGTGGGGAAATATTGGTGAAGCCGCAGGGAACAACACGGCAACATCGGCTAGCCATGGGAACTCCCTAGCCTCCTTTTCAGGCTCTTCTGATCTCGAGAGAAGACGAAATGTTTTTCGAGGCCGAACCATGGAACGCCCTGGGAACAAACGATTTTCCCCCTCCCCGAACACGGGATTCCGCAACCGACATTCGATATCGGCTTTCCAATGTATTGATTGGGGGGTTATTAATGCCGTCCAAAATCGGGTGAACACGAGTTAAAGCTCAATTTCGACGGTCGCAAACCTTCTGCTTTTGGGTGTGTTGTGGCCGGGATGACACGGCTTTGAGTTCTCCCCTAGAGCCCTTTTGGCCGGCGCAACACCACATTTACTTGACAAGAACGTAACGGGCAGATTAACCAGCCCACTTACCCCATTGGTGGAGTCATCTAGAGCGCCGCGTGGTGGGCAGCGTTGGACGTCGGTAACCCGAGGTCTTGTTAAGGTGAAACTGCCCCTGATTCTTTTCGCACCCAGCGGCGCACCCGCTAAGCCCGCAACAAGCTTTCCGTCCGATGCTTAGCTCCGGCATCCCGGTTGACACGGGGCCCAGCGTCGACAGACGCTCACCTTGTGGCCGGACACTAACGTCACATCTGGCATTCGTCACCGTAATTGGAGGGACCAGTCTTCGTTCTGGAAGGAAAATGTTTGCCAGACCCTGACGTTCGTTAGCATGTTGTGAGTATATCAACTGCCGCCCTCCCGCCGTTGGAGCTGATCTTGGCATCCGATCGTTGGTCCATCCTCCTCACAAACCACACGTTCTCTTCTTGCACACACATTCGCTTCAGTTCAACTAGTCATTCTTTGCAGAATTCCATTCACGATGCAGCTGTCTTCTTACCTCGTCTCGGCCATCATGGCCGCCACCGCCGTGGCCAGCCCCACGCCCACCATCGAGAAGCGCGCCACCACTTGGTGCGACTCCTTCGGCTCCCTTGCCACCGGCGCCTACACCGTCTACCACAACAACTGGGGTGCTGCCCAGGCCACCTCCGGCTCTCAGTGCACCACCTTCAACTCCCTGAGCTCCGGCTCCGTCTCTTGGTCTACCTCTTGGACCTGGGCTGGCGGTCAGGGCCAGGTCAAGTCCTACTCCAACGTTGCTCTGGAGAAGGTCAACAAGCAGCTCTCTGCCATCAAGTCCATCCCCTCCAAGTGGACCTGGAGGTTAGTTTTCCCCTTAAAACATCCCTTAGCATCAACTTACTGACTTGCACTCACCAGCTACACTGGCTCCAACCTCGTCGCTGATGTCGCCTACGACCTGTGGCTCGCCCCCTCCGTCGGCGCCAACAACAAGTACGAGATCATGATCTGGCTCGGCTCCTACGGCGGTGCCGGCCCCATCTCCAGCACGGGATCCAAGATCGCCTCCCCCAAGATCGCCGGTACCACCTGGAGCCTCTTCTCCGGCCCCAACGGCGACACCACCGTCTTCTCCTTCGTTGCCCCCAGCAACATCGCCAGCTTCAACGGCGACTTGAAGGGCTTCTTCGACTACCTCGTCTCCAGCCAGGGTGTCGCCAACACCAACGTCGTCACCTCCCTCCAGGCCGGTACCGAGCCCTTCTCCGGCACCAACGCCGTCTTCAAGACCTCCGCCATCTCCATCTCTGTCTCCTAAATGGTCCCTGGGTGACTGTTGAATCGATCCAATCGAGTTCGATCTTGAGTCCAGAGTTTGATTATGGCGAGTATTTAGCATAAAAGCCTTTTCGACACGTACATATTCTTGCTTCCCGTACATAATACAATACCAGAACCCTAGTTGGTCTGCCACAATTAGCTTGATCTCTCCCAAGTGACTCTCAGTAGTAGACTGATCATGGCCATTAAGCGTCCGAATGAGCCAACTTCCTGCGATGTGCTTGACAGTGATCACACGTCTGAAGTACCAAAACCATAGGCAGTAACCTCATTCGCGAGGAATCTAGGCTTTACCCTGCATCATCGTGCGTTCGGGCGTTCCATGAACGTTGTGCGTCCTAGGTGATTGTCCAACACAATGCAACACCTAGATGTTGATAAGATGGTACCTCTTGGAGGGTCTGCTGAATTAATTTAGAAACGGAACCACTCAAGTAATGGGAGTTACAAACATTACCTCTAGACGAATCTCATCAAAACAATGGAATTCGTCAATCACATCGAGCAGGTGGTAATCCCCCATTCGTTACCAAATCACAGGCCATACTTTTCACTGGTAGGGTTGGCCTGACATGCAGAGCTCTCCCTGGTTGATCAAGGTAGCCCATTCCTGAAGTAACGGCCACGGCACGCGGTGAATCTCCCCAATATGAGCACACAATCGCAGGGGAATCATGATGGAGCCAGATGCCCGGTATGTACTATTGGATTGAAATATGTACGTCAAGAAATATGATGATCATGCCAGTGACCGCTGCTTTACTCAGCCTTCTGGGCCGGGATGTTGAGAGTAGCAATGTTCCATGTCTTGCCGCCGTCTGAGGTGGTCATGGCACCACCGGTGGCACCGTGCTCCCAGCTTCCACTGTGTCCGAAGCTCTTATCGGCCTCGCTGAGCACAATAGAAACATCCTTCCAGGCTATGAATGAGTTAGCTTCGGGCTCTGGTTGACGTGATGAGTGAGACATACTGTGGGCAGGGTGATTCGCGCAGCCGCCGCTGGCGCACTCGATTGAGATGTAGAAGATGTTTCCGTGCTGTCCCTTGCCTGTGCAGATGCAATTAGCATTGGGCGGAGTCAAAGGTTAGTCTTGTGTCGGAAGGACGTACTGGTGTTCACGGTGGAAACAAGCTTGCCGTCGACATAGACGTTCTGGTCCCAGAGCTGGGTCGACGAGTTCAGTTTGTCTATGGTCGTGGTGAGTCTCGACATGCCGACAAGAAAGAGGGGCCTCGCTTACAGTGAGTTCTAACAGTCGATCCTGCGGAAGCTTTCACGGGGGTGCCAACGGTGGGGTTTGAGCCTAGTCACGGATCAGCGCCGGTCGATCAAGTGCCGCATTCGCGAGCAGCTTCAGATAGTGATACGCACCGACCAGGGTGTACGCGAAGTTGCACCAGTTCTTTCCTCCATCTTCGCAGTAAGATCTAACATGGATGGTCAGCGATGCACCAAAAATTCGTTAACGTTGATTGCGCCATACCCGCTCGGAGAGTTTGAGGTAACGCCCTGGAGGAAGGAAGCCTCGTTCTGCATCATGATGGCGCTCCAGATGGCGACATCTCCGGAGATGGCGCTGGGCAGCTCGGGAAGGACGAGAGTTGCGGTCGCCTCTTGGATGTAAGCGTTGCCGTTGGTGAACAGGGTGACGATGTCGGAGTTTGCCTGGGCAAGGCTGGCGAGTGCAGCAATCATGCCGCCAACCGTTGCTTGGATTCCCTTCATGGTGCCGGAAATAGACTGGATGCGATTTGGAAAAGACTGTTTGGGGGTTGGTGTCGAAGAGTCTATTGAGCGACGCTAAACAAACACAAAGAGGATAAGCATAACCTTATATGATCGTGGCTGATCTCTTGATCCCGCGCAAATACACAATCGAGGGGACATTGCGTCTGGAACTTTTCCGTGTGGGAGGCATGTTGGTCTCTATTCGAAACTTCGATTGTGGTCATTGGAACGTGCGCTATCGTGTCTGAGGAACTTTTGACTCCGCAATATACTACTTTCATGATCGTTCCAGTTGCATGGTAATTATCCCGTCGGACCACAGCCGTTCGGATGAATCGCTGACTCGATGCGATTGGAGGAATCTCCTGCAAGAGCGGGGCTCAGGGGATAATGTGCGGAAGGTCTGGGGGCCTATCCACTCTTTACGCGGCGCAGAGTCTCATTCGTTTACGTACAGTAACCTTCTTTACGCATCATAAAATGGCAACTCCCGCCGGCTCAGATTCGTCTACAGGGCGCGTATTGCTTTACGAGATTGCTTGGCTGACTGAACGACTTTCTGTCCATCGGATACGCCCTACGGTCGCTGCCTGGAGACGCCATATCCATTTGATGGACCACTCCGGCTGTGCGACAACGGACCCGCCCCCTTTACGATCTGAGCCCCGGATTGCTCCGGACGCGATGTACTGGGCTAGAGTGAGCTGTTGCCCCTTTCGTAAGCGGCGCAATGATATAGTCAGTCCAGCGCGAGCATCTATTCTCACCAAGTTTGTGATCGAATCATTGCTTTTTGTCCCCAGACGCTCACGGTGGGAAATTTGGACGCCGAGTCGCGACTAGAGATTAAGGGATTACGCGAGATATTGACCCCATTCTCATCAATCTCAAGCGGAAGTTTGTTCACACAGTTGCGAAAAGGACTGCTTTCCCTTTTGCACTTTCTTAAGGTACCTAGGTCTGCAAGATTGCTCTCCCAGCCGCAACCTCGCGCCTTCAACCCGCTTGAAACATGAATGTCAAATCAACCGCTGAACTATGACGACAGTAGTCAACACACAAGCTTCATATAAACCACATAGTTGTTCGCGCATATTCTACATATTCCCCATGGACAAGCCCGCTATTTAACCGCCGCTAGATGCCAACTCGAAAAGATAAGAAATGCTAGGAGTGTCAAAACTCATCGCAGTAGAGTCAATATTCGACAGCACCATGCTGGGGCTATCTGCCAGGTCCAGGCCTTGATCTCCATCAAGTTCTAGCGGAACTGAAAAGGGTGTCTCTGACGGGAGGACAAGTGTCGGACTCGGCACAGAGAGATTCGAATCGCGGCACATGGAACCATAGTCGATCATGGACCATAGAGCCGCCTCCAGTTCTGGTCCCAGATCAGGGGATTTGTGAGCATTGAATAGTGACGTGAACAGATGGGCGTGGCTGTTGAAAGCTAAAAGCCGTCGATGCTGCCAAGCAACGTCAGCAAGACTCCCAAGATCAACGTATTTGGGGATCAGGTCGACTTACCATCTTGGAAGCATGGTCCCAGAATTGACCCATCTTCTCGAGGATGCTCAAGCTTTCCTGGGTGGCGCGAAGCATTTCCGCCGATCGCTGGCCTCCATGGTGTTTCTCGGCGTGCATGTTGAGTGACAAAGTACTGCCAGCTAGGCACGCAGAGTAGGCGTAGAATGAGGCACCGAGATGGCACCCGGCTGCTGCTGCATCATGCAGGACGTTGATTAGACTCCGTGCGTGGTCGTAACTTCTTTGGAAAGCAAGTAAGAGAAAGCTTGAGGGAGCCTGGCCATTCCGCCCACGTAGCCGTCTGCGTAACAGGAATGGGTGGTTTAGGAGACAGTGGCAGAGGTGGAACACCGCACGCGCAAATATGACGTGCCCCACAACTTGATGGTCGATGGATCCTTCTTCTGTCCTGTTCGTTTCAACGATAGAGTCGATAGAGATCTGGTCCATCTGAAGACGAGACTCGACTAGAAGCAGGATGGAATTGATGGAGGCGTACTCCGACCTCGAGTCCCACGGTGGAACACCATCCACTTCGCGGTCGTGGAGAACGTTTCGTGTACACCGCCCCAGAGCAGAGCCGGCTAAGATCGCGATGGGAAAGTTTCCGCGAGCTGAAGAAGGATCTGTGTTCCAGTCATGCAGCTGGTGCAGAGTCACATTCCTTTCCAACCCGCCATTACGGAACGTGGGCTCGTCGCATGGTAGCCGGACACTGCAGTCTTCGTCTGAGATAGCGAGATGACGGTCTTTGCCGCAAGAAACGAGTTTGTCGAGGAGGTATATCGACCAAAAGCACCTCCGTCTTTCTTCCTGTTCAATGATTGATAGCGTTTCACTAGGCTCTCGCATCAACTGAAGGTCCTGTGCAATGCGGATGGCGAGGCCAATCTTTAACCACCCGGAGCTGGTTCGTCCCGCTAAAGTTGGAATTAGCTGGCCGGTCCCACATGTTAAGAGATTAACTCACAGGTAAAATCAATGATAGCTAAGATGTTTGTCGCCTGAGCAACGTGCAAATCAGGTGAATCCTCTGCTGTCATATGATCAGTGAGCACCGACAGCCAGGCTTCCCTCGCGTAAGCTTCGGTTGCCTTAGCCCTTACTCCAGCGTAAAACTCATGATCCGAAAACCTCATGGATGACGCCAGAGCCGCGAGCACGACGCATTTTGGAAGGGAATTCTCGGCCAGCTTTTGCCGAAAAGTTTCTTCATGGAAGTAGCCGTAGGGTTGGTTATTGCAGTGCGTGAAATATGTGTCGATCAAGGACTGCATTACATCATCCGGGGGCAGCTTGCTCAGGTCCCTACAATGTAGTTCAACAGAGATGTCCCACAGGACCGGCTTTAAATAGCTCAAAGAATACTTACACATCATTTATAGGGGCGTCCCGAGAGCTTCCGCTTGGAGATATTGACACCTGGTCTTCCAGGTTGAAGATGTCTGCCGCGTCATCGTTTGGAAACTGTGGTTCAGCTTCAAAAGTTGTTTCGGTGCCGGCGAATGTGCTAGAATAAGTATATGAGTGCCATGATCTCTTTGTACAGTGAGCCTGAATGGAGATGAGGCCCTACCATGACTCCTTTGGTGGCTGACCACTGAGTTCTGCCAACTTGGTCTCGATCGCAGAAATTCGCTGGAAAAGCGCAGACTGTAACGCAATTAGTCCAAGTAGACTAAAGATATAGAGAACGTTTCATTCCAACATTATTCATCATCTCCAAGAACGCTGCTGATGCGCTTCCAGATAGAGCAGACGACGTCGCCGAGAATGGTTCATAAGAACACCGTTGCATGCTGCGTCGACAATTACCACATCTTGGCTTGTCTCCAGAGCATTTAATCTTCTTCTGCCTGTGAAGAGAAAAATGATCATTAGCAAGTTTGGTCCCAGTTCAATGACTACCCAAACACACCTGCAAGTTGTGCAGGCCTGGCGGATGCGCTTGATGCCCCCGCTGGCCGGTGGTGATCTCGGCTCAGGGGAGCCGGATGTCATCCATCCTGTCTCTGTCATGTCTTCAGACATGCTTCAGGTGTGTGAACGGTGATGCTGTTCTGAGGTATGAATCTAGCCTTCTTGCGTGCATCAAATCGGTGACGTTGAAACTCCGATGAGAGGGCGCTTCAGCAATATCCGGTCGTCCTGAGCTCGATGCGGGGTAGGTCGGGATGATCACGTGGGGGCATCTGGTCCCATCCTTGTCGTCGCTGCCGTTTCCCCAGAAATTTAGCTGGAAATAGCAATCTGGGGCTGGGAGGCCAAGTTGACACATGCAAGCCGGCGATTTGGTCAGACTTTTCTGACTCGTCCCGGCTGGCTCGGATCCCCACCGGAAGAACGCGAAGGTCTCCATCCCATGACATCAACGGGTCACACTGTCTCATTGGCATGTTGATTGAAATGATGAAGTATGTTCAGAGGATCTTCTACGGTAATAATGTCTTTGACCACCAAATTTGAAGGTATTCTATGGATGTTTGTGTCAAATCTTTGCGCGAGGTGCCTTGGCCGCATATTCATCCCAGTCCACCTTGTTTCGTTTTTGGAACTCCCCGATACCAAGGACAGCGTCACAACCAGGTGCCATCATTGACTCAAAGAGTTTTGCAACTCCTTCTTCTTGGGCTGTTGTGCCACCATGCGACCATGCCAGTCTTACCAATTCCTTCGACATCTTAGAGCCCCCAGGTGACGAGTGACGGAGATTGCGAATCAGCTGTTCAACCGTCTTGCGCAGCTCAGCTTGTGTGTCGGCGAGCAACGATACGGCTCCCTGGACTTTGAGCTCAGATGCCGAAACCGCCCTCGCTGTCAACATTGCGTCTCGAGAAAGCGCCAAGCCCCATTCGCGGATCACGTATCTGGATATCACTGCAGGGCAGAGACCCAGCTTGACTTCCGAGAGAGTGAACGTTGCCGAAGAAAGGCATATCCTGATGTCGCACGAAAATGCCAGCCCGATTCCACCGCCAAAGGCCGGGCCGTTGATACACGCGATCGTTACCTTACTCGAGTTGTCGATTAGCTCGAACAAGCTCTTCAGTGGCTTGAAAATGCCCAAGCTTGCATCGCCTCCTTTAGCAACAACAAGGGCGGCCTGGCTGAGGTCCATGCCGGTGCAGAAGAATTTGCCGTTCGCGCTGATTACAATTCGTGATATGGATGGATCATTTTCGAACGTCCTGAAAGCTGCCTGGAAATCTTCGATCATTGGAGACGTGAGAGTATTGCCGTTACGCGGTGTGTTGAGGACGATGTTGCCTGTTGCCCCGGATCGGTACACAAGCAGACGCTCGGTTTCTCGCACAAGTGACCAATCCAACCTTTTTGTTGACTCTGGGGATGCCTCCTTGGAGGTTGTTGTGCCTCTGTATGCCTTTTTCGCAGATAAACCCGCCCCGGCTCTGCTATCATTCGACTTCGAGAGCACTTTCGAGATCCACACACCAGTTTCCGCAAGCTTCTGCAGATTGACCCCAGTGCTCACACCCGCCTTTTCGAACAGATATACGACGTCTTCCGTTGCCACGTTGCCTTTGGCTCCCGGCGCGAAGGGGCAGCCTCCCAAACCGCCGACACTACTGTCAAACGTCCGTACGCCACATTCGTATGCTTTCCACACGTTTGCCAAAGCCTGCCCATACGTGTCGTGGAAATGCCCAGCAAGTCTTGACGGGTCGATCCCTTGCCGATTTAGAAATTCGATCAGTCGCCGTACATCCGGCGCTGTTCCCACACCCAGTGTATCCCCGAGACTGACTTCGTAGCATCCCATGTCGAACAAGGCTTTAACAGCGCGGTGGACGGCGGGTAACGGCGTTGGACCGTCGAAAGGGTCGACAAATATGCATGAAACGTATCTAGTGTGGTAGAAAACAAGTTAGCTGCGAAGCAACGACAACGAATGTTCCGGGGGACTTTGACTTGCCCCCTAACCGCAAGACCGGCTAAGGCCGCTTTTGTTGCTACCTGGCGTGCTCGTTGGATTCCCTCGTCAACGCTACAGTTTAGGTTGGCGCGACTGAATCCCTCAGTTGCACTAACGAAAACGGCAACTTCCCTGACACCGTGGTCTAGCGCGATCTGAAGCCCTTTGGTGTTTGGCACCAGGACGGGAAGCCTTAGGTCCGACGGTGATCGTAGCCATCCTCCAATAAGATCCGATGAAAGTACTTGGCGGCAATCTGCAAGTTGTGGGATGGCTTTCGGAGACACAACTGAAGTGATCTCTATGTTTTGAAGACCGGCTTGTCGAAGCCTCTCGATTAGCGTTAGCTTGTTGCCGGTGTCAATCGGGCTTTTGACGTTTTGGAGGCCATCGCGGGGGCCAACTTCGACGATCCTAACAGACATCTGGAACCAAAAGCTGTTTCCTTTGACGAACAAGCATGCGAGCGAATAACACGGCCAGGAAGGGGACATTTACGAGGTACTTGATAGGGCTAGCTATGGTGGCTTGGTGGCGCCGACTACCTACTTACCCCGGTCTTTGGGGTCCGGACCGCTTCCCGGGATAAGTACGTACCCACTCCTAAGGCCGAGGGCCGGCCGTCCTGATTGGGCAATTCGGCTTTGATGAACCATTTTCGGTTAACGTAGTCGTGGAGAAGGAGACCTGTCGTTGATTAGCTCCTTGTTGGTAGCTTACAGCCGGCGGGTGATCTTCACATTGGAATGAGCTTTCCACAATAGGGACTTTGGGGGTGAGCTTGCAGCAATACGGGAGTTTAACAATGTTATCAGAATCCCAACAGATAGCGATATACATAATCAAATATGTCATCAAGTCAAGATAAACATGAGCTTGGTATGATGGAACTAAAATCGATCTTCTTCTAAATAAAATTGCGCTAGTTTACAACTTTGCCTGTATTCTAGACCGCTTCACCAATGCATTTCCAAGCTCCCTGACAAGATGCTTCTGATACTTTCCGCTGCCGGTCTTTGGCAGCTCGCTACCAACATCGGGACTTCCAAGCCAAAAGATGTACTCAGGGGCCTTGTGTCGGCCCAATCGCTGCGTGACCCATGTCCTAATCTCCTCATCAGAGGGCCTGGTCGCGTCCGATGCTAATTTCAGGAAGCAAGCCACAACTTCGCCGTACTTCTTGTGATCAAGACCCACTACACAAGACTCTCCAACGGCCGCATGGGATAGCAAGCGAGCTTCGATCTCGATGGGTGAAATGTTCTCCCCGCCTGATATGGTCTTAGCCAAGGAATTGTCATAGGATGATTACAACTTACCACGAATGATCAAGTCCTTGATGCGGCCGGTAATGTGGCCGTAACCTTCATCGTCAATGAAACCCTCGTCACCGGTGTGCATCCATGTAACTCCATCTTCATCTCTTCTCATCACCTCCTGTGTTCTCTCCTCGTCCTTCCAGTATCCCTTCTGCAAAGCAAAGCCGCTGGTGCAAATTTCCCCGCGGGTGCCTCGTGGCACAATGTTACCGTTTGTGTCCACGATCTTTGCACTAGTGTGGGGGAGCACCTTGCCTAGGCTCTTGAACATCCGGTCATCGGTATCACCCAAAGCCGTAATGAAGGTGACTGGGCTGGTCTCCGTCATCCCGTAAGCAATGAGCATTCCGCCAATCTGCATTTCCTTGCGCAGACTCTCCATCAGTGGAGGTGGAACCGGAGACCCCGCTGCGAGACCGGTGCGTACGGTACTGATACGATGACCGGACTTCTTCAGAGCCTCTAGCTCTGCAATAAACATTGTTGGGACTCCGAGAAGGGCGGTGGCCTTCTCGTTGATGATGGCGTCAATAGTTCTTTGGGCATTGAAGCTGTCGGAGGGAAAGATGATGGAGCTTCCGCAACTGAAGGCGGCTAGAAAGCCCATGACGAGCCCGAAACAATGGAATAGAGGTGGAGGACAGCACACGACATCTTCGTGGGTGAGTTGCATCGCGTCGCCCACGAACCTAGCGTCGTTGATCAAGTTGCTGTGAAATTAGTTAGCGATGAGATATCAACGCTTCTTGGGAGTAAGCTCTTACAAATGGGTCAAAATTGCGGCTTTGGGTGACCCAGTTGTTCCTGAAACGGTTTCTTTTAGCACAAAACGTGCATGTAAATATGGAAGGAGGGGTCTCACCAGAAGTGAATTGAAGATTGAGAGTGTCGGTACGGCGAACCTTTCGCTCCGCACGTCTCAAAGCTGAATCGTTCATGAAGATCGAATGACCACCGTTGAGGAAGGTGCTGTAAGTCTGGCACATACTGCCTTGGCCTGGGAATCTGGCGGTGTCGAGACACACGATGTGCTCAAGCTTAGACCCTTTCGGCAGAGCGGACAGGGCTTGAATATGAGACAACAGCGAGTTTGATCCGATCTGAGAAGCCATGAAAACCGCCTTGCAGTCTATTCACAGTGTCAGAAACATGACGTCGTAGTGAACAGAAGGACTGACCGCTGTGCAAGACAGCACTACTCAGCTCATCCGGAGAGTAGGTGTTGTGCAGAACAACGAACGGGCAGCCGATACGCGCCGCCCCGAGGAACAGCTCGATGTATTGATAGCAGTTTCCTGCCATGATTCCCACGCAATCCCCACGCTTCAAACCAAGTTCAAGCAAGCCTTTAGCAGTGATCTTGCTCCGGTCTGCGAGGTCCTTGTACGTCAGGCGGGTAGACTGCCAGGGCACAACGACGGCTGTGCGATCACCATACGCCTTGGCTTGGTCCTGGATAACAGACCCAAGCGTCTTTTCAAGAAGCGGGGGATTCTTCGGCCCAAAGACCAAAGATGGCGTCTGCTGAAGGGGCCTGTTGGGGGAAGAGGAGGACACGGCGGTGGCTGACATTGTGATGGCGCGGATTGGAGGAGTACAAAATTCTGAGAATGACAAGTTCTCAATCCGCAGAACGATAGTTCAAGATATGTCATCTGAAGATGGTCTAGCGGCAACACCCAAATACTTCCGGCTCTTACACCAGAGCGACTGCACCCAGTGCTTGCGGGGCCGGCAGAGCATGAATACTAGGGGCGGCCTCGGCCTATCGGTCACGGTCCGAACCCCGGATTTAATCCCCGCGCCGGCCCAACATTACGCATCAACAGTGCCGACGACCATTTTACCGATATTGCAACCGCAAAGCACCAAAAAAACAAGGATATCATTGACATTGAACTATACTAAACACCGACTCTTACCAAGCAGGCTACATGCGCGCTTGAGCTCACGGCAAAATGGCACAACCGTTCCCAGTTGAGAAGTCGATCCTCGACCTCGGTGCGCCAAACTTCCAAGAAAATCGATCTCAATGGGAGAAAGTACTTGCAAAATTCGACCACAATCTTCGGCAGGTTTCTTCTGAGGGTGACGATGTGTCGACAGCTAGACATCAAGGACGAGGACAACTGTTACGTAGGTATTCTCACAACCTACATCGGAAGACATTCCACTGATTACTTTAAAAAGCGCGAGATAGGATCAACTTGTTACTAGATGCAGAGTCGCAATTCTTAGAGTTAGGGGCATTTGCTGGGTTTCGAAATGCGGACTCGAATTCTTGCGGCAACCTCATTGCTGGCATTGGTCTTGTCAGGTAATTCAGCTTGCCGGTACCATCTGGTTTTATGATGATTAACGTCAGGATAGTGGACGGCCATGCCTCGTCATGTCTCATATCCCAACCCAGAGCGGTGGAGCTTGGAACGAGATGACAGGTTGGTGGAAATTCTCCTGCCCATTTGGATTTGGCTAAGAACCACCTTTTCCAGTGCATAAAGTGAACAGAATCTTGGAAGTCGGCTTTGAGAATGATGTTCCGTTAATCTCTCTGGTGCAGTCGGTACGCACGAATGTCAGTTCGCTAAGTTAGGGCTATGTACTAATCGATCTCAGGCGGGCGTCTTTCTGCCACAGCAATTTAGGGTATTTCACAAAGGTGGAAAACTTTTCCGCGATCTGGCCATCCGCTCTAAGCATGGGAAGCCATCCTGCGCTGTGGTTTTCGGCCCCTCAACTGCTGGTGGAGCATATCACCCGGCTCTCTCGGATTACACCATCTTCGTTGAGAACCAAGCACAGGTATTTCTGGGAGGTCCACCCCTTGTCAAGATGGCGACATCAGAGACCGTGACTGCCGAGGAGCTCGGCGGGGCCAAGGTTCACGGAACAGTGACTGGCCTGGCTGACCACACGGCACTTGACGAGTAAGAGCACATTTGCGACGGGAAAGGTTTAGAGGAGACGGTGTTGACTGATCACAGATTTGATGCCATTCAGAAGGCGCGGGAATGGGTTGCCACACTCAACCCACTAGACCCTAGCCACCAAGGAGGCATGGTTGAAGAGCCACTGCCTCCTCGATATCCAGTTGAAGACCTTCTATCGATCGTGAACACCGACATCCGCAAACCCTTCGACATGAGAGAGGTTTTGTTGCGCATTGTTGATGACTCGAGGCTTTCGATTTTCAAACCAGGCTATGGTGTCAACATGCTCACTGCTTGGGCTGATATTCTCGGTAAGCCCATCAACTTACCCTCAAACGTCGACTGCGTCTTTCTCTCCGGTCACTAATCATTCCCGTGTAGGGTTCCGAGTGGGTATTGTTGCGAATCAGACGCCTGTGATTCACCCGCAAGAGGCTCTGAAAGCAGCTCAATTCATCAGACTGTGCAACCAGGAGTATGTTACACTACCCTACCTTACGAAGTATAATCTGCTTACCAAAATTCTTTTGTAGGATTATTCCCATTGTTTTCCTCCACAATGTAACTGGGTTTATGGTTGGCACCAAGGCGGAGCATGCCGGTATCATCAAGGCAGGCGCGCAGCTCGTATCAGCTGTGAGTTGTTCTTCAGTCCCGCACATCAGCATCATTCTCGGAGCCTCCTATGGTGCCGGCAACTACGCCATGTGTGGAAGATCCTACCGACCCAGGTTTCTTTTCACGTGGCCAACGGGGCGTTGCAGTGTGATGGGCCCAGATCAGTTGGCAGGCGTGATGGAGACCATCAAGTCCAAGTCCAACGGCGGCAGCAAGCTTTCAACAGAGCAGATCAAGTCTCAGGCACAGAAAGTGAGGGATGATGCATATCGAGACTCGGAATGTTATTCAACTAGTTCCATTCTGGTGGATGATGGAGTCATAGATCCGAGGGACACTCGCGATGTTCTAGGGATGTGCTTGGAAGTGGTGCAGCTGCCGAACAAGAAGGACACCCAATCACATAGGCTTTTGTCCAGGATTTAGCGCGCAATAGACTGTTTTCAAGATCAATCAAGGTTGTCATTGAATGACGTGCATATGAATGGTTCAACTTCAAATCCAACCACGTGTCATGCGAAGTGCATCCCAATTGCTAGTCGATTTTTAATTAGGGATAAATGACGGGCACCAAATTTCGACGTCGTGCTGAAATCATTCATGTTGATGTCCACAGCAGAACATGCTGTAAGTTCAGTCTACAAAATCCACGTCTCCGATTTCCGGCTCACCCAGGCCTCCATTGAGGAATTGGTCTAAGAAAGAACCCTGTCCCGACCTCGACAAGAGTCCGCAATTTGGGCACTAGTTCCGGCAATGTTGCCGTAAGCCCACGGTCCCCAGCGGGGAAGCCATGCAAGAGCCGAGGGACCTGCAGGTCTCCACCCGGACCGCGCTCCGGTGCTCGGGCCATCCAAAATGGCTATTGATGGCCCATGGTCGAAAATCATCGGATTCTTCGATCTCGGGAAGCAAACAGTTCGGTACCGAGTCCCCGAGGCAGGATCACTGTTTACAAGCTACGTCACACGGACCGGTACTCGCGACTGCTCAAAAATGATGCGGCGATCAAGCCAATACGGCCACATGTAATAGCAGAAGTTCCGTACGGGTTTCCCACTCTTTCCTGTCGAACATCACTGCGCGAGTCTTCAAGATGACGAATATCAACAAACCACCATTGTTCGAAGCTACGATCCCGCTCAGCGCCGATGGCCAGTCAAAAATTCGGAAACTTCTGATTGCGAATCGTGGGGAGATTGCTTGTCGTATTATCTCGACGTGTCGCAAGCTTGGTGTTCAGACAGTGGCAGTGTACACTCAGGAGTAGGTGTCCTAGAATGCAACTAGGTCCATTCGTACTCGTCTGACAAGAAATGCAGAGATGCCTTGTCGCAACACGTAGCAGACGCACATGAGTCTATCTGTATCGGATCCATCGAACACGACACCAAAAACCCCTTTCTCAACATCGACCTCCTCCTCAAGACCGCCCTAGAAGCCCACGCCGATGCCGTCCATCCCGGTTATGGATACCTGAGCGAGAATGCCGACTTTGCGGACCGTGTTCGCGCCATGGGGTTGACCTTCGTAGGGCCAACTGGTCAGACAATCTCGACACTAGGCGACAAGCGGACCTCCAAAGAATATTTGAGAACCCACGCACCGGAAGTGCCCCTGATTCCAGGATTCTCCAGGTCCAGCCAGAATGTGGAAGATCTCCAAGATGCGGCGACACGCATCGGCTTCCCTGTCATGCTCAAGGCTTCTGCTGGAGGCGGTGGCAAAGGTATGCGAGTAGTCCGTGAAGCTTCTCAGCTCCAGTCGGAACTGGACCGCGCACAGTCGGAAGCCCAGAGATCTTTTGGTTCTAGCGACTGCATTCTGGAAAAGTTCATCGAGAGCAGCAAGCACGTCGAGATTCAGATTGTTGGAGACCAGCATGGCAACGTCGTGTCTCTGTTTGAACGCGACTGTTCCGTCCAGCGTCGCAATCAGAAAGTCGTTGAAGAAACGCCGTGTTTGTTTCTCGACGAACAGACTAAGAAAAGCATGAGTGACACGGCCGTCAAAATCGGGAAGCTTCTAGGATACGAAGGAGCAGGGACCGTGGAGTTTGTCGTCGACACGGCCACCAAAAAGTTCTTTTTCTTGGAAGTCAACACTCGCCTTCAAGTCGAACACCCCATCACAGAGGAAGTTGTCGGCGTTGATCTCGTGTCATTGCAGCTCTACGTCGCGGCTGGCGGGCGTCTTGCCGATGTTCCTGAACTATCTGCCTTGACACAGACTGGACATGCAATTGAGTGTAGACTTTGCGCGGAGGACCCCAATCGGGACTTCATGCCAAGTCATGACACAGTTGCCCTATGGAAGCCCGCAAACCCGCATCGAGGTGCCAGCTCTGTAGTGCGCTACGAGACGGCGATGCAAAGCGGGGCATCGATATCGATCTACTTCGACTCCATGATTTGCAAAATTGTGGTGTGGGCACCTACAAGGGCCTTGGCTATCGATATTCTCGCGAAGGAGCTGGCGAATACCGCGTGCGTTGGAATCAAGACGAATCAGCTGTTCCTTCAGAGCTGTCTCCTTCACCCAGGATTCAAGGACACAGCATACCAAACATCTTTCATCCCGACCCATCTTGACGAATTGCTTCGAAATCCATACCTTCCAGAGCTGCCCAGATACACCTCTGCTATTCCCGGTCTGCTTTTTGACGCCCTTAAGAAGGCGTCTCGGACCCAAGGTGTTCGACGACAGCCGTTTGGTGGAGTTCGTCGGGGCTTTCACAACCAAAAGTTCGATCCCTTTCAGCAGGGCTGTGAGATCATTTCGACGCGAGACTCGAAAGCCTCGGAATCAGCGACCTCATGCGAGGCTTGCCTTCGCCGGCCATGCGATGGCCCTGCAGGTGACAGATGGCGCGTGCAACTCCACACCATTTCTCTTGATGACCCCGTCGAGCAAGATCCGTCACTTTTGTCTCCGGCCCAACATCTTACGTCAAAATACACTATCCTAAGTCAGGCCTTCCGGAGTGGTGACGCTTGGAAAGGGCCATCTTTCACAATTGAGGATATCACTCTCAAGCCAGCCCACAAGACCGGCAACTTTTCTTCGAGGGCTAGTATCCCACCATCGTGGGTATTGACGTTCTCTGTGGACGGGCGAAGACTACAAGTGTTTTGCTCTCTTCCTTGCTTGGGACAGCGCTCAGCGGGGTTGAGGCCTAACGAAACCCAATCAGTCCTATGCCACGTTCCTCAAATAGGAGAGTGGAAGGCATTGCGACGTGATACACTATTGTCCTTCTTCTCCGGCCTACGAAAAGATGCACAGGTTGCTACTGACCACCATGCTCAGATCAAAGCCCCGATGCCATGCAAAGTCCTCTCTATTGGAAAGGCAATGGGAGAGGAGGTCAAAAGCGGAGAGAGTGTCATGGTGATAGAGAGTATGAAGATGGAGATCAATATTAGAGCAAATGTAGCTGGAAGGTTCGAGACAAAGTGGAAGGTTGGAGATGCCGTAGGCGAAGGCGTCGTACTTTGTTCAGTTGAGTGAAGGCAGACTTCATGTGCCAACGTCATATTGCTATCAAAGCATTTCTCGCAGCATGGGCAAAATTCTTACGGTTTAAATTTAGAGTCAGCATTTGAACATATTTTGCCATCCAGATGACGACGTCCCGTAAGAACGCCTGTAGCCCCAGCTAGACGGACTCATTATCCCGTCATATTCCGAAACGTGTCGTCAACAGCGTGCGCTTCATTGCGCACCTCGGACAATCATAATCTACGAATTATGAACAGACATTGATTGCGTCCAAGTCGTCCTCTGGGCGCTCGAACGGGTAGTTACAGGGTAGATCCATGATTGAACCCCGCGGGGTCAATCGCTTCCCCGCGTTAAGACTCTCCTACGGACAGCCGGACCGAAGAGAGGGGTGGTTGCTGCCCCGCCGCAAATCCGTCCACTTACGACCAGTGAAACCCCGTCGGGGTTAGACTTGTGAGTTTGAGTGAATAGAAGGTCCTAGCTATGGTGCTTACTCTGGGCCAGCTGTCAGTCAATCAACAGTCTTTACCCAGTCGTCAATAATGGCATGTTGCTTCATTGCCGCATTTTGCATAGGGCAGCTGGTCAAAGCTTGTCAATTCTTCGACTTGGACGATAGCATTCACTACAATGACGACACAGGCACGGAGGCTCTGCCAGAAACTGAGAGCGGCCATGCTCGGACTACACCCGTCAAAAGCTGCAACTCAAACGCGATCATTCTATCGCTGTCTGGCATGTCGTGTGCAGCTTGCTCAGGCAGCATCGAGAGAGCGATCCTGGGGTCTGACGGGGTAAAAGATGTAAGAGTATCTTTGCATCTACGGCAAGCCACTGTTGTGGGAACAAACTCGACTTTGGACCTCGACGGTATTTTGCAAGCTGTACGAAATCTTGGGTATGGGGCAGAACCTGGACCTCGCTCCCCAAAGGAGATCATGGGCCTCCTCGAGTCAAGGCGAGAGTCAAAAATGCTGTGGACGAGCTTTGTCAATGTTGGGAAGAATGCGGCAGTTATTCAGCTGATTGAAATGGCGACATATCAGATCCGGGGTACGTGGGCCCTAGAGACTATAATTCTCTGGGCATTGCAGGTGGCAGCGCTGGCAGTCGCAGTCTCTTGCCAATGGCGATATGTTTCGTGGATTCATGCCGATGGCTGGAGATGGATCAAGGGGGCAAGTCCCACTATGAATACCTTGGTGGCCCTAGCTGTGTTCTTGGGGATTTCATTCTCCTGCATCGACCTATTTATCCAAGGCCCTCGAACTGCCACTATGTATTTGGCTACCTCCACTGGTTTGACGCTGACGGTTGTGGGTGGGAGATACCTGGAGTGTCTTTCGCGGCGACAAGTTTCAAAAGACTTGATCAAGATCTACAAGCCCCTGACAGAGATTGACTTTGTCCGACTCAGTCCTTCTGGCGAAGTAAGCCACAATCTGTGGGTGTTTGATTGATCTGGCTAATATTGGTACAGAACGTTCCATCGACATATCTTCGACCGTCCGACGAAATATTCGTCGAGCCATTTTCAATAATACCTTGCGATTGCTACATCACATTTGGATCATCTTTAGTCAACCAGTCAATGCTGACAGGGGAGTCTCTTCCCGTTCGAAGGGATGTTGGCGACATAATAATGGGCGGTACGCGAAATCTCCACGGAAGACTAGTTTGTGTTGTCAAAAATGAGAAGGGCCAATCATTCTATTCCAAGCTTCTGGGGAGTGTTGCAGACTCTTCCGCAACGAAGTCGGACGGTGACGCTCTGCTTGACGACATCATCAAGTATTTCGTCACAGCTGTCATTTTCTTTGCAATCGTTCTTCCGATCCTCGAGGTCTTTAGACACAACTCACTTCACCCCAACTATCAGTACATTCGATCCGCCGTGGCTAGATCGATGACTATCCTGATGAGCGCATGCCCATGTGCTCTCGGCCTTGCTATACCATCCGCGGTTGCAACCGCAGTCTGTAAGCTCTCTATTTGGCCCATTGCTATGTTCTCTGAGCTGACATTGTTAAGATTCTGCACAGAAAAGAGGACTGTTGATTACTGGAGGCGCATCGACGATACAGAAGCTGGTCAAGGTCAGGTCCGTCATCTTCGATAAGACTGGGACGTTGACCGGGGACAACTTGACTGTCTCGGACTTCTTGCCATCACCCCAGTGGGCCTGCAGGGAGAACACACTTTGGACCTTGATCTGTGCAGTTGAGGTCAATGATGCTACTGGTCATCCACTGGGTAAGAGCATCTTCTCAAGTGGCGTCAAATCTTTGGGTGAAGATTGGCTGCGCTTCCAAGCTCACGGTGAGACGCGCGACATCTGCAGCTCAGCCGGTCAAGGCGTCTCCGGAAACGTTCGCATTGCCAAAGACGAGTGGCATTATGTCATTGTGGGAAGCTCACAATACCTTAAAGCTGCTGGTATCAACGACATTCCTGACCACGGCGACGCTGTGGGAAGTGGCAAGATTGAGGCTCGCGTTGGGGTAGACGGCTGCTATGCTGGAAAGATACTAGTTTCGGTGAGTCGGACGGCCTTCGCCTTGTGGCGTGTGATTACTGACAATGAGAAAGGATACGGTCAAGGCTGAGGCGCAAAGCACGATAGCAGCGTTGACCTCATCGGGATACAAGTGCTCTCTGGTGAGGAGTCGTCATGCGACGACATCGGACTTATGAGTTGTGCTGATGCTAACTGACGGCAGCTTACGGGCGATATGGCCGACGAAGCTCACAGAGTCGCCAGTCATGTGGGAATACCTGTTTTGGCATCACAAGCCTCGCCGACCGACAAACTCGCTTTCATCAACGCTTCCAAAAAGAACGGTAATGCGGTGGCTATGGTGAGTCGGTATACTCAATCTTGAAGACTTCCTTGCACACAATACTGACGATTCAGGTCGGTGATGGACTCAACGATGCTCCGAGTCTTGCAGCTGCGGACGTTGGCTTTGCCGTGTACCACAATAATGCATTGGCTACGACGGGTGCTTCAATTATGATTCTTAACTCGCGGATAGATCTGGTTTGCCTTGCATTCAAAATTGCGGAGCTCACCAACCAACAGATTACGTTCAACTTGAGATGGACTGCGGCGTACAACCTTCTCGCCTTCGTGATGGCAGTAGGCTGGATAAAGCCATTTGGATTTGCCATGACACCGTAAGCACTGTTAAGCCCTTGAAAATTGGAGGGATTTGGACACTGACATATGTTCAGGTCTGTCGCAGCTGCGATGATGTCCACGTCTTCGATTTTCATCACCGCACAGTCCTTTCGGTTGCGGACAAGGCTAGACAATCTGCCTTAGTGGGGTGTTCAAGCGAAGAGGATATGATAGAAAGACAACTTATATGATTTGCATTGTGGTTACCGACAGTGAGCGGAGTAGTCCTGTTTCCAGTAGAAGTATCTGGCATTGTAAAAGATTATTGAGCGTAGTGTTAGCGTTGTATTTGCAATAATTGCATCACGTTGACTTGTCCGTATGGGCTGTGGAATCACATCAAGACAGAGGATGGCAAAACATCATGAACTGCTTGAAGGACTTGATTTCATTGGTAACATCATACAGTCTGGACCCAGGTTCCTGTTGCGACCAAACTAATCGCAGACTTGACACAAAGGAAATGGAGTAACAGTCTAGACAACTGGCTTCAGAATGATTTGAGTGCGACCCTTCACTGAGACCTTCACTGTCGCCTTTCCCTTATTGTTCGCCTTTACCGATCCTCCAGTGCTTAGCGAGTACTCCTTACCGGGGACGAGCCTTTCAAATCCCAGCTCGAAGGTCCCTGGCTCAGCACCATTGTACAACACAAGATCAAGTTGCTTTCCGTCATTGCTGTACGCTTTCGCCACCAGAACGTCTGGGAACGAAGCCTCTTCGAGTAGGGGTCCCTTCAATGCGTTCTCAGGCGGACCATGTAGCGTGGCATTGGCGAGGTCCCGATTCTTAACGAGACGCGCCATCAAAGCGATTACTTGTGATGTGGCTGACAGACCTTTGTTCCTCAGAGAGCCCGACTTTGTTGCCTCAACAGGGAAGTAGGTGTTGTCAAGCTGGTTCAATGCCTCCTTCCTGATCTTCTCGTTGCCGAACTCGGCCGCGGTCGCAGCGATGAACGCTCGGAGGGGTCCCTCGCTAGCCCGATAGTTCCCCGGGTCCATCTTGTCGGCGCCCTTAAGGTTTCTAACCTCAAGCTGACCATTCTTGTCGTACTTGAGGAACTCCTTCCGGATCATAGCCCAGTTTCGGTGGGCCAAGTGGGGAAGGTAGGCAGTCAGCAGCATCGCATTGATACAGTCGGTAAGAGTGCCGCAAAGACCCGGGAGCTGCATAGAGAACTCGTTAGATCACATCTTCCTGGTGAACTCATTCCATTACATACCGTCAAGCCGGTGAACTCGCTTCGAATTGGCAGGATTCGGCCGTCGCATTCAGTGAACTCTTCCTCAAGAGATCTTTCGAACCTGTTGCGGAGCTTCACTCCTAGATCACGACCGAGGAGACGGTCAGAAATGACAAGCCCAGCCATGCCAGTCAAGCTGCAGACCCTCAATCAGCTCTAGTACTTGAGTCTTAGGGGGAATAGACGCACTTGCAAAGTGAGTAAGTCCAGTTCGGCTCGCACGGATACAGGCAGTACGGATTCTCAGTCATGTTGTTGAATAGCGCATCTGCGAGGCCCTCGTAATTGGTCTTGTAGTGCTTTCCGTCATCAATGACAAACTCGAGGGCATCCTTCTTGTTGTACTGTCGATCGCCCGATGCCTGGCCATAGAGACCAATCGCAGCACTCAAGTAGCCAGTGACCATCTGACATGATATTAGCATTGGTCCAAGCCAGGGGTTGAATCACTTACGATGTTGTCTTTCTTAATTGGATCCCAGTCGCTGAGGGTGAATCTTCCAAAGATGGACTCCCACTTCCAATATCTGAAGGGCTGTTACTCAAAACGTTTAAGTCATTCATGGGATTTGCTTACGACATGATCCGTTTCTGGAGACTCTTCTCGATGGCATTTTGACATGCCTTAGAAAGATAGCCGTGGAAGCCTGGGACGTAGTGGCACTGGTATAGACTCAAGGCATCGATAGTCCCGTACAGCTGATAGCGAATGGCGCCTGTCTGGAACTGGTCGATAACGTCGTGGAAGCTGAAGTCGTCACGGGGACTAAGTCCTCGCTCGATCATATGCTGCACGTGCCGGAGAGTCTCGAGGGATAGCTCACGATCGCCAGACTGAGGTGCAGGTGCGGCGTCGGCCATCTGCTCTTCGACAGCCTGCACGAGGTACTTGTTCCTCTCTTGAGCCTTCGAGTACCCAGCAGCATTGAGAGAGCTGGCGTTGTTCATCAACCAAGTGATACCACTGAAGCAACCGAGAGCCCATAGCGCGGCGGACTGTTCGAACAAAGTGTCCTGGGCAAGACGGCCAGCCATGAAGCTGGATCCAATCCATAGCGCGATGGGAAATGCGATGCCACCCATGGCAAACCAAACGAAGATTGACACCGGGATGAGAACGAGCGTAAGCAAGAAGGCTGCTACTGCTGTGGGGCTTGCTACTGCCGTGAATCCCGCGCCCGGGAAGAGGAAGCCAAGGGCCGCGGCACGGTATGATGTGCTCTCAAGGTTGTGGAATGACCAAAGTCCGGCAAGGGAGAGAAAAGTGTACTGGTAGAGAGTTCTGCGTTGATGGTATTTCTTGATCATACCTCGACCGGCACTAGGCGGAATCAAAACATCTGAGAGAGGATTGTGATCAGTTTCTACCGACATAATTCTGTATGGCTCGTCACGTACCTTGGATCTTCCATGGACCCCAGCCAAAGTCACCAACAGGTCCATCAGAAGCCTTTACACTGGTTGATGGATCTGCCTTAATGGAGTCGCTGGTATCGACCCACTCGGAGCTCGGCGCGATCTTCGAAGGCAGCTCCGCGGCATCTAAGTGATTGACGCCATTGGTCTTGGTAGTTTCTGTTGTCTGTGCTGCTGTCAGTGAAGGGAACTGAAGGAGCGAGCTGTTGACTATACCGTGGTCATTGTAGAAGGGGCCATAGTCGCATATGGTCTGGTGTTTGAATGGTTGTCTTCTCAAGAAGCCCCGGAAGAGGGATGAACTTTACTTATCCACCGTGCTTGGGGTCCCCGAGAATGTTCCGATGGCAACAGACGTCTCCGGCGCCACGGTAAACGTTACACTCCAGTGGATAAAAGAGATAGTTCGGCACTCGCGGGCGGGGGATCTGGGGTTTGCGGGGTACTGCACTGGGCTGGGACATCACTCGTGGGGGGACGCGGGGTGTGGCAAGGATAGGACCGAGTCCCGACCACTACGAGTCTGCTCTTGGAGAACATTTGAAACAGCTACCATAAGAAGTACCTCGGTATTAGGCTTGGGTACGTCGAAGGCCGGTCCGGCATCAGAGCTCTCAGAGGGCTGGCTCTGAGATGGCGCAAAGCCCTTGTGTTGACATAGAGATCAGCGATCGAGTTGACCAACAAATTGGAGAGCCATTTAGCCTTTGAACATACATAACAGAGAGGAAAGATAGGATGACACTTCAATGTGCGTTTTCATCATATCAGACTTACCTTGAATCAGTCTCATCAAACAATGGCGTCAGCATACGCAACCACGCAGGCCATTGTTGCCTATCCCCCTGAAAATGGGAAGAGACAGTGGAGACTTGAAGATGTTGAACTCACGCAACCCGAAGACGATGAGGTTATCGTTGAAGTGATTGCCACTGGCATATGCCATACGGACCTTGGTTGTGCATCCGCGCCGGATGGGACGCCTGGCTTTCCAGTCCCTCCATACCCTCGCATTGTTGGGCATGAAGGCACAGCTCCATTACGCACCGTACTGTTGAATGAGCACGACTAACAACATCACAGGTGCTGGCTATGTCAGGTCGGTCGGGAATGAAGTCGCAAAAGTCAAAACTGGAGACGCAGTTCTTTTGTCCTTTGCTTTCTGTACCCAATGCCACAACTGCAAATTTGGCGCGCCGGGATATTGTGAGAGTTTCAACGAAATCAACTTCACTGGATGTTCCACTTCGTTTTCGAACTCGGGCACTGGAAGGATTTCGGTCGGCGGGTCCTTTTTCGGACAGTCAAGCTTTTCTCGGTTGGCTCGGGTGAAGCAAACATCGATAGTCAACGTTACTCGCCTCGTAAACAGCGAAGACGAGCTGAAAATGCTGGCGCCTCTGGGCTGTGGCATACAAGTATGTTCGAATCCAAACTTTAGTGTTCCCGCAGACTGATAGAACCTTTAGACTGGTGCCGGTACTATTACAAAGCTAGCTGCGGCAACACAAGACGACACCATCGCTGTCATTGGTCTTGGTGGGGTCGGTCTTGCAGCAGTAATGGTAAGTAGAAACTTGAATTCCAGTATCTTTTACTTTGAAATCGCTCTGAACTTTCTTCCAGGCTGCGAAGATCATTGGCTGTCGAACCGTCATCGGAATTGACCGCGTGCCTAGCAGACTTGATCTCGCTCAGTCGCTTGGAACAACCCACACCGTCAACACCGCAAACATCACCAACACACTGACAGAAGAAATTCGAAAGCTCACTGGTGGGCCGGGGAGCACCATCACAGTAGATGCTACCGGGGTTGTGCCATTGATTAAACAAGGGCTCGAGTTCACCGCGAACCAAGGGAAGATGATTTTGCTAGGCGTTGCGCCAATGGATGCAAGCTTGGATCTGCCTATTGTTCCACACATGGTGGTAAGTCAAATGTACTGTGCAGATGGTAGAGGCTTCGACCTGACTCGATACAGAGTGGCAAGCAGTTGCTGGGCAGCATGGAAGGAGGAGTATACCCCGAGGATGTAAGTTTGTGTCTGTGAGACTCGGACAATTGGCTGAATCATCATTCAGTATATCCCTCAGCTTATCCAATGGTACCATGAGGGAAGGTTCCCATTGGGAAAGCTTATCAAGACCTACGATGTAAGTACTGGGCCCTGCACGCTGATTCTAATACTGATGTGACTTTCCCTGAAGGTTAAGGACTTTGAGTCAGCTGTGAAGGATATGGAGGATGGAACTACAATCAAACCAATTTTGATTTGGTCGTAATTGAGGGAAATATGAATGCTACTTCATTTTCTTCCTATGATCTTCCGATGTGCATCTACTTTCGCCCTTCTGATATGCCTATTATCGTTTTCATCCCTATCGTTGTTGTCATCGTCGTCCCGGTCTTCCTCCCCAGTGTCGTCTATGCCCACACCCATCCGGCTAGCTAAACGTATTCGCATGACTGAAAAGGCAGAAACTTGTTATTCGACGCCTTGATGTAGAAATTACGAGGACGTTGATGCAAACTTCAGACCGAGTGCATCAAACAACCCAAGCTGGCAGACACCATCGACATCCAGCAAAACCCAAGATCAATGAATACGACTTCACTCTGGAGATTCTGAATGACTTGCTTCAATGTCTCGAAAGAGAAGTAAATGCATTGTATTGAGATCTCTTGCCACTAACTGACGACTTTCTTGTTCAAGAAAAGCGTCTGATTATTGCAGAAAGCTTTCAGACCATTCGCGCCCCACTCAGTTCCAATACCACTTTCTTTGTGCCCCCCGAATGGTGCGAGAGGTGACAGATCGAAGTGTGTATTGATCCAGACATTTCCTGCTTGGATCTGTTTGGCTACTTCGGCTGCTTTCTTCAAATCATTCGTCCACACGGATGCTCCAAGACCCATCGAAGTGTCGTTGGCCCGAGAAATAACCTCATCTTCGCTGCTCCACGATAGAAGAGGCACAATAGGACCTGTTCGAATATCATTAGAGGCGAGGTGTAAAAGGGCCATGTATGAATTCAAAGACTTACCGAAGGGCTCTTCAACAACTAGACGAGACTTCTCAGGGGGACGATCGATGATTGTTGGGGTAATGAAATAGCCTTGGGACTTCTCAATGTTGCCTCCCACGGCAACCTTCCACCCCTGAGATTCAATGTCCGAAAAGAACGCCTTGACTCGTTCATACTGCATGGAGTTTTGCAGGGGACCATGAGTGACACCTGGCTGCGAGCCATCGCCAAGGTTGTATCCCTTTACGTGCTTAACCAAGGCTTCCTTGAATTGATCAAAAACGGACTCGTGGACGTATATCCGCTTGAGGTTCAGGCAGATCTTATTGAGGAGTCAGTGTGGATAACGAGAAGAGGGGAAGGGCTCAACACATACCTGGCCGGAATTGAGGAAAGCGAAGAAAGCAACCTGCCATCGTTAGCTAGGAGGTTGCACGGACAAAGTAATCGCCTCACCTTTTCAGCCACCTTGTCAACATCTACGTCTGGGAATACGATAGCGGGATCGTTTCCTCCCCTGTCAATGTCAGTCTTCACCTGTTTGGAATCCCATGGGTTGGAACTCACAATTCTAGAGTGACCCTCTTCAAAGTTTTGCTCGCACTCTGCATCACTAGCTTCCCTGTCGTCGTGGATCCAGTGAAGCTGATCTTGTCAATACCCATGTGACTCGTCAACCAGGGACCAAGATCATCATCTCCACTCAAGGACTGTACAACACCCGGCGGGAAGAATTGTTGTGCCAATTCTACCAATTTCAGCCCGCAGTATGGGGTGAATGGTCTACATGTTCGTCAGCGCCTACGACAAAGTATTTCTCGGCGTAAGTGTACTTACGAGGGCTTGACGATGATGACATTTCCGGTCAGGAGGGCCGGCGCAATCTTGCCCGTGGCAAGAAGGAGGGGAAAGTTCCAAGGCACAATGGCCCCGACCACACCCAGAGGAGTCCACCGAGTGATGATGGTTCGATGATCATTGTCCTCTACAACATCCTCTGGGAGTGAGATGCCAGCCATGCCTCGAATCCAGCTAATGGCAGCATCTGTCTCGGCATCTGCTTGGGGAATCTAGTTCGTGTCAGCCTAGCTCAGCAGTTGACTTCTTCAAAAGCAAGGTCATGCTAGTATCGTACAGGCTTTCCTTGTTCAGAGATCAGGAGATCTCTAAACTGAGTGCGATAGCTGTCGACGGCATCTGCGTAGGCCAGAACAGCCTTCTTCCGGTCTTCATACGGAACCTTGGACCATGTCTTGAATGCATCTTTTGCCGCAGCGACCGCAAGATCAAGATCCTCGCGTGTAGCCACAGGCACCTCTGCTTTCGCAGTCAGGTTTGCTGGATTGATGCCATTTCGAGACTTCTCCGTCTGAGAAGGTTTTCCGTTGATGATTTGGACAAAGCGGTCGCTGAAGCTCAGCGTCTTTGAGCGGTCACCATTCGTGGTAGCAGCCATGATGGATGATGTTAGGGGTTGGTGTAGCACTGGCTTGGAAATAACAAGGTGTACCCGGCACTGATATTTGAGTTTTACTGGCAGGATACTGGTAAAGATAAGGTAGGTAAAGGTATAAGTGCATCTTTGAACGGAGACCCGTGAAACTTCGGGTACTCAGCGGGCAACCTAATTACCCCGCAGCTGAAGACGCTCTGGAGACCGGACCGACTGCCAAGGCGAGGAGCATCGCCTCTCCACGCCCCTCCACAGATCCTCGGCTATGGTGATCGTCCATAGGCTCGCCGTCTGAATGAATCCTTTTCGGTTCATGGCGCATATGCATGTCTCAGAACCGTTGAATCTGTTTACCGATGTATTTGCCCAACTTCGGTTCATGCGTTCATGCGTACTCGGGCGTAGTGATTGGCTCAACAACCTGCCTCCGTCATGGGGACTTGGGACGATGGCGATGATTCTCTTGAGTGCCTATGATGAATTGAGGTATGGAATTATGACTCGATCCTGGTGAACCATTCTTTCTCGCCTTCCTTCGCCTTGACCGCAGCCCTCCGAACCAGCGGATCTCCCACCGCTAAACGCAACTTTTCCGCTGTGGCTGGTGAGTTCAGCACAAGTGGTTCCCTAACGTGGTTCATCTCTCGAGCTGCCTTGACAGCTTCTCTCAGCGCAAAGAAAACCGTGCATCCCAAGAACAGCGGCGGCTCTCCCGTTCCCTTACTGCTCTGGATAGAACGCAGTTTGCTCCAGCTAATTGGATTTCCTTCCGAATCGTGTTGCAATGTCGAGACATTGAACTGTTGAGGAATATCGGAGAATCCTGGAACATCGTCAGCGAGATGGACAGATACGCAGAGAAAAGGAACAGAGTGTTGCTCACCTGGAATTTTGTACGTGCCGGGGCCTTTGGTAAAGAGCTCTCCCGACTTGGACCACAGGGACTCCTCCATGGTGAATAGGCCTTGGCCTTGAACAAAAGCGCCCTCTATCTGACCATAGTCGATTGCTGGGTTAATGGAGCGACCAATGTCCTGTGCTAATTCAGCATATGATCATCGGTAATTGGAAAGCTGGGTCACTTACCATCATGATGTCCGTTCGAAGAACCGTCGAGTCTCCTGTCAAAGTATCCAGTTCAACCTCACTAATCGCACTAAGACAATGCTAGTCAGCATACACCTAAGACCTCAGTAGACACTATTGAAACTTACACGCCCTGAGTCCAATAGTAGTACCTGCACCTTGGGCATCAGCAAAGATTACCTGTCACGATCAGAGGAGCGAAGACTTACATGGGCAAAGGATCTTTCCAATTACCCCATTCGTATCCGATTCGTGGCATCTTCCAAAAGCCGTTTGCAGCCAAATTGACTCTGTCCGTGTACGCAGCATGTGCAATCTTCGACATGGGTGCATCGGCCCCATACTTCTCTCGGTATGGTGCGAGACGTTCTCTGAGTTGATCGCAAGCGTTTTTCACAGCTTGACCGTTGAGGTCACTCCCGGAGGATGCGGCGGTCGGAGAAGCGTTTGCAACTTGATCAGTCTGGGAGTCTTTGTTAAAGACCTCATCGACACTAACGCCGAGCTCCTCGGCGGCAACTTGGGCCATTTTCGTGTAAAGGCCCTGGCCCATCTCGGTTCCACCATGATGCAAGAGCACCGAGCCGTCTTCATAGATCTTGGCGTATGCTCCCGCTTGATTCAGGTGAACAGCCGTGGCAAAACTAAGATAAGTCAGCCAGCACTTTGGTCCATCAGTCAAAATCAGTGAAAACTCACCTGAGGCCAAACTTCGTTGGGATCTTCGAAATGCCCCGTTTCTTGAATCGGTGCTTAGAGTTGAACTCCCTAATTGAAGCCTTTCGTTTTTCGTAGTCAGAATTGACGGTGAGTTGGTCCAGCATGGTCGGTACGTGGAAGTCATCGGTGATCTCTTGCAAGAATGGAGTTCGCTGGCCGATTTCGTAAAGGTTACGGCGGCGAAGCTCGTCAACATCAATATGAAGAGCTTCTGATATTTTGTACATCATGCTTTCGCAAATGTACATGCCCTGGGGGCCCCCAAAGCCGCGGAAAGCTGTGTTGCTGACTGTGTTGGTCTTGCAAACCCAGCCTCGAATCCAAGCATGTGGGATGTAATAGCAATTGTCGATGTGGGTGCAAGCACGATCCCTAGTAGTGTTTAGTCAATGGGCGATATGCATGAACGCAATCTACTCACATAACTGCGCCACTCATGTCAAGTGATGCTCCTCCGTTATTGTATACGTCCATGTCGAGAACCTGAATCTTGCCGTGGGAGCTTACGCCTACTTTCCAACGTGATTGGAAAGGGTGTCGCTGGCCGGTGATGGCCATGTCTTCGTCGCGATTTAGCATCATACGCACCGGCCGGTTTGTGCTTCGAGCTGCGAGGGCGATGTACATCGCAATTGGTGTGCTCCTAGACTCCTTTCCGCCATAAGCTCCGCCCATGCGACGAACTCTCATATTCACCCGACTCATTGGGAGCCCCAATACTTGAGCGACAAAGACTTGGTTCTCCATCAGGTTTTGAGTTGAGCAGTATACTTCCATGGAGCCGTCCTCAATGTGCGGGATAGCAAGTGCTGCGTTGGTCTCGAGGTAGAAGTGTTCTTGGCCACCCATCTTGGTGGTACCTTCGATAATGTGGTCGCAACTGCTCCAGGCCTCCGCCAGACAGCCTTCGACAGCATCGCCCTTTCGTAGTTGCTTTCCATGCTTGAAAAAGCTTTCGGCATTGATCGCTTCGTCGATAGTGATAATGGCTGGAAGGTCTTTGTATACAACTTCAACACGATCGGCAGCTGCTCTGGCCTGGAGAGCGGTCTCTGCATAAATCAACGCAATGACCTGTCCATAGTAGCGGATGGTGTCTTCGGCGAAGAGCTCTTCGTCATGCACCACGGCACCCCAGATGTTTGTTCCTTTGGCTGGACTGTTCTTGTCGATGTATCCGACAACACCAGGCATCTCCAAGGCTGCAGTGTAGTCAACACTGACCAACTCAGCATGTGCTCTCTTAGCAAGAACCAAAGCACCAAAGAGTTCGTTGTGCTGTCGAGGCATGTCGTCGAGATACTCGGCTTCGCCTGTGCAATGTTTTAACGCCGAAAGATGAGGAATCGGTCTTCCCACAGTCTGGGTCCCTCTGTTTTTCATGGAAGCAGTGAAGTTGTCGCGGTAGCCAGAGGAAATGTCGCGATGGATCTCTTGAATGAGATCGGCGCTAACTTTGGCCAGGCCCAGTTCATGAACAACCTCATGCCAAAACCGAAAGAACATGGAGATTGTCAACACTGTGCCATTTGTTAGCTTGGTCTATCGACTTTCAAGAACAGAAGTACCTACCTCTGCGGTATTGTGCCATCCCACCAGGCACACCATATGCGAGGTCGAATTGATCCAAGAGTGCATCCGTAGCTACCTCGAGAGTTGCAGCCTCACCCCAGCGCTTCCCAAGAATGGCTTGTTGTGCCTTTTCCGCCATCACAGTGGTGGGCGCCATGCCGCCGAACGCAAACGCACAATCTTCGACGAAACCGTCTTCATCAAGTCGGACTCTCAGACCTGCCGTAACAATGGCAATGTCGTCATCCTTTCTCTTGGCCTGTTTGTACGCTTTGGTTACCTCACGGGTACCCACAGGTGGAAGTGGTACAACAATCTGAGTTATGACACCATCTTCTGGCAGGGCAGTAGTGCGGTAGCGGATGAACCAGGACGATAGGGGGATGTCAAATGTTCCTTTTGTGTGCGATCTCACAACAACCTTAGCTCCCGCTGCCAGAAGCACAGGCGCTGAGTCTGAGATTGGGCTGGCTGTGGCCAAGCTGCCAGCAAGACTCGCAACATTGCGGATCTGACGACCAGCAAAGTAGCGCAGCTGCTTCCGTAGTGCCTCAAAGGCGAAGGCCCGGGGGCCAAGCTTTCCATAAAGATCGCTGCACAGTTCTTCGACTTTGCTCAGAGTGAAATTGCCAGGAATGAAGATCTCATCCAGTGCACTGAGCTCGGCTTGTGTCTGGGGCAAAGGCTCCCGGAAGGTGTTGAGCTCTGCGATGTCTGCTGCAAAGACGTTGACCTGGTATGCCAACTTCTTAAAGCGAACCTCGATCTGTGTTTCACTCGCACCTCCTACAATTTTCGCTGCTGGGTAGGCGGCCTTGAGTTGTAGTAGCTGCTCCAGATTTGTGGGTTTGAACCAAAGTCTTCGGTTATCGCCATAGCAGATAGGTCGTGGTTGGTATTTCCAGAGCGTCGGTGGGAATATTGGCTCGGTTGTCGGGTCATATGGAACCAGAGTCTGCTTGGTGACCATTTCATCTGGTTGATTGGAGGTGATAGGCTCTTCCTTTGGTCTGGGGGCGGATATGGGAGTGTCCATCATGTTTGGAGAGGGTTCCTCCTCGACTGGGAGACAGGAACTGGCCTTCTCCTTCGGTCCATCTCGACAGCAACCTCCCTTTCTTCCACATGAGCCGGCCTTGTCGGAGTTCAGCAAAGTCTGAATATCCTCATCATCTTCAGATGTAGGAGGGCTAGGCTCCGGCTGTGCAACCACGTCATTTATGCCTGCGGGCTTTGGGTTGTCTCGACAACATCCCCCCGGCCGACCGCACGATCCAGGCTTATTCACGGAACTGAGAACCCCATCTTCATCGTCTTCTGATAAGGGCGGGCTGGGTCCAAGATTTTCTTCATCCTCGTCGGCCTTTGCCAGGACGCCATTGAGATCCTCTGTGACAAAGGTACGTGCGGCTTCGAAGATGGGTTTGTACCCGGTCTGCCCTAGTATCAGCGGCCTGTTGGGTGGCCATGTGCTGTCAAAGGAACACTCACACATCTACAGAGATTACCGTCGAGATGGCCTTGAAGTTCGACGTCGGAATGGGTGAGGTGGAACTTCCCATTCCGGTAGGAGTTTCTGACCAATGCGTACAGACTCATTACGATTCCCGGTGTGCAGAATCCACATTGTGTGCCGCTGCAATCGTCAGCTCTTAGCCCTGATTGACAATCCTACGTCTATGTTCGGAGCGGCAGCTGCTCTGAGTTACCAAGTAAAAGAAACGAACTGACGTACTGCATTTTTGCGATCCTTTCTTGCAATGGATGAGGGTGGTTGACATTACCAAGCCCCTCAATTGTTATGAGACTTTTGCCATCGACACCAATCAGCGGATACAGGCAGGCGTTGACAGCAAGATGCTTGATTATTCTGTCTTCCTCCGCAACTTGTAGCACCACGGTACAGGCGCCGCATCCACCCTCACCACATCCCAGTTTGGTGCCCTTGAGGCCATCTTGAGCTCGGATCCAATCAAGGAGAACCCAGTCGGGGTTGGGATTCTTCACAGTGACCGGCCGTCCATTGACAAAGAACTTCAAGACTGACGTCTGGTACGTGGATTTGATGAGAGATGAAAGGGTCGCGGTTTTGCCGGTGTGCCAATCATCGCTATCGGAATCCGATGGAGGCGGAGAGGGTAGACGGTTCATGTTAGGTATGATTGTGAATAGTCTCACGTCGCAGAAAGGTCGAGTGCAAATCGGATTACAATCAGGAGACAAAATCCAGGTATATGCTTACCATTATCAAAGATAACAGCCGTCTCAAGAAGAGGGGCATACGGCATCGGGCTGCCGACTCCCGTGGCTCACATTTCCAGCACAAATACCATGTAACCGACACGGCTTATCGGAGGCACCCCAGATATCCACTTACGCTAAATTTGGTGAAGCCGTTCCCGATGCAAGTCTCTCGAAAAGGGCATCGAGACTAGTCAACGGCTTGGTTTGGAGGGGCACAAGGTGAAGAGTGGGGGCATACGAGGAGGGGGCGCACTTACAAGGGGGAGGGTCAAGATCTGGAACTCCCCCACTCTAGACGACGAACTCTTCTAGATATGGCAATCGAAGGCTTGACTAACAGTAACATTGGACTTAGCCCCTCGCATCCCAGGAACAGTATCTCGAGGTACAGAGCCCCTCCGGGGTACAGATGGATGGAGGATCCTTGAAGACAATCGTGCAGCCGAGCGTCCGAACGCCGCCGGGCTTGTTTAGTTGAAAAGATCTAATCACCGCAAAGAAACACATATATCAACTGGAGTTGGTTTCGCGCAATCAATGGGGTCATTTCATTGACTGGAAGACGAAAAATATGGTATCCGATCCAGTAAATGCTGGTACTTCACCAATCCATTCAACCTACGATGCGCGAATTGAGGCTATTCGCGAATATGAGTATCCTATGCTCAAAGGTAAAGCAATATGAGTACAAGAGTCCTGGTGCTTTAAAGGCAACCTCGCTGACAGATGATCATAGATCAGGTCTACCTCGACCATGCGGGTATGACTCTACCAGCGAAATCTCTGATGACTTCATTCGGGAATGAAATGTCAACCACCCTGTTTGGCAACCCTCATTCAACGTCCACGTCCTCTCAGCTGTCCACTTCACGAATAGAGGACATTCGCACGCGCGTGCTTCAGATTTTCAACGCAGACCCAGCCAGATTGGACGTAGTCTTTGTTGCTAATGCGACGGCTGGCATCAAGCTCGTGGCCGAAGCGCTACGAGGCACACCAGAAGGATTCGACTACATTTACCACCAATGGAGTCACACCAGTCTGGTTGGCGTGAGACAAGAAGCCAAAAACAGCATGTGTGTTGACAGCGAGGGAATGATCAATTGGCTGGATAAACAGTCCCGCGACTGTCAAGTTCGCGCTGATAGGCCAACACTTCTCGCATATCCAGCCCAATCAAATCTCGACGGCCGACGTTTGCCCTTGAGCTGGTGCAATCTGGCACGAACATCAAAAGAAGGGAAACGAATTGTTACGATGCTGGATGCGGCTTCTTATGTTTCAACTTCTATGCTCGACCTTTCCGATCATCATTCTGCACCAGACTTTACGGTCTTAAGCTTCTACAAGATATTCGGCTTTCCGGACGTGGGGGCTTTGGTCGTCAAGCGAGAATGTGCAGACGTTCTGATGAAACGAAGGTATTTCGGTGGAGGTACGGTGGACTCAGTTATCAGTGGACCGGAAGCTTGGCACGCTCTGAAGACACGGAGTATTCATCAACTCCTCGAGGACGGCACTCTCCCTATACACAACATACTCGCTCTAAACACTGCTATGAATACACATTCCCGACTGTTCGGCACTATGAACGATATATCGACACATACTTCTTACCTGTCCAAGAGACTGAAGCGCCGCCTGCGAGCACTTCGACATGGCAACGGGACGCCTGCGTGTGCAGTTTATTCAATCGAGCCGGAGCATCACAATGATGTCGGATGTGGGCCAATAGTAGCGTTCAATCTCAAGAACGAGCACGGTTCCTGGATTTCTCTTGCCGACTTTCAGAAACTAGCGAGCCTGCAGAACCTGCATCTCCGAACAGGCACTGTTTGCAACCCCGGAGGGTCGTCTGAAATACTCGGATTGTCATCTGCCCAAGTTAAGAAGAACTACGCGGACGGCTTTCGATGCGGAGACGACAACGATCTCATAAATGGCCAGCCAACGGGAGTCATTCGAGCCAGTCTTGGGGCGATGAGTACGGAGTCAGATGTCGACAGATTCATCAACTTCGTCCAAGAGTTTTACGTAACGAGGAGTGACATTACGGCAAAACCAGACGAGATTCGGTATGGTCAAGACATCACTACTGGCACCATACAAGACATAATTGTATACCCGATCAAGAGCTGCAAAGGCTTTCATATCCCGAAAAACATATCCTGGCAAGTGCGGCCTGAAGGACTCATGTGGGATAGAGAATGGTGCCTCGTGCATCGCGGCACTGGCCGAGCTTTGAGCCAGAAGAGGTACCCTCGCATGGCTTTACTACAGCCAAGTATCGATCTCAAAAATGGGACGTTGAGCGTTGTTTACTTGGGCTTCACACCTCACGGCACACCAGACTCTGTCTCAATCCCCCTGACGGAGGACTCAGACATGAGTGATTCACGAGGCCTGCTTGAATGGACGGTCTCCAGAGTATGTGGTGAGACTGTTAACGTGGAAAGATACATCTCTCATCATATCAGCGAGTTCTTCTCCAATGCACTTGATGTACCTTGCGACCTCGCTCGTTGCTCGCCCAAGATCTACAAAGCAGCTATGAGGCTAGGGAAAGTCCGTCGGCTCCCGAAAATGTGCCCTCAAAGCGCATGGGATCAGACATGGAGTGGCCCCTCGGCGCCTGCATGCACGACACTGGGGACGACTCAGCATAATACAAAAGGCCACCAAATTCTTCTTTCCAACGAAAGCCCAATACTGGCGGTCACAACATCCAGCCTTGAAGCTCTGAATGCCGCGATTCGAGCCAGCGGTGGTCGAGATGTATCAGCGGACGTGTTCCGTGCGAATATTGTCATTGCATCTTCACCAGAAGCATCCGCATACGCCGAGGATGGCTGGTCGGACATTCGAATCGGCAAGTTGAAATTCAGTGTTCTCGGCCCTTGTCAGAGATGTCACATGGTCTGCATCGACCCTGAGACAGGGGTCAAGGGCGCCGAGCCTTTTGTGTCACTTTCGAGGACAAGGCGATTTGATGGCAAGGTCTGGTTCGGCGTTCACATGACCATGGACCGGCATGTTACCACTGAGGATTCGTCGGAGGAAGCCCACGTAGTCAGCGTGGGACAACGCATTCTGGGTAACCCGGCAAAGTCTCCGAACTTGCCGGAGTTAACTTGAGAGAGCGTTGGTGCCACTTGTGGTCCTTGGAAAACCCCACGATCGGAACCTGTATCCGGATGCGATTGTCTGAATGTCTCGAAACTGATAAGAGTCAAAGATAGAGGCCGATAGTGCAACGCCAGCATTTTCGTGGCTACCAAGACTCAGGCTTCTGGGGTGGGTTCAAGAGTGGGGGATAAGAGTGGGAGCAAACACCGGTTGATGAGGTCTTAGGTTTCTCGCCTTGGGACGATCACACCCTGGCCTCAATTATTGGAGATTCTTCAGATGCAGGTAAATGTTTTGGTGATTGGCTCTTCAATCGCGGGGAAGTGCTGTGCATGTGACGCTGCAGCATCTATTCCTACGGGCACATATGGATGACAACACCTGCTTAGCGAAGCATGCATGCACCACGGCCTGTAGACCTCGACGGCACACCAAACTCCTCTATACGTTATTGTGGTATCCAAGAAAAGAGGAATAGTGCATACGACGCTACAAAGAACGACAATCAAAGATCTTGGGACTGGACGTCGAAGACAGCTTGTCATAAAACATTGAGGTTGCCTTCTCGTTCATGCAGGGCGAACCTCTTTAAGGAACCGAGCGTTTCGCCCCCTGATTATTCATATCTCCGGCTTAGGCTGGCGGAGCTTTCTTCCCGATACCCCTGGATCTGGTTGAGTAATGATATCGATTTCCAAGAGTGGGGGGCATCTAGCTTTCAGCACCCACTTCTGTGCCCCACCCTCAGGGTGAAATTTGGCGATAGCTTCAATTTTGAAGCTGCTTCTGACGGCTGATGCAAGTGTCAATGAAGAGTTGCTCACAGTGTATCATATGATCACTAGTCGCAATTACTTTACTTTCATCGAGTGATTATGAAGTTGCTGCTTAGCCCGGCCGGCTCTTAGGAAGCAGCGCCCTTGATCTTCAACTTGTCAATGAGATCGCTTTGAACATAGGTGTGAAAGCTCGGTGTTACCATTTTGAGCGTGGGATGCAGATGAGATTGTTGTGGCGAAAGACTTAGCTCAAGAGCTACCTGCCGACCCATCAGATCCCCCATTCTCCTCCTTATATACATCATACTTGTACGACGATCCGGGGTGGTCGCTCCGCAGCTCCTTCTGGCCCTGCCCATAAACCTTCTCTCTCGCAGTAAGCTGCACATTCTCCGCCGGCGCCTCGGGATACAGACCGCGACGTCGCAGTTCGGGAATGAGAAGATCAACAACATCCACAAAAGAGCCGGGCGTAGTGACGTATCCAATGTTGAACCCATCCAAGTCACCCTCGCGGATCCAGTGCTCCATGTCGTCCGCCACCTTCTCCGGACTACCGACCGAGACCGGGCCGAGGCCACCGATAGCCGCCCGCTCGGCAATCACGCGGGGCGTCCACTTCGGGACGTGCTCGCTTGTGGTCGTGAACGCGTCCAGGATACTCCGCACCTTGTGCGCCTCCAATGAGTCGGCCGCAGTGACCTCCTGGTCGACCGGGATCTTGGAGAGGTCGATACCTGTCCAGCCGCTGACCAGGACAAGACCTCCAACGACGGATGCGTACTTCTTGAGCTCTTCGTGCTTGGCCTTGGCTTCCTCGTCGGTACGGCCGACAATTGGGGTGAAAGTAGCGAAGAACTTCACAGATTGAGGGTCTCGGCCGAGAGCTGCAGCCCTGTCTCTGATCTCCTTGACCTTGGGCCTCAGAAGCTTGGGCGAGTGGGAGGATACGAAGATACCCTCGGCATGTGTTGCCGCAAACTCTGAGCCTGCTGCTGACGTGCCTGCCTGGAAGAGAAATGGGGTTCTTTGCGGCGAGGGATCGACAATGTGACGAGTATCAAGGTCGAAAAACTTTCCGTGGTGGTGAATCGTGCGGATCTTATCGGGGTCGGCATAGCTGTCGTTCTCGGGGTCTGGCGAGATGGCATCGTCTGCCCATGAACCCTCCCACAGCCTGAAGTTCTCAAATTAGTTGGGGGCCATCGTCAAAATTTCGCTGAACAAACATACTTGTAAAGAACGCGCAAGTACTCGTCCGCCTGTGCGTATCGCTCGTCGTGAGGGATCGGGCTGTCTAGACCAATGGCCTTGAACGCTGCCTTCTTCCATGAAGTCACAATGTTCCACCCAATGCGACCTCTAGTAAAGTGATCCAAGGTAGAGAACCTCTTCGCAAGTAGGAATGGCGGCTCGAATGAGGTTGATGCTGTGATGGCGAATGAAAGGTTCCTCGTCACGGCAGCCATGGCACTAATGGGCTATCATCTAGTCAGGAATTCCCTTTTTCACTTTCAGGAGTTGACATACGATTGTGGGATCCGTCATGGGCCATTGAGCCGCACGGCGAATGCAGTTGTCGAGACTTCCCTCGTACGTATCGTATCCGCCGTAGGTGTCGGCAAGGAAGAGCGAGTTGATGCCACCCCTCTCCAGGAGCTTCGCGAGTTCGATCCAATAGTTGAGGTCGCGCTTCGTCGCGGACTTATCTTCTGGGTTCTGCGATCCTCCCCGTCAGTCCATCGAATTCCTGAAAACCGTCAATCAGCTGCACTTACCTTCCATTGCCCGGGTGACAGGTGGCCAATGGTGGACATGTCAAAAGCATTCAGCAAAATCTGTTTCTTGCCCTCACCCTTAACGCCATTCTCGCCATTGGTTGCGCTGTGAATCGGGACTGAAGTCATTTTCACCCGCTTTCTCTCCGGTGATTCAGACATTGGTTCAACCTCTCGTCAATCAGCAACGAAACTGTCTAGGTCTCATCCCAGTCCCCAAACCCGCGGGGCTTGAAGGCGCCTTTATCATCTCTTCATGATCCTGAAGTCGCTTCCTTGGCCGGACGGCGCGCGATGCATGGAACTGGATAAAAATCCCACATTTCGTCATCGCCGTTGTCGCCCGCCGCGTGGGACTCGCGCGGGATATTATCTGCAAGAATCTCCAATTGCGACGGCCCCAAATGCAGGGCGAGGCTCTGGCGTGATTGCAGGTGTGGATGGTGCCATGAGCACACACCAAACGGATTCGAAGCAGTTACGTTTAGAGCCCAGTCTTCGGTCGGCTATTTTAGTTCCTGGCGGGCGTTAAACCCGTTTAAATTGGCGAGCCATGCGATATCTTATTCAACAAGCCGGAGGGATCCCGACGCTTGCCTTGCTGTGGCGGGGATACCGCAGGTCGAGACTTGTCGATGAGCGGGTCGCAACTGCGTTGAATGTCACGATAATTGGCTTCAACACTCAGCTAATAGGGTATAGTAATGAAGACGATTTTCACTTGAGCATCTCATGTCTGATGGGTTGATGAGCCGACCGGCTGCGGAAGACGGGAGGCCCCCGCTATTGACGGTACCGCCGACATCTAGGTTTCGCCATCACCCGACTGTGGACTCATCGTGACAAGGACTTTGCAAGTAGGATAATTGTGAAAAACACACAAGTCATATTGATCGCGTATATGAGTGAACATAAGTCAGGTTACGAGCTGGAAGTCTTTCCCAGGTGAGACTTAAAGGGAAAGACCTGATCAAGCCCGAGCGATTATGGTTCGTTCACTCATGGCTGCGACATACTCTCAGCCAGATTTTTGTTGAAAGGGAAATAAAGCATCATCGGCTACCATCGGAACAATATCTATATTTGCGATTCTTCTCAACCTTCTTGGCCATAACTCTGCAGAAACTTGAATATGATATTTTTCAATGGCGTATGCCGTGCGACCATAGCCCCCACGCCTTCCAAGGATCACCGTCTTCTTCCAGGGAAGACATGTTAGTCGCTTCTATCATCCCTGCCACTGACCACAACAGGTGGTCTCTTTCCATCCTCTACCGTGGCCCCGTCGTCGCTGTGAGTGTCAGGGAAGCCTGTGGAATTCTCGACCTGGGGGCTGTTCAAGTTAGTTGATGATCAGATGTTGGCGCTTCGCTGACTACTTACTCTCGTCTCTTGACATATAATCGCAGAATGTGCGTCGCAATGATGAGCAAAATAGAGGAACCGAGTGTGAACGCGAAACCTTTGCGGTAGCGCGGTGCCTCGACTGTGGGAAACACCAGCAGTGGGGTCCACGCGGTTGATGACTGCGAGATGGCGTTGATGAGCACCAGAGTAAACGATCGTTCTGCGGGCGATGCGCGCAACTGCGTGTTAACCCAACCATGAAGAACGCTCGACATCGCGACTGAGGAGTAGATGGTCGAGAAGGCGAACCACTTCGCAAGCTCGGGGACATCCCAGATTGTCAGAATGATCAGGCCGATACTGTTCCAGGAGATCGACATCGTTATCGCCCAAGCCGGGCCCATGACGAGGTCGGAAGCGAAGCAGACAAAGAGGGTATAGAATATCCCCAACGCGGGTGCGATGGTACCAAGTTCGTTCACCTTGGCCGCGGAATACCGCGCAAGACTCTTGATCCAGAGCAAGAAGCTGCCGGAACTGGTGTGGATGCCCGCGTTCCAGAAGAGCACGTCGACAATGACGATGCCCCAGAATTGCGGCGATAGGATAATCTTCTTAAGAGCTGGAAACTTGAACCTCCCGTGGGACGCGTGGCCTGCGCGCTTCAGTCTCTCGACGCTGAGTTCGATGTTTTCTCTCTTCAACACCAGACGGTTGGGCTGCTCCGGTGTGCCGGGTATCACGAAGTAGCCCAGCACGCCAATCGGGATGGTGATGAGGGCGCAGATGATGTACATCCAGCGCCAGCCTGCAAGGCCGTTCACGCCATCCAGACGGGCTGATGCACCTGCTTGAATCAAGCCTGCGGTAAGCGTGCCCAAGGAGAGACCGACGTAGAAGATGCCTCCGCGCCGGGCGATCTCGTCACCACGGTACCACGAACCTGCCACCAGTCAGTTTTCCCTTGCAATGAATCTGCTTTAAAGGGGTTCTTTGAAGGGGTTCTTGCCAAAGAGATAGTGCATAGCCGGGAAGAAAGCAGCCTGTATCATGTCAGACGGTCCGAGATGGGTCACAGGCTCAACTCAAACTGACCTCAAACCATCCAACAAGGAAGCGGTATGCAGCCAGCTCAGCGAAACCAGTAACGCGGAACTGAAGAAGCGTGAAGACGCCCCAGCAGATATCAAGACACGGTATCAACCAGTGCATTGGGATGTAGGTAAGCAGGAACATGATCGGGATCTGTCCCGTGACGGCGCCGATGATGTAGAAGGTCTGGAGCTGGACAAGCTCATTGCCCTTGAACCCAAGATCTTCTTTGAGACCTGCGACGTAGGCATTGTCTTCTACTGTTAGATTCTGCTATCGAATGTAAAGCTTTGAGATATTGAACATACTCAAGTTTGACTGATCGATGTACCTGTGTTGCAGTTAGCACATCGCCATTCATCGAGGCCAAGGTAGGCACACTCACTTGATCCAGTAGCTGAGCACAGCGTAAGGCACGATCAAAAGATCCAATTTGCCAATGAGCTTTCGCTCCTCGGGCGTGTCGGTGTCGGCATACCACTGGATGTGCCACCACTTGCGGCGCGCTTGAACAACCATGGCGGACGTCGATGAACGGGGTCTTGCTCGGCAGTGAGCAAACAAAATGCCCGAATAGTAAATGGTTCTGCGAACTTCCTAATCCTACCAAGACATACATGAACTCGCAGGACCCTCCATCCTTTAGTATCATCCCATCATCCCATCACCTTACCACCGCATCCCATGTCCAAAATCTCTTTCCTATCCCTTGTCGTCGGGTTGCGTGCGCGCGAACGCCACAAGTTCTAATGGAACCAGACTTGCAATCAGGCCCGACTCGTCGCCCACGCGAAACAAGACCTTGGCGCGGGAGACGCAGCGCAGGTCCAACACACAGAAGACGGCCAGAAGAACCCGAGAGACGGGGACATCAGGGGGAGAGAGACTACTGCGTAATAGCACCGCACAGAACTCAGATCTGGAGGGGGCGGGAGTCATCCGCACGCAGGCGAGAATCTTCAAGCTCGTCTTTGGGCAGTCCATTGCACCATCCCAGGGCACATTGATGTGACACCCAGACCAGCTGTGACAGGCTGCGCTCCCGAGGCGATGCGTCCTGGCATTTCGATAAAGCGACGCATCCCTGTCCAAGATCCGCTTACACATGCCAAGCTCCAAAGCCCCAAATCCTCTCGCCGGATTGGAGACCCTTTTTTCCCTCGTTGTAACTTCCAAAAAGATGCGGATCCGACGCGCCGGACGGAAACTTCAAACGGGGCCCCGAGGTGTCTTGGGAGAGGTCCGATCTATGGAAACGTTCTGACAGGGGGTAGGGGAGACGAAGCTATTCCCCAAGAAAGTGGGGATATGGCGTGCTCCCCAACATTCGCGCACCTCATCTCCAGCGCGGCAACCCGCGAAGATAATACCCGCCCTCCTCGGCAGCGGGGTTGGAGGGATCCATTGGCAAAGCTTCCGTGGTGGAGTGGGTTCATTCGCTCTCGGGGTGAATAAGCTGGCTGCGTCGAGATAACAATGGCTTAGCTGTGATAGGACGACGGCGGCTGAGGCTGGGTTGTGCCGTCGAGGAGGTGCGCGAAAGCCCGCTTCATGTGTGTGTAACGCGTTCGAGGGCATCTCTGACGTGATTCCGATGGCCGGGCCGGCGAGGGGTCGGAGGGGTCGTCGGTCAAAATGGTGGCTTTCTCAAATGGGACAGCGATTCAGTGAAGCTGTCTTGGACTTGGTGAAAGCTAAGCATCACATCTCAGTGCCAATTTCTGGAGTCTAGACTGCCATCATGGGTGACTATCACACTGAGAACACGACACCACCAAACGAGGCCAATGGCTTTGACAAGACCAAGGGTGCCGTGCCCGAGACACCAGCCAAGCAAACACTCATCGACAGGACAGTCGACGCGCTGCTCACGCCGCCAAAGTCGGTCTATGAAGATGTTTCGCTTGAGCTTCCTGACAGATATATCGACGAGCCACGGTCTCTGCGCGTAACCGTCATTGGCGCAGGCCTCTCTGGAGTTCTCGCTGGCATCTTGCTGCCTGCTAAGGTCCCTGGCGTTAAGCTCACAATATTTGAAAAGAACGCCGACGTGGTATGTCTAATGGATGTTCTTATCAACTCTGAATTACTAACAGATTATCTCAGGGAGGCACTTGGTTCGAGAACGTGTATCCCGGCGTGCGCTGCGACGTGCCCGCCCACGTCTACCAAGCAACCTTCGACCCAAACACCCAATGGACAGAGCAATTCGCGCAGGGCGCGGAGATCCGCGACTACTGGAAGGGCCTGTCGAGAAAGTACGACGTCTACAAGTACCTCCAGCTCTCCCAGCAGGTCGAGGGTCTGAACTGGGTCGACTCCCAAGCCGTATGGCAAATCACCGTCCGCGACCTCAAGACGGACGCGATCCGCATAGAAGAGGCCGACTTCGTTCTCACAGCCATCGGCCGCTTCAACGCCTGGAAGCTCCCAAACTACCCCGGCATCCACGACTTCAAGGGCGTCCTCCGCCACGCCTCCAACTGGGACCCCAGCTTCGAACCCCGCGATAAGAAGGTCGCCGTCATTGGCAACGGCGCCAGCGGCATCCAGCTCACGTCAAACCTGCACAAGGTCGTCTCGCGGCTGGACCACTATGCCCGCAACAAGACCTGGATCACGGCCTCCTTCGCCGGCGACGAGACCTCCATCGAGCCCATCCCCGTTTCCGAAGATCTGCGCGCCAAGTTCCGCGAGGACCCGGAGGCGTACCTCGCGTACCGCAAGGACATGGAGAGCAAGTACTTCCGCCACTTCACCGGCTGGCTCAAGGGGTCTGCCGACAACGAGGAGGCGCGCGAGAAGTTCCGCACGTTCATGAACGACCGGCTGGCTAAGAAGCCTGAGCTCATCGACGCCCTCATCCCCGACTTCAGCCCGCACTGCCGCCGGTTGACACCGGGCCCGGGGTACCTGGAGGCCATCACCGCCGAGAAGACAAACTACATCCAGACCCCCATCCGGCGGTTCACCGAGACGGGCATCGAGACGGAAGACGGCACGCACCGCGAGGTCGACGCCATCTTCTGCGCAACAGGCGCCAACGTCGACATGGTCCCGCCCTTCCCCATCACCGCGCGCGGCGAGGACCTGTCCAAGCTGTGGCGGTCCGACGGCAAGTACGGCTTCCCCTACACGTACCTCGGCTCCGCCACCCCGGGGTTCCCGAACCTGCTCTTCATCCACGGGCCCAACGGCTCGGGGCGCTCCGGGACGGTCCCGCACAACGTGGAGAACCAGATCACGTACTTCGCGCGGATCCTGCGCAAGTCGGCGCGCGAGGGCATCAAGTCGCTGCAGGTGTCGAAGCGGGCGGCGGACTGGTTCACAGAGTACTCGGACGCGTTCTTCGCGACGACGGTGCTCTCGGAGAACTGCAGCTCGTGGTACAACAGCGGCAAGCCGGGCTCGCGGGTGCACGGGCTGTGGCCGGGGTCGGCGTCGCTGGCGACGATTGTGCAGCGGGAGCCGCGGTGGGAGGACTTTGAGTATGAGTACCTTGGGGATGCGGAGAACCCGTTCTTGTGGTACTTTGGGAAGGGGTGCACGAAGAAGGAGCTGGATGAGAATGCTGATGTGACGCCGTATTTGAAGGCTGGGGTTGTTGATCCGAAGGATGTGCATGAGAGTTGGCATACTGTTCCATAGATGACAGTCATCGAATGGCATTCTGAAATGAGTAAAGATGAAATCATGAGCTTTTTGATATTTTTGAATATCACTCTCTTAGTCAAGGTCACGTTCTACCAGATGGCGATAATCCTCGTCTTCCAGAGGTAAGCCGTCTCAAGGACCTGCTACCATATTTCGATCTCAACGACAGGTAACCCGAAAGAATATCTCGGTCATACCTCCCAATGTGACTTCATCGATCATCTCACGTCGCTGACCCGAGGCTATGGTTCTTCGAGGCAATGACATGCCAAGACCTCACATCAAACCCTGACACTATGCCCATCATCCAAACCACCATCACATCTTCCGGAAGCTCTTCCACGTGCGCTCGAGACAGTTTTCTAGCCCCCGAATCGTCCCACAGCTCTGGTTCAACGCTTGTTCAAGTTGGGGGTGATACTCCGGCACGGTGCATCAGTGCGCCGGCGACGGAATGGCGTGCTGTCCCCGGCTGATTTCGCAACCCCCCAACGCCGAGCGAACCCCCGTCGCCGGAAATTTTAGACTGCAAACCTGGACGCAGGTTAGCTTCAAACGCGCAGTTATTGGATCAGCGCTTTGTCAAAGAGGCCGAGGAGACAAGAAGCACAGGAAAAAAAAGTTTGTTCTGGACCCTGTCTGACAGGGCCATCTGTTCGCCTGTCCGGCACATGGTGAAGAACCCTGGAACGATGTCTCGCAATGACATCCATCCCTGCATGGTTTCTGATGTGCTTGCGGTGAATGATAAGACGAAGGATTCCCGTTCCCGTGGGTCTTGGTCCATCATTGTAGACGGAAGTCAAACTTGGGCTGTAGCCATCATCAGCATCAAAGCGTGTCTGTCTTTTTTCCAACATTGGTTCACGACACTCAGTCAAGATGGCTGAATACGCAGACGCCAGCAAGGGCGATGTCATCCCTCCAAAGGAGGAGAGACACCCAGGTATGCTCAACTCTGAGGCTTCTCAATTGGCTCGATTACACGCTGACATGCGGCGGAACAGTAAAATGGTACCGCTCAACCTTCTACAACATGACGATCCTCGGCCTCTGCAACCTCGCCGCGCCCGGCATCTGGGGCGCCATGAACTCCCTCGGCGCAGGCGGCGCCGCCTCGCCCAAGGTGGTCAACGCCGCCAACGCGCTGACTTTCTGCCTCATGGTCGTTTCGTGCTACTTCTCGTCCGTCCTTGTAAAATATATCGGCATCAAGGGAGCCTTGATCTTTGGAACGTACGTCTCTTAGCTTCTCAGATTCGCATTACACGGTCACTCTGTCGGATTTCATCTCGACTAACACTGCGAACAACAGCATGGGCTACGCCCCCTTCGCCGCCGGCCTCTACACCAACAACCGCTACGGCGTCGAGTGGCTCATGCTCCTCGGCGCCGCCCTCTGCGGTATGTCTTGGCAGATACTTTGCGTGAGGTACTGAGACTGACTGAACTCCAGGTATATCTGCTGGCGTTTTTTGGGCCGCGGAGGCCGCAATCGCGATCGCCTACCCGGAGCCCTGGAACCGCGGCAAGGCCCTCGGCTACTGGCTGACCTACCGCCTCTGCGGACAGATCCTCGGCGGCGCCATCAACCTGGGCCTGAACGCCGACAACGACCAGGCCGGCAAGGTCTCGTACACCGTCTTCATCGTCTTCATCGCCATCCAGGCCGCCGGCCCGTTTGTCGGGCTGCTGCTGAACAAGCCGGACCAGGTGCAGCGGCAGGACGGGCGCAAGGTCAGCCTGGAGATTGTGGAGAACCCGTGGTTCGAGATCCAGGCGACGACGCGGAGCTTTTTCAATGTCAAGTTTCTGCTGGTGGTGCTGTGGATTGGGCAGGCGGTGTTTTCGGAGGCGGTGTTTTTCACGTATCTTGCGAGTAAGTGCGCCGTGAGTATGGATGGGTGGATGAGTGCTGACGTTTTGAAGCTTGGTTCTCGGTCCGCTCTCGTGCGTTGGGATCTTTCCTGTCCGGCATCGTGGCCGTCATCTCCGGCAACCTCCTTGGTGTAAGTAACCCCTCCCGTCCTGCTTTCTACGCCTTTAGTTGCTAATGATATCTCGTCCTGCAGCACTGGCTCGATCGCGCTCAAATCTCCCTCAAAACCCGCACCCGCACCACCTTCTGGGGCCTCGTCGTGACCCAAGGCGCCTGGTGGACCTGGGCCACGATCCTCGCGACGCGCTACCGCACCACGCGCCCGACGCATGATTGGGCAGACGGCGACTTCGGCGCCGCCTTCGCCGTCTACATCTTCCTCACGATCGGCTTCCAGCTGAACTACCTCTTCCTCTACTTCATCGTCACGAACCTCGCGAAGGGCGAGGAGGAGGTGATCCGGTACGCGTCGCTGCTGAGAGGCACCGAGAGCGCGTGGCAGGCGGTGAGCTACGGGCTCACGAGCCTGACGCTGTTTGGCGAGGTGGGCGGGATCTACTTCAACTTTGCGCTGTGGGCGATGGCGATTGGGCCGGCGTGGCTTGTGTTGAAGCATTTTGGAACTGGGGAGAGGGGGGTGGAGGAGGTGGGTGGGAGTGGTGTTGTGGAGAGCGAGGATGGGGATTCGCAGACGAAGCATTAGATGCGGAGGGTCAATAGGTTCATCGTGGTAGATCCAGATTTTCAGTGTTGTGCTGTGAAGCTATTCACAGCTTGGCTGTTAAGATTATAATTCAATTATCGTTGCACGTAATCACATAATGCTGGGCCTCATCACATCGTAAACATGGAAGCTCCTCCAAGTCGGCACTGAGCGCATGTGAGATTCAACAAGCGACGACATTATCCAGAGCATCATGCACCAGCGTATCCACAGCGCCGGGACACATGCCATCCAGGATCGCAATCATCTCCAAACCTTCAGCATCGCATTCGACCAAAGCCAGCGCTTCCAATTACCCCTCACAGAACCCCACACCCTGCGGTCCTCCGTCGTCCGCAGAACGCGTCCCTCCGGGTGGTAGCATTGCAATTCGCGACGCTCCGGTTGGGCCAGCTCGCCTTCGGGGCTAACATGACGTGATGGCCTCACGTTGAAACCTTGAGCTCCATTACACGCGGTCGCGGCGTGCGGAGTGGGGGCCGCGAGCTCTTATTGCTTGACCGGCTGGCTGCTTAACGGCTAAAATGGCAAAGTCGTACGGCAATGCAGTAAACATGCATCGAGATAAGAAGATTGCCCTCGCTGAAGATCTATCCGAGGTTGTTCAGTGTGGGGTCCGCGTCTTGCGCCACCGCGCCGTCCGGTGGTGTCATCGCCCCGGCTCCACGGTGCCGGACCCACGCCGAACATCGGGAGGGGCAGCGCTATGCGTTGGAGAAGTTGCCCCGAATGCGCGTCACAACCGGCTGAGGGCACCTTGATTACCCCGCGCTCGCGTCGCTGGTGGGAAGAAGACGGTCTCCGAGAATTTTTGCGGTTGAGGAAAATATTTACCCTTTTCCAGTTGTTGTCCCGCTTGGAAAATCTGTTGTTTTTGAAGATTCACGATACCGAAGCACGTGAGAGACGCGAGACGAGAGAAGCAATCATGGCCGACGCGAACGGAACAAAGCCGAAGACGAGCTTGGTGCTCAATGCCTTCGTTGAGATGTGTAAGTCCCCAATTCATTGCTGTAAGCTGGGTGACAATCGAAGAAGCTGACCAGGACGCAACACAGGCAGTGGACATCAGTCCCCTGGACTCTGGAGACATCCCGACGACGAGTCCTGGCGATTTAACGAGATCAGCCACTGGGTCGAGCTGGCGAAGCTTCTCGAGGAAGCCAAGTTTCACGGCATCTTCATCGCAGACGTTCTCGGTAAGACGCGCTTGCTCTACCTCGGTTTGCTCAACGCGACGGCTGACATCTGGGAGGCGGCTACGACGTGTATTCGCAGTCGCTTGACCCTGCAAAGATCTCCGGCGCGCAATGGCCCGTCAACGAGCCTCTTGCCCCCATTGCAGCCATGGCTGCTGTGACCAAGAGCATCGGCTTCGGAGTGACGGTGTCGACGACGTACGAGCAGCCATACCACTTGGCTAGGCGTCTGTCCACGGTTGATCACCTCAGTGGTGGGCGGTAGGCCCCCCTATCATGAATTATGAAGTTAAGAAGCTAACACGATGTCAGTCTTGGATGGAACGTAAGTTTAAGCCGAAGAAGGAGGACACCGAGGAAACAAGCTGACCAAGACAGATCGTGACGAGCTACCTCGATTCCGCAGCCAAGAACATGGGCCTCGCCCAACAACCCCAGGTAAGCCGCCACCGACTGCTCTCAACACCGTCAAACATACTCACAAACCCAGCATGACGACAGATACGCCCAAGCCGAGGAGTACATTAAGGTCATGTACAAGCTCTTCGAGTCCTCATGGCGCGACGACGCCGTCAAGCTCGACCGCGCGAAAGGCATCTACACCCAGCCCGACCTCGTGCGCAAGATCAACCACGAAGGGCGCTTCTTCAACGTCCCCGGCCCTCACATCGTGCAGCCCTCGCCGCAACGCACGCCGCTCCTCCTGCAGGCCGGCACGTCCAAGGCGGGCAAGCAGTTCGCGGCGCAGCACGCCGAAGCCATCTTCGTGTCGGCGCACGCGCCGGCGGTGTGCGCGAAGAGCATCGCCGAGATCCGCGAGCTCGCGCGCACGGAGTACGGCCGCGACGGCAACAGCATCAAAGTGCTGGCGCTGGTGACGCCGATCCTGGGCGCGACGGAGGCGGAGGCGCAGGCGAAGCTGGCGGAGTACCGCAAGTACGCGTCGCACGAGGGCGCGCTGGCGCTGTTTGGCGGGTGGACGGGGATGGATTTGAGCAAGTACGGCGACGAGGAGGAGCTGCGCGAGGTGGAGAGCAATGCGGTGCGATCGACGGTCGAGGGCTACGCGCGGTTCTCGCCGGGTACGGCGAAGTGGACGAAGCATACCATTGCGGAGCATGTTAGCGTTGGTGGTAACGGACCAATCTTTGTCGGCACGGCGGCGCAGGTTGCGGACGGGTTGGAGACGTGGATTGCGGAGGCCGATGTGGATGGCTTCAACTTTGTGAGTGGACTTGATGTCTTGGATGAGATGAGTGCTGACAGCGATTGCAGGCGTATGCGCTCTTCCCCCAGTCGTTCAAAGACATCATCGACCTGCTTCTTCCGGAGCTGCGCCGTCGCGGGCTGTTCTGGGATGACTATGCCGTTCCGGGCGGCACGTACAGAGAGAACTTTTACCGCAAAAAGGGACAGTCGGGACCGTTGGATGAGCACGTTGCTTCGTCGTACCGGTGGAAGGCTGGTGTGTCGGCGGAGGAGGCCAAGATTCCCGAGTAAAGTGTCTGGCTAGGGCAGCATGAGAAAGAGAGAAAATAAAATGAAGCTATTCACAAGACCAAAATGGCAAGATCGTGTCTCTTTCCAGGTCATGGAAGTGTGGGGGCCCAAATGGCATTCTTGCGTTATGACTGGATGCTCGAGCGGGAAGGGTGGACCTCGCAGGTACGTACCGTTGGCTAAAGCCGAGATTCGTCCGGCCGAGCTGTGCCGAAGGAAGAGCTCGCATCTACGGAAGTTTGGGACGGGCTCCATTTTACTTTGCGGCGTCGTTTCGATGGGCCCCGGTTAAGTCATGGTGACCACGCCTAGCATTCGGTGGAGATGGCCTTCAAAGATAAGAGGCTCCCTATGATTTCGCGATGCAGAGATGAGCAGACTGTCAGTAATAAGTAAATAATCCAAAGGCCAATTCCAAAGAGTGGAAAATCTCCTGACGGCCTCAGCCCAGAATTGCTTGGAATAAAGCGGAATTGCGCGCTGCTGATTGGCCAATTGCTGTCGGGTGCTCGTCTGTCGGCTCTCACCGAAGGAAGGTTTCCAGTGGTGCGGTGCCTGGCTCAGCGTGCTACGAAGCTGCCCTGCGGCGTCCCTCACCCGCTGTGCCTTACTCCAGTGACACCTAAATTCAGTCAATTCACGGCCTAGCGGGCATGCGGCTGTCTGGGCAGGGGTGTTACCGACCGTTGCCGAGCCGCCTGGCCACTCAGCCCACGCATCCCACGCTGCCAGCACCCTGTTGGCCGCCTTACCTAAGCCGCGCTTTGCCCAATCGGGGAGCTATCGCTATCAAAAGCCATAGCTTCCCTGGCCGCAGCTGCGTCATTCCCCACCGAGGGGCTCAAGGAGTGACCTGATCTTCCACAGTCCATCTTTTTTTTCTCTTTGGCTCGTCCTCAAGGTCTGGACTGGAGCCTCTCCTGTGGCCCAAGACGCGAGAAATAGCCCGGATATAAAATCTACCTGGAGCCCACTTTCTCTCCTCAAAAGTCACCCCATCGTGTCTTCTTTCCCTTGACCGGTGTGCTTGTTTGTTGTACTCTCCCCCATCATCTCCCCTCCTCTCCCCGGGCTTTGACCCTCTGAGAACCTCTCCTCTCCACTCCTCTCATCGTCCTCGTCTTCGCCAGACTTCACGCTCCAAAATGGCGTCGCCAGTTGCTTCGGCCGCCCTCAAGGCCCGCGTTCGCCGCCCGACCATGCTGAACAAGCTCACCCGTCCTCAGGACCTGCTCCAGCACTTCCCCAACGGCGCCTACATCGGCTGGTCCGGCTTCACCGGCGTCGGCTACCCCAAGAAGATGCCCACCTTCCTCGCCGACCACGTCGAGCAGAACAACCTGCAGGGCAAGATGAAGTACAGCCTCTTCGTCGGCGCCTCCTCCGGCGCGGAGACCGAGAACCGCTGGGCCGGCCTCGACATGATTGACCGCCGCAGCCCCCACCAGGTCGGCAAGGCCATCTCCAAGGGCATCAACGAGGGCCGCATCAACTTCTTCGACAAGCACCTGTCCCAGTTCCCCGTCGACCTCGTCTACGGCTTCTACACAAAGGACCGCCCCAACAAGGGCATCGACGTTGCCATCGTCGAGGCCACCGACATCAAGGAGGACGGCAGCATCGTCCCCGGCGCCTCCGTCGGCGCCACCCCCGAGCTCGTCCAGCTCGCCGACAAGATCATCATCGAGGTCAACACCTCCCTCCCCAGCTTCGAGGGCCTCCACGACATCACCATGACCGACCTGCCCCCGCGCCGCAAGCCCTACCTCATCATGGGCGTCGAGGACCGCATCGGCACCACCTCCATCCCCATCGACCCCGAGAAGGTCGTCGGCATCATCGAGTCCGACTACCAGGACCAGACCTCCCCCAACACCCCCGAGGACGCCAGCTCCCAGGCCATCGCCCGCCACCTCATCGAGTTCTTCGAGCACGAGGTCAAGCACGGCCGCCTGCCCAAGAACCTCCTCCCCCTGCAGTCCGGCATCGGCAACATCGCCAACGCCGTCATCGGCGGCCTCAAGGACTCCAACTTCTGGAACCTCAAGGTCTGGACCGAGGTCATCCAGGACACCTTCCTCGACCTCTTCGACTCGGGCCACCTCGACTTCGCCACCGCCACCTCCGTCCGCTTCTCCCCCGACGGCTTCAAGCGCTTCTACGACAACTGGGAGTCCTACCACGACAAGCTCCTCCTGCGCTCCCAGCAGGTCTCCAACTCCCCCGAGATCATCCGCCGCCTCGGCGTCATCGGCATGAACACCCCCGTCGAGGTCGACATCTACGCCCACGCAAACAGCACCTGCGTCATGGGCTCCCGCATGCTCAACGGCCTCGGCGGCAGCGCCGACTTCCTCCGCAACGCAAAGTACAGCATCATGCACACCCCGTCCACCCGCCCCTCTAAGACCGACCCCCACGGCGTCTCCTGCATCGTGCCCATGTGCACCCACATCGACCAGACCGAGCACGACCTCGACGTCATCGTCACCGAGCAAGGGCTCGCCGACGTCCGCGGCCTCAGCCCCCGCGAGCGCGCCCGCCTCATCATCAAGAAGTGCGCCCACCCCGTCTACCAGCCCATCCTGCAGAGCTACTTCGACAAGGCCGAGTTCGAGTGCCTGCGCAAGGGCATGGGCCACGAGCCCCACCTGCTCTTCAACTCGTTCGACCTCCACCGCGCCCTGGTCGAGGAGGGCAGCATGCAGAAGGTCAAGAGCTTCTAGACGAGACCCGAGACTAAACAAATGAGAGAGTGATACTAAAAAGAGATTTACACGTGGTTGAGACTTGGCATTGGCGCATTCAGGGGCGGCGGGCTGGCGCGGTCCTGCGATTTCGGAGCATAGACATCATAGCTTTTGTGGTTTTTTACTTTTGTTGATAGAGAAATGATACCTCGCTGGATAATGCTACAACACACACTTTTCTTCCCAAGTTTATTCCCGAGCGCCAAGGTGTCACGGTCCACGATGTATCCACCGCCTTCCTACCAAACCCACCGTTTCCGACGAGCTACCCACCCTCCCGAGTCACGCTCTCGGATTTCAGATAGACGGAGGTCGAATCGCCGGAGGGATGGGATGTTCGGGCGGCGTCCGAAGGGTTGGTGGCTGCTCCGGCCGCCGATAGCGTGCGGCGATACGACGGGCGATAGGGTGATACGGCGAGAGAGGTCTGGGCGTTTTAGGGGGGCCTGGTGCGGTATTTGTGGTCTCGCCAATCGCGAAAATTGGGAGCCCACAGTGAGGCTTAAAAATGGGTGAGGGTGATAGGGCCGAGCCTTGGCGGTGTTGGGAATCGGGTCTTTGGGTATCGCGGTAGGTTGTCGTCGCTATCGGCGAGGGCCTCTCGGCTTTCGAGAGAAGCTTTCGAGAGAAAATGGCGCAGGCGTTGGGCGCGCCGGAGGGGAAGTCGGAGATGCAGGACTCGTGCACCGGTCCGCATGACGTTGCCACCCATGCCCGAACATAAGAACGGCGTTCCGTTTGAAAGAGGCATCCCCGTCGCTCTGCTCTCCCGGTAAGCCGGCCCGGCGCATCGGAGTGGGGCCGGTTCGAAAGCGATAATGCCCCGTCGCTGGGGCAAAGTCCGGTCAGTTCTGAAATAGGGATAAAAGCGTATATCTTGTTGTGATGAAAGAAAGAGCTGGACCGATGATAATTTTCGACTTGGCTGTGAATGAAGCACATCTAAAGTCAATGGCGTCCGCAAAGCCGTTCGCAAGTGCATTTTTTGGACAGGTCCAATGCAGTGGCCGAGGCGAAGCCTGACGAGTTGCCTGGTTCATCCCATGAGACAAGTGTTGGCAGCCTGATGGCAGCCTCGTTGACCGTATGTAATCGCTTGCTCCAGAAATGGCTCTCTTCCGCCCTTGGTACATATGCTATTGGACACATCCACTTGAGGGATCAGGCTCGCAGGAGCTGAACGGAGCTGGATCGAGAGAAGGTGTCCAGGATCACGATTGCCGCCAATGAGGCTTCCTGCAAAAGTGATCCCTAGATGCAGCTGATGTTCATGGTGTTCTGACGGAGTCGTTGATTGGGTGAATGAACACGGTACGATATGTGCCAAGGTGATTTGTACAACCTGAGTGTTCAGCAAGGGGCGAAAGGCCAGCCACGCGGGTTCAGCGAGGCTTCGAATATCGTAATTGAAATTGATGACTGGCTTGGGTCTGCTGGACCAGCTGTATGTCTCGCTTGTTATGGCGTGTTCGTTTGGCGCTTGGCGTCGAGGTTTTATGTATTTTAGTAAAAGCCATCCAACATCCAAGCCAGAGCCTTTTCTGCGAATCCACTGTTCGCAACGTCTTCCACTAACTTCTGCGCCAATTATCGTCTTCAACTGACATTGAATTCAATCCACACGACGCTAGTATGGCTGTGGGCTTCCGATTTTATCATTCCCTCCTCGGGGTGTACCTCATCTTCATCGCCCGTGTCCAGGCGGCTAGCGACGGTAGCAATACGCCGGATGAGGAGATGGCCGGTTGGAGGGAGGTCCCTACTAGTCGAGGCACACTCAACCTAGTCTGGAGTTGCATTATCACCATATTCGCCTGCACTTGGACGGTTACACATCTTAACCTGCCGGGCCCCAACGATACTGCAATACGGAAGTTTATTCGTCGGCTCAAATGGATGTCGATTAACATCATGTTCCCCGAGTTCATTCTTTCCAAGGCCATCTGCGATCTCCGACAGGCCCTTGATGAACTCCGACAATTCGGGCAGACTTTACCCAACATTACAGACAGCACAACATGGTCTGCCCACCTTGGAACTTTGAGATCTGGTGAACGTACATCTCAGATATTGGTTGATCGCATGCGGTATTGGGAGGTTGAATACCCACCCTGCTACAAAATACTCTAAAGAGTGCTTGGCCTCAAGGTTCCAGAGCCATCAGATGTTGAAAGGGGAGATTCGGGTAAGTCTGGACTGATTAAAAAAGGCTCTGTAACTCAGCATGGCGACCCCAGTTCTTCGACAAGTGGCGTTGCCAACGCGAAACCTACTGGATCGATCGAGATGCAAGATCTCAGCCGGCCCAATGACAATAGTTCGAATGCCAAAAGCCCAGCCCCGGAAGCTCCACAGTCCCAGCACGACGCTAACAGTCCTACTGGAGACCACTTACGCTCGGAGCCCTCCATTGAGAATGCACCTCAGAAATGGACGATTTCTCACTCATACTATACCCAGATGGGCGGTATCATGATCCCGTCAGACTACACCTCGGATACTGTGCGCTACGAAGTTCTCACTGCAACAAAACTCACTCCACAATATCAATGGGATGAGGACCATCCCCTCAAGCGATTGGAACTGAGTGAACAGGATATCCAAGACAAGAGCAAAGCGGGCTGGTTACTTAAGAGTCTTGCCATCCTTCAGATTGTATGGCTCGTTCTCAATGTGATCGTTCGCGGCGTTACAGGTTTGGCTGTTACTCAGCTCGAGATTGCCACTGCTGCGTTCGCTCTCATGGCAGTTTTGACTTACTTGGCCAGCTGGTGGAAACCCAAGGATATCTCCGAGCCTACCTACACCCGTCATTCGTCCACGGGTGAGTGGAAATCTACGCCTCAGATGGTACAGCCTTCGCTATGGTTCAAATCACCCGCCACGGCAGCCAATTCAGAGGTGTCTAAAAGATTACACAGTGGAGAGCGGGTTCCGAACGACGTTGCATGGATGGGAGGTCGCACGTCCCTGATGACGTCTTTCTTAGCCGTTTCGTCTCTACTTTTTGGTGGAATTCATTGCTTGGCTTGGAATTTCGAGTTCCCATCTCGAACAGAACTCATCCTTTGGAGAAGCGCATGTGTCGTTGCTGCCATATTGCCTACAATCACACTGGGTGTTAGCACTTTGCTAAGCCATCTGTCGGCCAAGCGTTTCAACACACAACGCCAGAGGATTCTTGTTGCGGCGTTCAATGGCCTACCTATGAGGTCATCAGCATGGTGGGATGCTCTCTTGGATCCTGGAGTTGACGGTTTGACTCGCCACAACTTTCAGTCACGCTCAATCCCAGATGTGGCAAGGGAATGGAATAAGCGATTCAGAGGAGGAGTTTCAGCTCACCTTAAAGGCCCCTTCTTCGGTTTGTTTCTTTATGCCTTCATAAATATTCGGAAGTCTTATGAGAAAGCTCTCCGGTCCAGGGAGCTTGATAGAGCCGATCTGGAGGCTTGGCTTTCAGGATGTACAAACTTCAAGCGATATTGGAGATTGTTGGGGGAAGCTCGAAACGAGTGGTATAAGATCGAAGCTGAGGTCAGCCACTTGCACTACAACAGCATTGCGAACCAAAAGGAGCCGTCCTATACCGATAGACTATGGTCTGTGATTGATGTCGCCGAAACAAGGTTGGACAGAGAACTTTCGCAGTTGGAGAATGGGATATCAAAGACATCAAAGGTTCTCTCAATTACGAGTTATATGGTTTACTCAGTTGCCCGTCTGCTGATTATGGTTCAACTCTTCACAAGCCTAAGATCCACACCGGCAGATGTGTATGAAGTGACCCCATGGGTCAACCTCCTACCCAAAATATCTTAATGGACCCGCATGGCGTAACTTCAATACGGGGACTGCATCGGGCGTGAGACAGCCTTTGTTGGAAAGGAAGGGAAAACAGCAGAGGTTCAAAAATCTTAATTACATGCAATTGGGCAGATCCAGGAGTCTAATTCAGCTGCTTGTCATTGCATGAACACAATGAAAATCCAGCTTGTCTTTGGCTCCGGGAACATTGAATTCCCTTCGATGTATAATAGCTCGGGCAGGCAGCGTGCACGATCCGGCCTTCAATAATATCCCCATGTGCAACGACTGATTGGTCGTCTTGGCGGTGTCACTGATATCGTAGGGCTCTCCGCTGTCAGCTTCCTGTTAGCTGTTGCTTTGCTCTTTTCAGCCGATCAAAATCTACCTCCCTTAAGCTTTCATGGTAGCGAGGCTTCAAGATGAACTGTGAGCCAGCGAGGTCTCAGGCACGACAGCCACAAAATGGTAGCAATTGGCTTTGATATATGTCTACGGCGAAACATGTTTTAAATCAGCCCAATGCAATTCTTTAATTCTTCGAAAGCATCAGAGATACCTATCAACTTTGTTTACCAACAACGAAACTCTGGGCACAGCTTGTTCGTGCTTAAGCGTCCTGGAATGATATGACTTAGAGACTACCACAACGACGATAAGGGCAAGAGAAGGATGGTTGGAATGACGGCTTTCACGCAAGTTGACCTTTTGATCTCAGAACACATCTTCCGCTTACCAAAGGTCCTCTGGACTGTCATGTAGATCTTGATACACCTGACCTAAGGGACTGGGCCACTGCCTGTATCCCAGAGGAACTGGCGACCGGGACACTCCAGATTTCATGTGACTATTCCATTATTGCCTTGATAACCATAACATACTCCGACACGATGCATTCAGAAATCATAGACAGTAGACAGAGATGAAAGACGCAGAGAAAGGTGCAGTCCATTTAAACATTACCTGATGCGTCCGTCGGATTCTTGTTAGCGCGTCCTCGAGCCAGCCTCTTGCGGAAACTTTTGTTCGCTTCATCAATTCTATCTCGGCTCCCTTTATTCAACAAGTAAAGTGAATAAGGATCTCGACCTTTCACATGCCCGTTGGCGGCATGAAGAAATGGCAGAGGCACAACGACTAGGCGATGATGTGAGAATCCCACAGTTGACAGAAATGCAGAGACACTTACAGATTACTACCAGAGACCACCAAGGTGCTTCCAGAAACGAATTCACATCCAAGGCAAACAGAGAGCTGAGGAACGAAAGGGGTAACTGGCAGCCTAGTTTAGTGATGAAATCGAAAGACAGCAAAAGTGCGTGTAATGATAAACAGGAGACTTACAAAGAAGACAGTTACAAGAGTAAACACCATTACTCTTTTGCCCTGTTCCGCAGCCTCCTTTGCCTGCAGGTTCCCAATCTCGCTCTCGTAGATTGTGATTGTTGTATTCAACTACGGATCATACATATTAGCAATTGCTACCATCAGTGTCGTACGTTTTGGACATACAGCCTCTTCGGTTTTCTTGGCAAGCCTATCGAGCTCTTCGATATCGTTTGCAACGTACTTGGCTGTCTCATCCTCATCCCAATCGACGCTGTTAGCGAAGGCGATACCTGGAACGATACCATTCAAGCCTAGCTGCATCATTTGTTGATACTCGGGCACGATACCATTCAAGCCTAGCTGCACCTTCTGTTGATATTCGACAATGGTTCTGAGAATGTTCAGCTCGTCGCGGACGTCTTTGATTTCGAACAGAAGCCTGGCGGCTTTCATCGTATCTGTTTCGAAACTGGGGAGGCGTGTGTTGTTGGGGTCTTGCCGCTTCGACCCTAACGTCTCATGTTTCTGGTATTTCGAGCTGCTTTGCTGACCAGTCAGATTACGGAATAAATCCGCTTCTTATCTTCCCTGCATGACTAGTTAATAAACAAATTCCAGCCTCATTACACTTGGTGCCACGAACAATGTCATTGATAGAATCGGAAAACATTTGACGAATTGGCCGTTCTGGCCGCTCCAGGTCCCCAGAATGCTTGCCGTCAACACCCTGCTGCTGGCTTGCATCTTTTCGTTGTTTCCTGTACGCTCCGATGCACCATTCGACAATGACTTTGCTCAACTCGGTAGGAGTGCGTGGTCCACTGTCGGGGTTCTTCTCAGCTCGATCGGCTAGATTTCCAAGGATGTGTTCGACAAATGCGTTGTTTCCTACTTGGACGTTCTCCTCCGAATCTGCAAAAGAAGTGGATGTAATCAACCACTCTTTATCCGTTGTTAACGTAATCCTGTATTCAATCAATTGTTACTTTTACAACTCACTCTCGTTAATAGTCCAAGCCCATAGCTGGTTCACTCGGAGGACTTTCCAAGATACTTGTTTGTCTAAACCCTTCCGATACAAGTACTTGGTGATTACTTGATTTTCGTTTCGCAAATCCCTGTCTTCTTGAGATGCTGCATCACCCATCGCGAAATGATAGTAGTGCTCGTCCAGCGTAGGCGAAAAATGCACTGGAGGGGCTATAGGTTTCGTCCCAGAACCGGACACATTGGCGGTGGGTTTGGCCTGGTTGTCGACGGCAGGGGATCTGTGGGTTGCTGTAGTGATTGCATCGCCATTGGTGTTGAGTCTAATGGCGGCGTCGTTCAGCCTAGTGGCAGCAGCGTTGAGTTTGCTCGCAGCAGCGTTAAGTATGTTTGCGGCAGTAGCCCGTGTTTTGATCGCGCTAGGTGTAGAGCCAGTGACCTTGCTTTGAGCACCCTCAACAGGTGGTCTTTTGTAGCTTCCCACTGCTAAGAATGGCATCTGATCATGGCATTAGACGCTTGTTCGGGGGGTGGAGGGGATCGAGACACTGTCTTCTTACATAAAGTGCCGAAGCCGTAGAATCAGAGACGCCATTCTGTCCGTCTTTGTGTTCATCATCCCACCCCACACTATCTGCTTCGGTCGCCGCTGGCGAACCTTTTATTTTTGGCTTCTTGACATATCGAGGCTGCATGTATCGTGAAGGGGATGTTTTGTCGGGGACTTGGACCCCACTAGTGCGCAAAAAGGAAGCAATTTGATCATCTTCCTTGTTGACATCTAAGTTGTCGGATTGGTTAGGGTTCAAGATCTTGTTCATGGTGTCCTATGCATAGAGAACGATCATCAGTATTAGATGTTGTATCTTAGACCCGAGAAGTGGAAGTCAAAACCCATTTCTGAAACGCTTACAATCATCCAAGTCATCTTTTGTCGGTCAGTTCAGGGAATGCAGCACAAAATTGAGTAGATTACTTACGTTGGTTGCTGGGAGATGGATCCATGTGAAATTGCTTTCTGTCTCAGAAGCCCGGAGTTGGCTGAATGCTTTCGTGTGGTGAGATGTCGGTTCGGATTTTTTGATCTCGTCGATTGTATCGCTTATTGTCTTGATAGGCGAAGATCCGTAGACAGTCTCAGCTACACTTCGAAACTTCGTGTATCTACTGAACTGAGAATTGTCCCGGCAGATGGAGATGACAGCCGCTTGAAAGTCCGCCCGGCTTCCCTGCATTTCGTCTACCAGCTTTGAAACCTTGAGAGGATCTCTGACTCTTCGCGTCTTCTCAACATAGCTATAGTCAAGAAGATCCTCCATCTGGTCGAGGATCCTGAATCTTCTTTCTGTGTCGGTTTGGGTCTTTGCGTTGTGTTGACCTTGGGTGCCGCTTTGTTTCGTCGCGCTTGATTTCTTCGTCTCATTCTTCCTAACTTGTTGAGGAGGGCTTGGTTCTTTCAACGTGCTCGAGACCTCATTTTGGAGCTCTTTCCTGCGATTGGCAATCAGCCTTTTACCATCCTCCTTCGCCTCCTTCGCGATAATTTTACACGCCCAAAGTACTCGAGGCAATTCATGATGTATGGCTAGCTCAACCAGACTGCATTCCGTGCCGGATTTGCGGCCCTTTGGGATTCCCAAATCCGAAAGAATGTCTTTGGCAGTATCTTGACAATCTTCTCGTGATGCAAGGAAGCAGAGGAGATTTTCTCTGTCATTTCCGTCTTCTCTTAGTCTTTTGACTATAGCTTCTAAGAAATTGCGAAGCGGTGTCTCTGAAAGATTGTTGCTGGATTCATTATCGAGACTGTCCTCGAGTGCTGTCTGGCCTCCAATGTTTCGCAGGAGGAGGATATCTTTAGGCGCCTTGCCGATGACCAGCTGCGCCATTTGGCGGATTTCGTGTTCGTCTGGAAATCTTCTAGGCGAACGGATGATGTAATGAAGTGCCGTTCGACCATAATAGTCTCTCGCATCAAAATCGAGATCAGGTGTTGCATTAAGGAACTTGTCCAATGATGAACGGGCTCTGAAAGCGGTTTCTGGCACGACATCACACAGCGCCATAAGAACTGTCATTCTGGTGTTGTCTGCTTGATTGACGAGTTTTTCCTGAGTTTGGTCGTCATTTGTACCGATGTGATTGAGAAGGTTGTCGAAAATGTGGAAGAAGTTATTTTTTACAGCCGTCATCAACGGCGTCCAACCAACAACATCCGGGATACCAATATCCGCCCCCATCTCCACTAAGACATTGACCGCGTTGTAGCTACCAAAGTAAGTGGCGACATTGAGTGGGGTCCAAGATTCATTTCCCTCTTGTTCATTGAGACATCCAGGGGCATTTTGGAACAAAAGTCGGAATATCTCTGGGTTTGAATCTTCTCGGCTCGCACAATGCATGGGACACCACCCAGCCGTGTCTCTGCAATCAGCTGAAGCTCCGCTGTCCAATAAGAGTCTCGCTATCTCAACATTGCCTTCATTGCAAGCTGTGTGAAGAGGACGCGCGCTGCTACCGATGTTGGCATCAGCGCCGCAGTCGATAAGCCGCTTGGCAACCTTCGGGAAATTTCGCTCGACAGCCATATGCAAAGGTGTAAGGTGAGGGGGCTCCGAAGACTGAATGTTGATCATGCCCTTCCATTCACTACCCAGCTTTTCGAGTTTTGGCGAACTATCGTCGTCCAAACCGAGGTCTTTCAGGGCGCGATGCAGGGCTGTTTCCTCGTGTGGAGGGTCCGTGTCATCTATCACTTCTTTCTCGTCTTCTGACGATGGTGTGACGGGTCGGGTCTCGCCAATGGGCTCTTCAAGTGGAACCGTTGGAGGGGCATTCTGAGCACTCTTCTCGCCCGTGGTCCCTTCACGTTGATCAGTTGAAGGGGCATCTTGGGCATTCTCGTCGCCCGTGGCCTCTTCACGTTGAACAGATGGAGGGGTATCCCGGGAATCCTCGTCCAGTGGCTGGCTGTTTGAGTCCTCAGCCGCAGCACTGGGAACCGGTTGGTCGCTCATGTTAGCGTCAAGGATTGATCTGAAAGTCGTTCGCAAATGTGGTGTCTGGTGTCGGGACAGCCAGCGATTGAGGTTGTGAATCTCTTGAAAAGAAAATGAGCAAGAAACCAATATCTAGCCAAGGTAATCGACAAAGGAAGTTGGAAGTTTTGACAGCCTAAATTGATTACTGTCAAGGGGTAAACAGAAAATCAGGCTCCCAGACCCTTGCCCAATTTTCGTCCCGTTCGGGACGCAGGATAAGTGTTTCGTGGTTTTATTGGTCGCCTGATTCTTCGATGCTACTTGACATCCCGTGAAAGGTCAGCGCATATGCAGGCTACAGGAAGTGGCAAGGGCAAAGGCTGGATTCTCGGCCCCGTATTCTATTCTAGGGAATTGATGTATTGCTTGCTCACAGAGTCAGCCTACATATATGCACGCATATTCAAATACGGAAGCAGGCTGGGCGCAGCCAAGACCTCATCTCCGATAAGACAGATTTCTCGGAAACTGATTGCATCCTCGCAGTAAATTATTCTTTCGGTCTACAAGTGAAACGTTGCACTCAAATCCAAGTGTGTGTGTACCTAGTCCAAGGAAGTCTGCACCGGCCGAAGAACATTCGTATGCTCCTTTTGGGCTTACTGCGATTCAAGGTTGCGTTAGGATAGTGTCGTAGTACTTATTTTTGAACAATTTCTTCCAGAGCGTCAACTGCCTGCTTCGGACCATCATGCTTTTCAAAATCAGCCCGAATTATATCAGCGGCCTTGCGGTATCTCTCATCTCGAATGACCTTAGCCACCGCATCCCTGATAGCTTTCATACTCGGCGTATCTGTGCCCAGATCGATCCCGGCCCCGCTCCAAGCAACCCTAGAACTGACATCCGCCTTGTCCTCCGTCCGGCCGGCGCAGACCAACGGGACTCCGCAATTTAAGGCTACGAGAACCCCGTTGTAGCCTGCGTTTGTGACCATCACGCCGACGTGTGGTAGGAGCTTTGCGTGAGGTACGAATGATGCCACTCGCGCATTCCTGGGTAACGAAGATACTGGCAAGGCTTTTTCCGCGTCTGGCGTGGTGGCGATGACTAGCAGATCAGAGCGGTCGCGTAGAGCTGCGAGTGTCGGGAGTATGAGGTTTGTTGCGGTGGTAGCCCAGGTTCCTTGCGTGACATGAACGACTTTCTCTTTCGGATGTGCCAGCATCTCATTCCACCAGATCGGCGGGGAAGTAAATGATTCTTCGTTGAATAGGGGGAGTAGCGGTCCAACCCACTTGATGGATGGATGAAAGTCGCGAGGGAATTCGAAGGCAGGTGTTGTTGGCATAATGTGCAGGACATCAGACCTTGTCGTGTCATAAAATCCCGTCGGCGGAAGGGGAGGAAGATCAAGTTTGGCCCGGTGCGTGTTCAATATTGCTGTGAGCTTCGGATACAATAGCCAAGTTGCGACTTTGTGAGCCACCGAATTCACCCACCGCCCGAAAATGGTTGAAGGCGGCTGCCATCCGGTGCCCCAGGGCGGGACTTCGGGGTCGAATGTGACGAGCGGATTGATCCCCAACGTCGCGTATGGAGTTCCGGTAAGATCGCGAAAGCAGCGCGCACCGTATGCTGTCAGATCCACCAGGATGATGTCTGCCGGGAAGGTCAATAAAACCTCCCGGTAGGCAGCAACTTGATCCGGAATGCGATCGAGAAAGAGCTTCCGCAGCGTCGAAACCACAGCGGCAAGGCCTGACGTTCCCGCATCTGGCACCAACACACGTTCGTCATGACGCGCGAGAGCTGGAGGAGAGGGGATGAAGGTTGCGCCGGTTGGGCGGACGAGGTGTTCGTGAGATGCGGATGTGAGCCACGCGACGGTGTGGCCGCGGCGGATTAGGGCGAGGGCGATTGGCTGCATCGGATGGATGTGGCCCGCGAAGGGCATCGTCGCGATGAGAACCTTCATCTTTGAAAGCCTGCGTCTCGACCGCTTTTTCGATGCCAATTATCGTGAGTCTTACTCCATGAAAGGAGTTAAGGCAGGTCGGAAAGTTGAAGTTCAGCGTACGATGTCCCCGGATTCGCCGGTCAACCGTGGGGAGACAGAGTTACATTGCTAAAATTAGACTCTCAAATAAGGTTAAATGAGCGAAACTTGACAAGCATTGGACCATCTGCTGGTAAAACGCCTGCTTACTCAGTCCCGTGAACTTAGAAGACCTGGAAATAACCATTTGACCGATATATGAAGGTTCCGGGTCGTCGCTTTGCCGTATGGCCAGCGATTCATTGGGGGCGGGCTGTTGTCAGTTGTGCCTCACCGAACAACACGAGGGTGTTGATGCCCCACCGGGGCTTACCGAGCTCACCGAGTCCGAAGGATCTCACACCGAAGGATAGCGCTTCCTTCAACGCAATGGTGTCCTTTGTCTGTGCAGACACAAATGCCAAGGCTCATTCATCCTGTTGGTCCCAAATTGTGTGGTTGCCTAGAGAGGTGCAGGGGTTGTTTCGGTCGCTTGCTCAATCAAGGTCGTCGATGTTGAGATTTCGCAACGTCAAGTCAACACGTCTCTCAATTACAGCCCACCATTAGGCATGTTAGTGATGGGAAACCGTGTCATTTCATCACTGCTACATATATGGTTCCACCATAGAATGCGCGAGTTGCAATTTTCCTCCTTCGCTACGACATAGTCTGGGTAGCCCAGGCAGCGTCATCACGTCGCCATCATGCACTCAACCTTCCGCAGATTACTCACCTTTGCCGTCTTCTTCCTCGCCGCATCATCCGCCGCATCATTGACCGAGCGACCGCCCTTCAAATGCCCCACATACATTGACACCGTCGTACCCTCAGGCCAGACCGATTGGTACGGTAAACGCGAGCCTGGCGACCCCTTCCTCGACTCCATGAGCGAAGTCCACAACGCCCTCACCAAGTGCTCATCAATCAGAAGTCTGAAACTCCGCGTCACGAGTCTGGGATGTTCCGAACATCCTGACCGATACAATTTCCCACTCGAGCACCCTTCGGGCTCACGCTACCCTTCGACACTCGAGTCTCTGGATTTGGAAGGTTACGCTTTCAATGACAGGCCATGGGAGGAGGTACGAAACCTGCATAGATGGGGCAATACGTTCGATAGGTATGCAGACTGGATCTATGAAGGAAAGGCGTGGGCATGGTTGAAGGGTCTTTCCATGTCGGAAGCGCAAAAAAACATGACGAACCTTGACCTCTGGCTTGAGGCAATGGACTTCTCCCAAATCAAGCATCTGGCAATCAGAGACGGTCAGACACCAAATGTTACGACTCTCGTCCCGCACCTCAAATCTCTGAATTCCTTCTCGACGTATGGCTCTTGGGCTAAGGAGTTGATCGCCGCCCTCCCGCGAAATTCCCTCAAACATCTCTCCTGGAAAAACAGCGGCCAGACGGGGGCTTCTGTCGAAACACTCCTCCGCCACCACGCAGAGTCCCTGACAAGTCTCGACTGGCATGAGCCTGAGAGCACATATCGACAGCGGAAAGTGATGAGTCCCGCTCAGCTGACCGCCTTGGGCGCCATGCTTCCCAACCTCAAGTCCCTCACCATCGACATCAACCAGAACAGAACATGGCCCGTGGACCACCTCGAAGCCATCGCCACCAAATTTCCCAACCTCGAAAACGCGACAATCTTCTTCGAGATGGCGAGCGAATGCCGCCGACAACTCGATATTGAAAAGATGGGGCTGGGGAGATTGCATGAGATGATGGTGATGGAGGATCAGTCCGACTGCAGCAAGGGTACGATTTCCAATGCGGAGCCTGCACTGGGTATCTACAGCGCCGGCTGGCCGTTCGAGTTCTTGGTGAAGAAGAACGGCGGCGGGAAGTTGAAGAGGGTGAATTTCTACGCCGGAAGCTGGGAGAGGGGCTGGGATGGAGCCATGCTTATCGGCGAGGATTGGTTGGATGATCGCCGGGCATTCGTCGCTTGCGAGGTAATCGAAGGCGACGGTAGTGTGGTTGATGATGTCGGTGGTGGGCTCAAAGTTGAGAAGCAGGATCAACTGCTAGTTTGCCAGAATGATTGGACGAAGAGGTACAAGGTAGTGTCTGAGGTGAAGAAACGGAGGACCACGTGGGAAACTGAGAGATACGCGGAGGAGAACGAAGACATCATGGAGAGGGCCTGGCGCATGGGACTATGAGACAGCAGCGTGCAAGAACATTTCATTAAAATTGGACCCTGACACTCAGGCAGTCAGAGCCTCTCGCCGCTTAAACTCGTTCACCCAGCTCCCGATGCCCACCGAAGCAAACACCGAGCTCCATCGTGGTCCGTCGCCGAAGCAAATGTAGTTCTGCGCCAACCAAGTGATAAGAGCCCGCAGCATCACCGCATCCTCCTTCGTCCCCTTCCCATCAATGACAGCCTGGAACCTAGCCTTTTGGCTCTCATCCATCACGTCAAGAACAGAGTTCGCGACCTCTTCGGGGCGTTTCCACCATTTACTCGGCTGCCCCTGCTTGTCGTAGTCCTCCTTGATGCGCTTGAAAAGGCCGCTCATGGCGTTGCGCTCGAACTGCTCAGTGAGCTTTCGATACATGAAACCCTTCTCTTTGTAATCGACCCTCGCTTGTGCTAGAGACAAGAGGAACTGACGATCCCGGAGATGCTCGGAGTGGTTGAACATGCGGTCGAGGTGTCTTGTGGATAGAGGTTCCGAGCGGGAGTTCCACAGATCGATGGTGTAGTTCATGGTCGCCCAGAAGATGCAACCTGCAAGGGTGTTCATGCGGCTTCCCAAGTACGGGATGATGTCTGCGGGCGGCTCCAGTATGCGGACCAATCGGTCCGGGTCGAGCCAGAGGCCGTAGTCTAGGCGAGGGCTCACACGACGATCAGGGACGAGAGAGGATGCTAGCCGGGGGTCGATTCGGATAACTTTCTCAAGGGCGGGGTCCGGCGGCGAGGTTTGCTCTATGGACTGCATGATATGCGGATCACCTTGGTCCGGAGAAGTCTCCGGCTCTTCCGTTGTGATACCCGCAATCTCGCGGGCTTCTGACATGGCGGCTCTCAGGTCATCCGATAGTGCCCCCTGCCGGCGAAGAATCCTATCGATATTCCCAATGACATCTTTCAACTTCTTGTTTTCATCTTGGAGCTTCTGGACTTTGGACGCATGACGCTTGCGATATTCGCGCTGAGCGAGAACACCGCGCTCACGTCTGGTCTTCTTGTTGATGAATTAGTAATCCAGCCAGATGGTGATTTCGGACTCGGTAGGGTCTCACGTTGGTATCGGATGGGCTCATGTTGATTTTTTCGCTGTCTCAACAAGTCGCAAAGCCAAACAATTGAGGTCTTAGACAGAGAAAAGACCTCAACGTTATCGGGATAAAGCAAACGTTGTGGTGAGGGAAGAACTTGGGTCTTCAGTGGTGATTGACAGGTTTGATTAATCAGCCAATAACGTTATCGACTTTGTCTGACACAGTCCAAGCACAGTGCACTGACTGTACGCCCTTCACCTTCATTGGAGCGTGATCGTGATACCGACTTTCTTTCAACTACCTGCAACGAGATTATGGCCACAAACACGACGCATACTCGGGATACTTCCCCGGCGTCCCATAAATCTGACTCAACTCATCGCTCAACATCTGCGGCCCCTTCAGGAACCCTTCCTTCTCCTCCGAGAAAATGTGCCTCTTCAGCGCCACGTTCCAAGCAAAGCTCGAGTGCCCCACGCCTCCAAACTGCGCCGCGCCCAACATGACCAGAAAGTCGATCATGCCCTTCTGATCCCACGTCAACGCATCCAGCATCTTGCGGTTCTTCCCCATCAGCAGGTTTTGCTTCGTCACGACCCGCACCCCGCGCGGCTCCGCATCTGCCTCAACCATGTCCACCTGCGTCTCATTGTCGGACGCGACGTACATGACCGACAGGTCCCACCGGCCCGCCTGGTCGAAGAAGGCGTCCGTCTGCTTGCTGTACTCGGACCACTCCCACGTCGGATCCGCCGAGTTCCAGCTATCGAGCGCGTCCTTCTCGGTGCGCAGGTGCGCGCCGAAGAAGTGCCGGTCGATGCTGAGGATCGTGGCGGTCGCAAGCTGCCGCACGTCCGCGCGGAACTTGAGGATGTTGCCGAATGTCGTCGCGAAGAGCTCGCCGTCGCTGTTGATCGGGAACGTGAGGTACGACCGCCCGAGATCCACCATCATCGGACCCTCGGTGGGCAGCCCCGTCGGCGCGATGTCGGTGGTGTTGTCGATGTCGTCGAGCCAGCGGTGCAGCTGCGCCTGCCACCTTTCCGGGTGCTCGATGCCTGTGCTGGGGATGTTGTCCTCGTCGACGAGGGATTCCGGGAAGAGCCCGAGGGACCATGTGCGCGCGGGGCCGAGGGATTCGTAGACCTCGTCCGTGTCGTTGTAGAGCCGCAGCTGCGGGCACGAGAGGTGCAGCGAGTCGATGAAATGTTGCCTGTCGAAGAGGTACTCCATCTCCTGCCGCCGCCCCGTCCGGATGTGAGAGATGTCGGAGTCGTTGCGCTTGAAGATGCGCGGCATGACCAGCGAGCCCCCGGCCAGCATCGTGTATCGCACGCAGTTCAGGATCGAGTTGCGGATGCTCCCGATCCCGCCGACGTTGTTGTCGCATGTGAACACGACCTGCATCGCCTTCCCCGCATCCCACTCAGTCTTGTCGCAAACCGCCCGAATGACCTCCGAATTGACCGGCTCAAAGTCGAAGATGTCCTGATGCGACATGCGCGGGATCCACGGCACAATGCTCGAATCCATACCAACGCGGTCGAGGCGCAGCTGCTCACGGAACACCCATATGAACAGGAAAAAGACGCCTACCGCGGCGGCATTGGTGAAGCGGCCGAAGCGCCGCGCCGGGTACACTCCGATGATGCCCATGTTGTGGTTGGCGAGCGTAGGGCTGCGACTGAAGCGGCCTCTCGAGCGAATCCCCATGGCGAAAACAGAGAAAGGAAAACGAAGGACTGCGGGTGAGGGTGAATGAATTTTTAGAGTTTTCCCACGCGGGAGGGTTCATCCCTTATGTGCCAACGCTGCATTCCAGAGCATCGCAGAGGGGTTGTGGCCGGGCCCCCCTTTCATGACTAGACAAGACGCGTTTGGTGGTATCTTTTCGCGTGTATTTAAATGAGGATGGAAGGTTAGCTCAGTTGTCACCGTCGTAGATCCCACCGTCACATCAATAGTTCGGCCCAAGGCGGAAGCTAAATCAGGCCGCTCGGATGCTGCGTGGTTCGGCATCCCCACCCGCGCACGGATGGCTCTTCAGGAGAAATTCGGAAGATGGAAGCAAAGAAAAAGAATGTCCATGGTTGAGTTTTTCGAGGAGTTTCTTTTTGGAATGCAAAGTGTAGGTGTGGTCACCGGAATGTCACCCCTTGCATGCATTTGGAGCTGGTCTCGCCGCTGAGGACCGATCGCCAGGGGTAGGGATCTTGAAATGCGGGGGCCGTTCCGGGGTGTTCCAAGACTGTTCGTCGCAACGAGGAATCCGCAGGAAAACGGTCGCATTTATCCCTTTTGTCCCATAAATGCTGTCGAACCAGTTCGCACCTGATTCTCAGAGCCATTTCGCTCATGATCGCAAATGTCATCGGCCGAATAGTCAGCCGCTTCACCCAGCCATCTTACGAGTGACTCGTAAGCCAGATTAACAAACGGAACCCCTTTCGTAAGCGCGGAAGCTAGAGACATGCTGCGTAAGCATTTCTAGCGGCTAACGTTGCGCCCCTGAGCCGGCCGGCCTGATCCCAAGCCGGATAACGTTATCGGCGGAATGGGGCCGGGTCGGGTGCTTGGCGTCTCCTGAAGTGGAGTCGGCGCAACATCGACCGGATCCCGTCTTCCAACGTTATCGGACCATCGTGTCTTGCCATGTTCGTAATGGGATTTGCTTTGCAATCCACGAAGCAATCCATCAGCCGTTGAAAGGATTACATGATTTTGTAAAGAGGATAACGGTGTTGTCAAGCTGCCGATGTTATTTCTATCAACCTGTCTTTCGGCGATGGGCAACAAAGACAGGATTAAAGACGTTGTATCTGCTCGTCGTTCTCAACAAAGTAACAACATGAAAACCCACGAACTGCCTTGACTAAAAGCAATTGAAACAATACGAGTCATGTCTTTCCCATCTCCCACAAAGACGTACCACCAGAAGCCCTACGCGGATATCTCCCCTTTCCTCCCATCCCTCTCGACCGCAGGCAAACACGCCTTCATCTCTGGTGGCGGCGCAGGCATTGGAGCTTCCATAGCTCAGTCTCTCGCCAAGTCCAACATCGCGACTCTCGGTCTCCTTGGTCGCAGCACCGCCTCTCTTGAGACCACCAAGTCCGCCATCGAAGCTCTCAACCCCTCCGTCAAAGTCCATCTCTACGCCGCCGACATCACCTCCGTCGAAGCCACGCACTCCGCCCTGCAGTCCTTCCACGATGCCATCAACTCCAAGATTGACATCCTGGTCGCCAACGCAGGCTACATGTCCGACCTCAAAACCATCCCAGACTCCGACGCTACCGACTGGTGGCGCGCCTTCGAAGTTACCGTCAAGGGCAACTTCAACCTCCTGCGCGCATTCCACCCGCTCGCCGCCCCCAACGCCAGCGTAATCCACATCTCGACTGCCGCGATCCACCTGCCGTACATGCCCGGCTTCTCCTCCTACCGCGCGTCCAAGAGCGCCGCGACCAAGATGTTTGAGTACTTCCACGACGAAAACCCCGGCATGTTCGTCCTGCAGGTGCACCCGGGTCTGATTGGCGGCACCGCCATGTCGGAGAAGTTTGCGCCGCGCGTGGAGGAGCTGGGGCTGGTGTACGACGACATTGCGCTGCCGGGCGACTTTGTGGTCTGGGCGGTGAGCGAGGAGGCTAGATTCCTGAATGGGCGGTTCGTGCATGCGAACTGGGATGTGGAAGAGTTGAAGGCGATGAGGGGAGAGTTGGAGAGGGATGCGCAGAAGTTTACGATTGGGTTGCAGGGCTGGCTTTAGGAAACCACTCCCGCAGTTGCTTCGGACTGGATGTTGTCGGTCTGGATGTTGTAGCGGCAGCCTTTCAGCCGGGTGTGGTGGGTCAGCTCAACTACGACTTCCTATATAGTAGCAGTAGTGACTGCAGCTGGCAGTCTCCCACAGGATGGGAGCCAAGTATAATCGACCGCCTTAGCCGAGCGGGTTAATACAACCGAGCAGGAAATCTTTCGTATGGGTGCGAACCTCACAAGTTCGAGTCCTGAGCTTTTGCTATTTTTAAAGCACTTTTCTCGCTTCATTTCTTCCGCCGATCTGTCGTTCTGCCTCTTGCATTCGACTTGAACGTCCATTGATGAGGGAAGTGTACTGATATAAATACGTTACGATTCTTTTGAGCTGATCGCAACCTCTTGCATACAAGTCTTAAAATCCTGCGACCTGGGTATGGCCGTGCCTTCTGCCTTTTAGATGAAAATCCATTTCGCTTCCTGCTCGCGGTGTCAAATGTAACGCAACGTAAGGTACCCTGCCAGTCCAAGCCCGCCTTCCACCCTCTTACGATTCACAATCCTCCGCTACCGTTGTCCCGTGTCCCTCGTCACCACTCCTCCATCACGACACTCGCTCTCGCCTAAAGTCCCCTCCCTTTCCCATCACCACACAATGGCTCGAGTAGGCGCACGAAAGCGCAAGCGCGAACAAGAGCGCGGGAGGCCCTTGCAGCAGCAACCTATTATTAACAATGACGGCGGGAACAAGGAAGACGGCGGCGACAGCAACGAAGACAAGGGCGACGGCGAAGACGGAAATATCAGCTGCGGCCTCAAGGCCTCTGGTAGTAACAACGGAGAGCATCCTGCGAAGCGATTCAAGGTCCAAGATGGCGCCGACTTCGACAACCTAATTGCTGACGTCGTGGGCCCTTGAGGTGATAATTGTGTTGAATTAGTAAAACTGGGTGCACCTAACCGACACTTTCAATATGGTCGCGAAGACCGCAGGACCTTCCCGTTCTCACGAGCATTCCACGCAAGAGCGACCGCAGTAGCCTAGCGGTATAAAATATAGAGCATGAAAATCTTTCGTAAGGACTCAAACCTCGCAAGTTCGAGTCCTAAGCTTTTGTTTCTTCTGTTTTTCCTCATTTTACTTAAACCTTTAACATAAGAGTAACTAGTAGTATATTCCTTCTCTAATAATACTTAGCTTTGCTTCTAAGTCTAGAATTCTAATGAAACGCTTATTTACTTAGGTTAGTAGGTATTTAACATCTTTTTACGCCTAAGTGAGCTGCAGCTATAAAGAAAATATCTGCTCCTCTTTTAATTGTCTAAAGCCTAGGTGAAGTGAAGTTAGGGAAGTCAGGGAGGTAGGAAGCGCTAAGCCCCACCCTCTCCTTTTGTTCCTCACTCCGTTTTCCCACCTTCTTCTAACATTTGTCTAGACCGTCAGTCTTCCCGCTTTCCACGATTTTGATATCACGTCCTTCTTGCCCGACATTACCGCACAATTCTTACGCGTAGTTTACTATGCAATGCATTCATTGCCAGGCCATGTCTTGAGGAAAGTCATAGAAGCAAAGCGAAACTATGCAAGGAAGCCGCGGCAGAAGCAAGAGCTTAACAGTGTTAGAAGTCATTACAACATTAACGTAGAATAATGGGAAGAGGTTTACTATCAGACAATGTGGATGCTGAAGTCACAGTCCAGCGAAACTCCCGGAGTGAAACCCGGCGTCTGCTGCCGCCGCCGTTACCACTACCCGCGCCCACTCTCCTTTCTCTTCTTTTCCCACACTGCGTCCACCAATTGCTGAAGGGGCACAGACGTGCATGGAGCTGAGCCTGGTATTTGTCTCCCGTGGCGTAAACGGATCTTGTTCCCTCCGCTTCAGTGCCTTCGCCTGCACGTCAGGAGCTCGACCCAGACCAGATACAGGGTCAGTGACAGAACTCGGGTCCCAGAGCGCAGGCCGTTAGCTTGATGTATTACAAGGCGCATTACAGAAATATCATCTGCACATTTAATATTCTAGAGACATGTTTGTTTTGTATTTGCATTTGTGCAATCCACGTCTGCGACTGTGTTGAACGATCCAGTGGTCAGAGGGGAGCATGTGTGGTGGGTCACCACCTTTGTTCCTATATAGTTGGAACAACTGCGGTGGTCTCCCGTTCCAGGGTCTGACCCAACGAGCAGAGTCTTGCACCTAGTCTGCGAGCACCGCAGTAGCCGAGCGGTTCTAAACAACCAGGTAGAAATCCGCTTTCGTAAGGGCTCGAACCTCGCAAGTTCGAGTCCCGAGCTTTTGCTCTTTTTTTTAAAATCTTACCTTGTTCTGTGTACTACTCCCTTCCCATCCTAGAATCCCGTCACCTCTGATAATACCTTTTTGGTGACAAAGTTGATCACCTGGCTATCGTGGCACGCAGGCTATGCGTGTTGAAGCGTGCTGCGTGACCGATAGTTGCAGGCTCATGTGAAAATCCTGTTCCTACCTCATTTGTCTGCAGGCCAGGCGAAAGCAAGTAACTTGGGAAGGCATGATACGCCAAGCCCCACCCATTCCTTCCTCCTCGTCTTCACCTCTGCCTTTTGACCAACTGCAGCTCATTACGCCAGTACCTTGCCGAGGTCGTCTGCTTCTTCTTTTCCCCTTCTGCCTCACCTCCCCAAACCATCGCACCATCCCGACCACAACCGCCGCCCCCAACGTTCCTTCCGCATCCCAAGATGGCTGGACCAAACCAACGAAAGCGAAAGCGCGATCGTCAGAGGCGCTTGCAGCAGCAGCAGATCATTGACGACAGCAAGAGTGACGACAAGAGCGATGTCAAGAATGACGGCAAGAACGATGACAAGAACGACAGCAAGAGCGGCAGCAAGAACGACAGCAAGAAAGAAGGCGGCGAGTACAAGCAGGACCGCTATGGCAAGGACGATGACGATATCGCAGGACATTCATCGAAGCGTCTCAAGTCTCAGCATCCCAACGACCACGACAGCTCACAAATCTCCTTCACAACCTCACCCGCATCGGATGCCCCTGCCACAAAGGCAGTCAAGAATTGGACCCCCATCACTACAAACCCTGCCGGCGCGGAGATCAACGCCAAAGATTATTGGCTGTACCGGCAACTAGGCCATCAAACTGGTTCACTTGACCTTCGGTCCATCCAGCACCAGACCCCAGATCGCACATCAATTTCTTCCACCGCCGGCTTCGAAGTGGTGACGTCTTACAATTGGCTGAACAAGAATACGATCATGGTTCCTGGTCAGCATCTCACTTCTCACCTACCTTAACGCCTTCGCTGACCTTTTCAGGGGCCGCTCCCGCCTTGATTCAGCGCAACCTTCCACTCCAGATAAATCCCGACAAGGGCACCTACCATATCGATATCAATGCTTTTATGAATTCGAACATGCCCTTTGAACCGATGTTCAGGGCTATTGAGGCCGACGTTTCCCCTCCAACGTTTCGCTCGGTGGATGTGGTCGTGAACCGGAACAGCTTGAGACAATTGTTCGATTTCGTCAAGGGCGGGAAGAAGGACTCATTCAGGGTCCAGTTACACATGGTCAGAAACACACTCTTCATCACCCGCCAAGAGAAGAACAACCAATACAGCATGGGCTATCGGAAGTTCTACTCTTTCGGTCACTCGTTCGAGGAGGAATTTACGGAGCACGCCAAGGACATGAAGGGCAGCCTCTCGCACCATCGCGCAATTCGATACCAGTTCGGTGACCTCAGCCTCGTCGTTCGCCATGAGGTCGACGCAGCCCAGCCCGCTCCGGCCGCTTCGCCTACGCTTTCCGGGGATTCGACAGCTGTGGAGGCAAAGGTTGTGAAGGAAGTCGACGTCTCATCAGTCAATGATGCCCGCGAATTTGAGCCCGCTCGCGACCACAGATCCTTCATCGGCACTAGCAAGAAGAAAAGACAGAAGACTACAGTTTTACAGTGTGGCACCGGAAACCCTCCTTCCGATCTGGTCGAGATGAAAGCGAGACCTAAATTGAGGCTGTCTGAAGTCATCGACCAGATGTGGTTCGGAAGGACAATGCACCTCGTCAACGGCATCCATAAAGGCGGCGAGTTTTCGGCAATCAAGCGTGTCAACTGCGAGCCTCTCTTCCAGCAATGGGAGCAACAGCGTCAGAATGATCTCTCAAGGTTCGAGAGTCTGCTTTCCTTACTTCGACGAGAAGTCAGTGCCGGGAAGGGCAACAGTCTGGTCGCTGTCTGTCGACAAGATAATAATTCGGTTCTTGAGTTCTGGACATCAAGCTTTCCGGAGACGCCCCTTCTCAGTGAGCTGATTGACAAATTTTGGTCAACTGAGACAAGAGACGCAGTAGAAAAAGTCGTCTCAGACCCAATGAGTCTGATTCATCAAGATTTGGAAGTTGAACTAGGCAAGAGCGCTGTGTCGGATGAAAGCACCAAGATTGATGATACCCCAAAGGTATGCCAGCTGCAGCCAAAGCGGAGACGGCGTCTACCTTGGCAGCGTGTCTAAGCGTAGGAAGGTCAAGTGGCGGAAACAGGATGCGGGAGTTGCTGTGATAAAGGCAAAGTGACGGCCGCGAGTAGGGAAGAATCTGCTTGTCACAATTTGACGACGCCAGGTGTAATTAGTCAAGGATAGAATACTACAAATGCGGTACAACAAGGATTCCTTTGGCTGTGTTCTCCATTGTGTTTCATGTTTTATACATGGTCCGCGTTCTTTCAATGCTCCTTGCCCGCTTTGTCCTGCTCCTATTCTTCCAGTCTTGTTCATATTGAGGAATGAACAAGGATACTCATCGTAAGGGCAAAGACTTTTCATAATGCCAAATACTTGACACAGTTCTCACCGGCGGTTCTACAAGAATCATGCCCACTCAAGTTGTCTCGCTGAAGCAAAATCCGGATGAGCCTTAGCAAACTCCTCCCAAGTAGTCAGGGGATCCTCCACGAGCTGACGCGTCCATTCAAGAGATTCTCCGCCATAGTACCCAAACTCGTCCAGCAGGCGCATGTTCTGATGCATCTCGTCAATGACATACTCCGGGCTATTCTGAGCCTTCATGGCACCGCGGAACTGGTCCTCTGAAAGCTGGTAGTAGCGAGCCGTCTTGCCGCTCTCGGGAAACACCCGCTTGAACCCGTCCACGATCTCCTGACCCGTCATATACGCAGTCGCACCCAGAATACGCTTTCCGAGGACTTCCTTCTCATGTAAAACTGCTCCCTTGATGTACTTGCCCGTATCGCCGGTGTAGTACATGGGGAAGATGGCGGTGGGAGGGATGGGGAGAGCGAATATCCAAGCGCCGTCCTCCGCTGATGGCCGGAACATGCCACCAGGGATGTTGGACATGTAGAAACCCGGCAGGAAAAAAGTTGCCGTGATGCCGAGCTCCCGAATGTACTCTTCCACGATGGCCTTGCTGTCAAAATGGTAAAGGTCAGACAGCACGCCGATGGAAAGCTTCTTGATGTTGAGCTGCGAGCTCCAGATGAGGAACTTTACGTTCGTTTCCTGTTGGTATCAGCATCACCGTCCGTTTCGTGTAAGTATCCTGTTGCTTGTACCTTTGAAGCGTCGGCAATGTTCTTGCCCTGCTGGATCTCCACCTGCATGTCCAGCGACTCCCAGTAGTTGGTCACGGCGAACACGGCGTATGAACCCTTGAAAGCCTTCACGAGTGAATCTTTGTTGTTCAGATCCGCCTTTGTCATGGTCAGCAATTCGATGCATCGCTGCAATGTCTCGAGACGGCTGCTTTACCGAAACCATCTCGACTCCCAAACCCGACAGGCGCTGAGAGGCTTCCTTGCTGGTGTCGCGAGTGACGCCGCGGACCGTCCAGTCGCAATTCAGCTTGGGGTCGTTGAGGAAGGTCTCAACAACTGAGCCTCCCTGCTTTCCGGTGGCACCAAGAACAGTGATGATCTTCTTTTGCGACATGATTCCGTTTCTCTTTGCTGCTGTGGTTTGAAGATTGCCAACATTGGTTTCCCTCTTCCGTTGCTCGTTGGTTTTATAATCCCCGCGACCTACCAACCACTCACTGCAGTACTAACCATCTTGACAAATCCATATCAGATTAGTCACAGCCCATGTCAAGGGCAGACTTCGTGTTGGTTGATGTCGGCGATACGATTACACCGGAGCGAACTTTCTGACGTCACCGGAGAGCGAAATGGCCGACTGTGGGGCACTCGGACCCCGAACAGTGCCGTCCGTTGAGGTGCCGGCCCGGACATCAGGCCTGCCGACCATCCGGCTTGAACTTGGAGAAAAGCAAAATGTCGGGAGACATAGACGCCGATCACGGGATACAATGCAGCTTATTGCCGACGGCTCCAGATTCGACCTCGGATTATCGAGCTACGAACTGGGAGAGCTGAGAGCTCGGCGCCGTGTTGGAGATGTGCGCTTCCTGTGATAAGGCAGTACATCCGTTTAATATGGATACAAAGCCGAGACTTCGTGTATATAAGGTAGCAAGGTGTCTATGGAATACAAGACGATTGATAGTAGGAAGATCAGAAGAGTGCTGGTCGTCACAGTCTAGATCAGCGAAGTCATCCCCCCCCTTCTAGATATGGCATTCGATAAGAAGATCGTTCTTGTGACTGGAGGTACGTCGTTGAATCTTGTTAATGGACTAAATTCTGACATATGCAGGCAACACTGGCCTCGGTCTTGAGGTGGTCAAGGCCCTTTACGCATCCCCCTGGCCTCATCAAATCATCATCGGCTGCCGCACCGTCGTCAAGGGTGAGAATGCTACCGCGAGCCTCATTGGCCAGATCTCTGAGAGCAACTCTCATCTGAGCACTGTCCAACTTGATATATCCGAAGACTCATCCATCGAGACCGCGGTCCAGGACATCAAGTCCCGATTTGGTCGGCTGGACGTGTTGGTCAACAACGCCGGCGTCCTCCACGATGCCGACATTGCTGCCGGAAAGATGAGCATCCGCGAGGGCTTCAACGCCAGCTGGGATGTGAACGTCACGGGGACGCATGTTCTGACTACTCAAGCTATGCCTTTGCTCCTCAAGTCGCCCGACCCGCGTCTCATATTTATCACCAGCGGGACCAGCTCCTTGACCGAGAGCGGGCTGGTCAATGTTCCGGTCCCCAAGCTCCGGGCGCTCAATGCCAGTCCGTCGAAGGGCTGGCCCAAGAACACCCCGGAGGCAATCCCGCTGTATCGATCGGTGAAGACGGGGCTGAACATGCTCATGCGTGAGTGGCATCGGACTCTTCTGAATGATGGGGTCAAGGTCTGGGGTATCAACCCAGGCTATGTAGCCACAGGTATTGGTGGTGTTGGCGCAGAAGAGATGAAGAAGGTTAGGAAGCTTCGTGCACTTTTCCAAGGGAGCCTACTAACGGTGCGGTAGATGGGCGCAAGAGACCCGGCCGAAGCTGGAAGATTCATCAAGGATGTGGTCGAGGGTAGCAGAGACGAAGATGTTGGGAAAGTCGTCAGGGCCAATGGGGTCCAACCGTGGTAGACGACATTAGTACGCGTTTTGGGAGGTGCAGATGCATTCAGACGATCGAGATTGTGTTTTGAAGAGACCTCTGCGAGATTCAATAAACATAGATGATTTATTCTCGTGATATTTCAACATCGTGGACGTTCTGCGTGCACCCCCTGGAAATCTCTATTGACTGACGGAATATATACGGCCTGAGACTTCCGAAATCCAGATCATCAACACACTATATCACTGATTCGTCAGTGACTTTGCAACGGCGCCACGAAGTAGCATCCCTGGGAGCAAACCTTGCTTTTTCGACTTGTTCCCTCCTTACTTGCCGTCCGAGCCAAGGGGTCAATACACCAGTATCGGGCCTACATTTGAGAGTGGCACTCCATAATCCGGCCCTTTTCCGGGTTGTCTCAGCCACGTCAACGGTCAGCATCCCGGGTGTCGGTTACTTGGTTCAGCCTCCATACACCGATTCTGAGTGCACCGCCGTAGCTAGGGCTGTGAACTGAATTCTGGTGGCTGCAAAATCTCCACAGCCGTTTGAAGAACGTCTGCTTAAGGTCAATTCCTTTGCCAAGAGGGGCCTTGCGACTGCCGAGCGACATTCCCTCGCCGATAAGACATGACTTGGGCTAATGCTGTCTCGGCCGTTTATCAAGATAGCATTGCCAGGCAAGAGGCCCTTCGCAATTTTTTCAACCGATCTGTGACATATAACTTCGTGCTCGCACCGTAACTCGACAAGCCATTCTATTTCAAGTCTCCTTGTCATCAGTTCCCCTTTCGTTGGCCATCATCCCATCCGACGTTTTCTTTCAGTATTGTTCCAATGAGATCAACCATCATCTTCTTCGCAGCCTTGGCGGCGTTCGCTATTGCGGCTCCGGCTGGAAACAAAGTACCAAGGCAAACCGGCGAAAGCACCAGCGAGCCAGATGTCTGCGAAGGAGACTCGGGAGCTGAGCTCTGCACCTTGGGCACCCCACTTTGCTGCCGTACTGATGCGGACGGCCTCACCACCATGGACTGTGCTCCTCGTAAGCTCGCAACTCACTTCATCATCTTACACTTGCGCCATGGACTAATTGCCGAGTATAGCTACCTCGAATCTCACAACCGTGCCTGACACGTCTTCTCTGACCGCTCTCAACACGGCTTGCCTCATTCATGGTTCACGTCGGCCAAGATGCTGCACACTCAATGTGGTATGAGTTATCATTTAATTGTCCGGTCTCACGAATGTGCACTGACTGTGGCAATAACCAGGCTGGCCAGGCTACTTTTTGTCAGGACCTTACTTCACCGGCGTGAACAAACGTTCAATGTTGAGACCACCCGGTAGTGTGTCGATGTGGGAAAACATCTTTTCCGATTTTGTTTTCCTCAGGGGCGGTCGCAATCATTTCTACCGGAGGCTGAAAGAAAAAAAAATGAATCATATGATTAGGGCATTTGCATATATGGATGTGTCATTAGGCCGAAAATAATACTAGTAATGGAGAATCGAATATGTACACTTCTGCATGCAATTGTTCCTACCAACTTGCGTGTACCCACCACTTTCTGCAGCCATCCAATGGCGCTTCCCATGAGCTATCAGGCAAAGCCTCTTGCATGGAAATTGCTCGGTCTTTGTATCTCCTCCGTTTAGGTGCGTGCGTAGACACAGTCATAATCCTTATTCGCCTTCCTGCTCGAGTATCAGTACTCCATGCGACACGTAAAACGGCCTTGTGAGTGACTTACGGAATGCAAACGGGGAAGTTACTGCTCGGGCACTATATGAAAACTCGTAACAATGGATCACTACGCTCAAAGGTTCATGAGCTGCTTACACGCTTGCCGCACCACATCTCGCATCCACCTGCCTGATTGTCGTCACATCCTCCCTTCAACTGTTATTGAACGTTGTGGTTAGTTGCCTGATGATTTTCGCTGAATTGAAGATCAGCGTGAGTACAGGGAAGGGGCTGACCTGGTCGTTTGAGGGCGTTCCGCACTTGACGAAAGCAGCTGCGGCGCCGGCAAACATGAGAATGGTGAACTTCATTGTGAGTAGTATCTGTGTAGATGGAAGTGATGAACAGTCTGTCACGGGAGTAAGTAGTTGGATTTCAGTTCGTTGGGAAGCTATAAATCCGTCCTTTATAGTAAACACTTGCCTCGCCAGATGCTCGAACTTAGAGTAGGGGGAACCGAGTGCGTGAGTAAGAAGTATCCACGGCAATATCAACAAACGAATTGTGCGTTCAGGAAATTGATGTCCAATTTCAAAAGTAGGTCGATTCGTGTGTGGGAGCCGATCCTGTCAAGACTCAACTACACGAGTATCCTTTGCACCCTTGCTCATTGGTTGCGCGTCAGGGTGATTGATAGGCTCCCTTCGCAAGTCATGACTCTTGAACCATGAACATGGGCATAGATCATTCTGGTTTTCTTGGTGTTTGAACATATGGTCGAAGTCGCGGCTTAGACTTTGGCCAATGTTCGTAAGTCAGCCATTCACTCCGATATTCTGTGTACTCGAGTGAACTCCGTTATCACCGCATTTGGTTGTGTCTGCCTAGAGATTTGTATTATGGTGTGAATCTAGTTGGCGTTTGTCGGTCGACGCGGTAGTCCATGGGCGGCATGGTTCTAACAGACGTTCCTCCATAACAGTCAAGCTGTCAATTAGGTTTACATCCTTCTGAGAAATTAGCCAAGTGGCATAGTGCGAAGGTGGTCGGATGCTGAAAGCCCTGGCAAACCGATTTCGGGAACTCACGTTCCCACGCGGCCACATATGTCGGTATCGAATGGGTCTTACGGTACTGGTCACGAGATGCAATCCCTGGATTGGGCTTTGGTCTATCACGAGTCATGGATCCGACTGTGGTCTACCATGGAGTCCTCTATCAGAGTTTGGCATCGACTGGGGCAGCCCTTTTCACGCTGATTAGACGGCCTAGAAGTTCACCGCTGCTGCTACTGCAAGGGTATGTGGGGAATGGCTTGACAAAGTGCTTGGAAACATGACCGAGAGCCTCGGGAACCTCGCTGAGTCCGAAGTAAGTACGACGGCCTCGGAATCGAGCCTCAGAAGCACTGGCATATGGCCCATAAGTAGCATCGTCGACTGTGAGAGAAGAATCAACTTCAATCTGGATTTTGCCGGATTTTGCCTCTCGGTCCACCGCTCAAGGAAGTGCTATCATTGACTCCGTAGTTTGGCAGGTCGCCCAAAGTCCAAGAGTATTCTACTGAAACTTACTGGGACAATTGTCACTAATTTGTGTTCAGTAGTAGCATGTGAACTCATCACAGATGTCAATTCCACGCATATGCTGTAAAGTACTACTGAGGTTGAGTCACCTCCTATGCAGTAGTAAAAATACGGCTGCAAGACAGTCAGAGCCTACGGGACGAACTCTGACACTGCTCTCAGAAACGTCATGGCCATAGTGAGACTAGTATAGGTTCCGCTTTTGGAGGCGGAAGCCATCGATGTCATGGACATTGTCTCGTCGGTGAACTAGCTCATTTCGATTTAACTCGTCTCTGTCCCCGCCATTCGCAGATTACCCTTTCGGAGTGGTTGAAAGAGTATTTTGCCTCCTATTTTCTAAACCCCAGCACAAAACTTAGATCTCCGCTAAGAGCGGCCAGGAACTGTGTTAGATTCCCGACGATGTGTTCCCCGCCAGTCTGTCCTCTCCTGCAGAAGGACAGCATGGCTGGCAGCTATACGACGGATTTCGAACAGCTTCTTTCTATAACCTTGTTAAGCCCCTGTCGAAACGAAACCATCCCATATGCTCGCGCTCGGAGAGGCTGGTCATATATCTTTGCCACCGTCAATCCAGGATGTCACACGGATAGAATATGTCCATTTGGAGTCGCAAACAGTGTGGTGATCTCCTTAGAAGTCATTGGGCAATGTCGAACAACACAAGAGTAATGTAAATCGAATTAAGCCGGTAGATGTGCTTGTGGTTGACGTCGCACGTGTAAGGACATGGGTGGGCCACTCCATGTAACAAACGTGTCACGACGAAATTGAACCGCCATGGTCGCCAACCACGACGCATATTCGTCAACAGGTGCGGCGGGAACATAGTGTTTATGCCTGCCTCAATCCGTTGTTGACTTTCTTCCTTCGGGGACGTCGTGGACTCACGTCCTGTGGCGTTGAAACAGTTCGCGCTATCAAACAAAACAGAGTCTTCCCGCCGAAATATTTCACTGTGAGCGTGTACCAGCGAGAGTATCTATATGTGTAGTGGTGGCATGCTGGGCGAGTTGACATGGTCGTTTCGTGGAGGGCTTGCGTCATAGCTTCGAAGTCAGGGCCTTTGTCCTTGCAATTTTCAAATTCAGTCGTCGCGATCTAGTGTTAGTCCACTGTAAGCTTGCAAAATGAAGTTTGGTAGAAGATGGATGATCACTAGCGGCATCGGAGAAGATCACATGGTGTCATCTATGTCACGACGTTAAGTACATGGAACCGGGGCTCTGACGATTGCAATCTTTGTTGTGCCCTAATCCAGAAGCCATGTATGTTTTGCCCGGGTGCGGCGGTGATGCAAGAAACCGGGTCTAGTTCCATGTGCTTTCCGGCAGGCAATCGCAGTCATGTTCATTGTGTGGATGAGTTGATGTTGGATTAATAAGATCAATAATATCCAGAGTTCAGCCACGACGACTCTGAGGCGTTCTTCGGATGAAAATCAACAAAGTAAACCGCTCCATGAGCGTTTCAAAGCAAAGGCCCTTTAATCTCGGCGACGAATTCCGTTATGTGGGTACTCGGCTCGGCTGTAGCCAAGGAGCATACCGCAACGGAGTGGACGCTGGCTGTGGGGCCGGACGAAATCGGCCGGAGGATCACGTTCACGGACCCCATACTGAGGACTCCTGCTGTCAGATTACCATATTTGGACATCAATGATGTTGAAATAAACTCGGAGAGCACTTTCCGCGCTTTCTTTTCCATCATCACAGGCCGCCCTGACACCTTAAATCTTCCTCCTGACACATGCGGACTTATCCCGGCAAAAGAAGAGCTGTGGGGGTCGCCATCCGCTTTGTTGATGTCGCCATCGCACCCTTGTAAGCACGTCGCGATGTCGGCCCCAAGCCGACCCCATCAATTCCACGTTTTTTTAAGCGTTTTCCACCCAAAGCCCGCCGGTCATCCACGCCGCCGGCCCAACACCGCGGTCTTCTTCAGGGATGGAAGACATTGGCCAGGCGCGCCGCCCAGGATTGTCTCATAGCGATTTCCAATAACGTCACGCAAACCAAACCTTTCACAGGCATCCCGAAGCGCTGGCGACCAATCCCGCACCGAGCCGGTATCTAATGGGGAGCGGAGCCCGATGCGGAGAAAAAATAAGATGGGATGCTACAGCGCGGACGTTGGCCGTCCAGACCCTTGGTTTTGGGGACTGATGAGTGAAAAATGAGTGCATGCCGGAAGATCATTTGGGTGTTGTAGGGTGGAATAAATAAGAGTGTTCCGGGCCACCTCCATGTGTCCCCGTTTCCCGTACTTGCATGAACTCATCCGCTCCGTCGGGACGAAGGAGCTGAATCGCCATGTCGACCGATCTTGCGAAGCAGCCTGAGGAGGGCGATCACGAGGTTCAGGATGTTCAGCCTACGAAACCCATGTCGCGGTTCACCCGTTGGTACCGCAGCCCGTTATTCAACGTCATCCTCGTTGGTCTGATCTCGTTCACTCAGCCCGGTATCTGGAACGCTCTAAATAGTAGGTGGACGCTTCAAATTTGGGTATGTTGGGTATGATCATCCACTGACGATACTATCTAGGTACTGGCGCTGGAGGTCAACAAGAGCCATACCTGGTCAACGGCTCCAATGCGCTCACATTCGGCATTATGGTGTTTGGCTGCTCTATCTTTGCCATCCTAGCCAACAAGATTGGCCTCAAGAATGTTCTTATCATCGGTACTCTTGGCTATGCGCCTTACTCGGCATCGATGTATGTCAACAACCGTTACGGCGTTGAGTGGTTTGTCTTGTTTGGAGGTGCAACCTGTGAGATATTTTACTATATACTTCCTTAACTATATAAATAGCTAGCTAATAGTCGCTTTTAATTAGGTGGAGTGGGCGCCTCGGCTCTTTGGGCCGCAGAAGGTGCAATGGCCCTTGGATACGCCGATATCAAGGATCGAGGAAAATTCAGTGAGTCTCTGTTGTTTCGAAGATGTGATATAGCTGCTGACTGTCATACAGCCGGTATCTGGCTTGGTCTCCGTGAGCTTGGGCAGCTCATCGGCGCGTCGATCCAACTCTCACTGAACTCCAAGAACGGCCAGCGGGGAAAGGTCGGATACTCCACCTACCTTGTCCTGATTGCGCTCCAGTGTCTTGGACTTCCCCTCGCCTTGCTCGTATCGCCCCCCGAAAAGGTTATCCATCGCGATGGAAGAAGGGTGGCTGACCCTGCTCAGAAGAAGGCAGTCATGGGAGAGTTCCGCAAGTGGTGGGGTTTGATGAAAAAGAAGGAATTCTTCCTTCTCATCCCTATTCTCATCGGTTTCAACTGGAACAGCACCTACCAGGGCATATACCTCACCAAGTATTTCTCCGTTCGCGCCAGAACCCTCGGTGCTCTGACTTCTGGCATCGCTGCATCGGCTGCAAACATGTTCTGGGGATGGTTCTACGACCTCAAGTGCTTCAGCCGTCCTCAGCTTGCCAAGATCACCTGGGCAATTTTCTCAGTCATCATGCTGGCGCTCTTTGCCTGGCAAACGGCCAATGAGAAGTTGTACGAGGATACCGTGCCAAAGGTGACCCTGGACTGGGCTTCGCCTGGCTTCGGACGGGGTTTTGCTGTCAACGTCCTCTTCCGGTAAGTCTTGATGGCTTTCTATATCCTTAGGGAAACACATGCTAAACAAGGTACTAGCTTCATGAACGAGTCTCATTATATGTTTGTCTACTGGATCATGGGCACCTTCTTTGATGACATTGAGACGTTGACTCTGGGCGTTGGTCTCGTCAGGTCATTCGAGTCCATTGGTTCGTGTTTGGCATTTGGAATTGGCGCCGTCAAGGTTTCTCCCATGGTCAACTTGGTTGTTGCCTTCGTCATGTTCGTCATCTGCGTTCCAACGACCTCCTGGGCTGTCTTACTGGTTCCTGAGCGCCCCGTGAACCACAGAAAGATCGACTATGACAACTCGTCCGTCGATTCGCCCGGTAAAACTGTCGACCCCGTGGTCGTGTCTACTGCGGCAGCCGCCGCGGACGGGCCTCGCAATGTGTAGACGTACTTTAGCATGGTCGGCTTTGCTTTCTTTGTTTCTTCATTCTAGCTCAATCGTGAACCCCTGGAAATACAATATTCCTATCATTTTATGGTATCACATTCGTGTGATATTCCCATCATCACGAGTTCGCTGTGTACGTCGCTAGTGTCTCAGACTGAAGTCAATTCTGGAGTCTCTAACCCCCATTGTGATCCAAAGTAATGGATAAGTTCGCCTGAGTAGAATATCATAAATATTGACCGAGAATAAAATGCCGTCCATCATCCCTCGTAGCTGAGCCCATGTGGCTCTCAAATAGAAGCCTCCAACAGATTCCTCAAAAAGTTCTCATCCTTGAATGGCACATTGGCCGAGCCGAAATTGGTATTGTTGAGCGCAGTTTGCATTGGTGCCGGCATGGCATCCCAGTCGAGAACAGGATACTTGGTGCCGGTGGTGTCGGTGAACTGAAGCTCGTGGTTCATCAAGTCCTGAGTGAAGTATTCCACCTTGATGCTGTCGCCATCTCTCTGGGGGTTGTTGGACAGCTTGAAATCGCCGTGGCCAGAAGCCGCACCGCCGACGATAGCAGGGCTGGTGAGGTTTGCGTTGTTCAGCCAGACAACAATGCTCTCCCAGTCATGCCTATGGGATCCGACAGGCACCCCGTCGTTGGGCATGTCCTTGGGGAAGTACCAAGCGTACATGATGGCGAACTTGCCATTGAGCGTCGTTCCTCTGGCGTACGTCTGTCCTTTCGAAGTATCCTTGCAACCTCCAGTAGAACTGCCCGTCGGCTTCAACCCGCCGCTGTCATTGATGTTAGTCCGGTATATTAACTGTGCCAAGCTACGTTTGAAACCGACCTTGTGTCACCTGCGTCATTGACAGCGGTGTAAGGCTGGCATCCGTGGGCAATGTGCAGAGTTGGGTTGAATCTCTCAATCGCCTTGCCAACGGGATTGTCTTGGACTTTCTGGGCGCTGGGACTGAGTTCGTCGTGACCGACTTCCCCGCGACGGCCCAGATTGCTTCTCGCAGGCGCACTGAAAGCACCGCTGGCCAGGGCGAAGATCGTGAACAGAACGTCGGATCGCATCGTGGATGGTTCGAAAAATGACTCGCTAAATTTCGTGTTAGCAGAGTCCTAGTGCGATCCTCAGGTCAAAGCATCATAGGTGCACTTACTAAAAATGAGTGGACGAAAAGAAGCAAAGTCTCGATCACTAAGAAGACCTGCTTCCTTCAAATCGATGAAAGATGGCGAATGAAAGTGAAAGTTGAAGAGAGAATGAAAGCTAGTGAAGATAAGGCTGGGAGTGATGGATTGAAGCCGGGAAGAGCCTGTCTTTTAAAACTTGTCTGCAACATCACAGCCTGTGTTCATCCTTGCGAGGATCACTGCAGAATAGAAGCCTGTCAGTGTCATCAGATGACACTTCGACTTAAGCCTTACGGATTTCGGAAACTGCTCGGGTCCGGAAGCAGGGGTTTTGAGAGTCAAGATGGGGCCAGCGTGCCATCAAGGGGGCACTCAATCTGGTGATTGATCCTGCAGATAATCATCCAGCTCGTCGATAACAGGCTTAAACTTGGAAACCTCCTGAGGCTGAATTTAGCTATCTCCCCCAGATCCACTCATAGCCACGTTTCCGCACTGGTTATTCGCTCGCTTGAGCGGTTCGCCTCTGAAAGTTTGCGTGCTGCAGAACTGAGCCGAGGAATTTCATCTAATCGAAAATGCGAAGGGTGGGCCCGTGAGCTCGACTGAGTCAGTCCAGGGTCACAACCAACGTTTTCCGAGACTGACAAGCCTGATTCTACCACCCATTTTGGTCTACCTTGCTCGGTTTTGGCCCGCAAGCTATTTATTCATAACGAGTGCATAGGCAAGTGCTCAATTGGGAGCACAAAGTGATCCGAGTTGTCCGCGCCAAGGGGGGCCTAACCCGCTGAATAAGCGTCGTTTTCGCGTGGCTTTCATCAAGATAACGTGGAAAATCACCCTCTGTCCGCAATCGGGGAATCATCGGCTTTCAAATCATGGCTATAAATAATGACAAGCTGGGGCTGGGGCGGAAAAGTCGGAGTCGGACCCCAGAAGGTGCTTCGTAGATAAGTGCTCTGAGTCCTCCATATTAACGAGCACCGTTTATAAAGCATTGCATATGGCAACATCAAGGTCAATACGAGAATCTCTTGTTTCTTCGGTCATATGTATGAAGTAGCGAGGAATTCTGGATTCCTCATGAACACCAGACGTGTGCAAGTTCGCGAGTAGGACAATCGCGTATTGACAAGTATCGAGACAATCTAAGCACGACTCAGCGATCTATTCCGCCACACTAACCGCCGACTCAAGCGACCTCTGCGAATCCGAGCTGCTTTTCATACGCCGCAGCCCCCTCCCCGATCGCCTGAATTAACGTATAGCTCCCCGAGTTGTTAAACTCTTGAACACCGTTGAGCAAGTAGAGTGGGGTCATGTTCCCGTCTTCACTAAAGTACAGCTTCGGTCTCTCTCGCCTGTAATAATCGAGCTTCTCTCCGTCAGTAAACTCAACAGTGGTGTTGTATGCCAGAGTGTTGTTGTTGTAGGTCCATGGGCCTTCCCATTTCCGTGCAAAGGCATGCGCGCCAACACGCGGTCCCTTTCTTCCCTCGGCGATGTCGATCATGTGATGCACGAGGATGTGCCAATGCCCACGTTTGTCTCTCCAGAGGAACGGATCCTCGCTTCGTTCCGTGTTGCGGGGCTCCACTACTAATTCATGCGGAGCAGAAAAGTTATCGGCATGATAGATGTTATTCTTTTCGACTGCAAGCAAGATTTCTTTGGTGGGGTTTTTGGGCGACCACAGCGGCCAAGGAGCCGGATTTGTGACATTAATAACTTGCGGTATCGGCTCTGTCCACTCCTTCAAGTCTGGTGAACTCGAGACCGAAATAGTATTGTTCCACTTTTGTGACCGACAGACGTCACCAACTTCATAATCCCTTCCAATGAAGTAGATCAAGTACTTCTCATCTGCTGGACTCCAAATCGTCGTTGGGTTATGATGGAAAGTCCCAAATAGTGTTTGCGCGTAGTTGTATGGACCTCTAGGGCCGGTGCGCGATTCGGCTCTGATGACTGTACTGAAAGGTCTCCAACCCGCGAGTCCACAGCCGTGAGACATCTGGGACGTGACTAGATGGAACAGATTCTCGTCGGAGCGGTCATGAATGATATGTCCACCCCATGAAGAGTTGCCTGCGCCTTCCTTGTAGAAGTCTGTGCCAGTCGCATTCGTGTGGTTGTAACCCGTCCATCGCTCTACGGGTTGGAGGTCCAATTCGCTGCAATCTGCTGACCGCCATCCTGGGTCGCAAGCGCATGATCCTCCCCAGGAACAAATCCCATTCAAACTGCAGTCTTCATCAGTTTTGCAACCCGTTGCATGGGAGAGCAGAATGAGGAGGGGCAAAGCAAAGACATGAAGCTGAGAAAACCTCATGGCGCATAGCGTGCAGTAGATATCGGCGTCTAATCTATCGATGCAGTTGTACGGGGTTTGATCTGGTGCAAAGCGAGGATGAGAAGAGCTGTTTAAATCTCATCTCGCCATGAGATTTCCCGAAATTCGCCGCCTTCGAGATGATCTCCAGCGGAGGAATTGGAGTCCTCGAATCTGAGTTCACTTACTCCGCGCGACCCCACGAAAAGATCCCCGCCAAGCCAGCCATTTACTGCATCTCTACCCCGCACTTTGAACAATATTTGAAGGCTTCTAGTTGTTAGTTGTTAAAGATGTCCATCTAAGGAATTGGGAAGACTTCATCGCTTTTTGAATTACATGGGTTGTCAATTATTCGGACAAGGTTGCGCTCATGTCGCAAGAGAACTAATACGTCGGTCGAACAGAGTAATGACAATGCCAAAATCAGCAACAGTTTGTCCCGGCCCAGCAACTTCAATGTAGCTACATGTTAGTAGTGACGAGAACCCAACGATGAGAGCTTAGTGATATCACGAAGGGTGTCAAGACCCGAATTTCAATACCAGCCCGCCCTCCTGAGCCTAGCCAACTTTGAGAGTAATCAGTGCCTTAATGATTGATCCAAGATTCGAGTCACGTGAAAGTGACATGCTGACCATTCCCTTGATCTTACAGGCCCGCCCGCCAGGGGTTTCGAGGCAAGTGGCGTCACTTTCAGTCAAGGCTGCAACTTGCCAAGGGTGAAGTTTTGACAGTTACAGAGGATCACGGCGCCGATGGCCCAATCCAAATGTCGCTTAAGCACACCGCAGCTTCCCGTTAGAATGGGGAAGCTTCCCAGAAGAGTCTTGGACTGCGAAGTCCAATTCCAGAATCGTTCCACGGTCTGGAGGCGTCATCGGTGTTGGTCCAGCCCAAAAGGGGTCAAAGTGGTACGTACCTAACACGAATACGAGACGAAGACCACAATGGGTTCACCAACACCGTAGCAGACCAGAAGCAATCAAACAATAAGTGAAAGTAGTACGATAGAGATCTCGCTTTTGGAAGCCATGATATGAGAAGAAGATTTAAAGGTGCTCTGTCTCCCGACCATTTTTGCATTGGCTCTCTTGCCTTCCAGCCCCTGCTCCCCCTGCAAATCCCTCCCTAGCCACCGCCGCCACACCCGAGCCCACGCCAAAATGATGGAAGGCATAGAACTTCCGAGGCCGTCGACCATGAGCCCTCTCGTTGTCTATGGCCTTGCTGGACTAGCAGTCTCCATGATCGTCAGTATCTGCCGTCAGCTCTTCTTCCAGAACAAATCATTACCACCGACCGTCTTCCATTGGATACCCTACGTTGGAAATGCAGTGTCATACGGCATGGACCCTGTGGCTTTCTTCGAGAAATACCGCGCTAAGGTACGTTTCTCGATAGAGGACACGGGTAGCGTTGGTTTCCGTTAGCTAACCATAATGAAGTATGGTGATGTCTTCACATTCACCCTCTTCGGCAGGAAAATCACATGCTTCCTTGGGATCGAGGGCAACGACTTCATCCTCAACGGCAAGCTCCAAGACATCAGCGCCGAGGAGATCTATGGCCCACTCACGACCCCAGTATTCGGTAGCGACGTCGTCTACGATTGTCCGAACTCGAAGCTCATGGAACAGAAGAAGTTTGTCAAATTCGGTCTGACACAGAAGGCACTCGAGTCGCACGTGCCCTTGATTGAGAAGGAGGTTCTGGACTACATCAAGACTGCCCCCGCATTCAAGGGTCCATCTGGGGTTGTCGACATTTCTGGTGCCATTTCTGAGATTACCCTTCTCACGGCGGCGCGCTCCCTCCAGGGTAAAGAGGTACGACAGAAGCTTTCTGCCGAATTTGCCAAGTTGTACCACGACCTTGATATGGTAAGAATCACACATTCTCAGAAGACCGCCTCTTTCTAACAGCAGTTTCCTTCTAGGGCTTCACTCCGGTCAACTTCCTCTTTCCTTGGTTGCCTCTACCCCGAAACCGTCGCCGAGACGCTGCCCACAAGAAGATGCGAGCGATATACGAGGACATCATTCAGAGACGTCGCAAGAACGGTGATACTGAAGACGATATGATTACGAACTTCATGAACTCGAGCTACAAGAACGGCACCCCGGTCCCCGACAAAGAGATCGCGCACATGATGATCACGCTTCTCATGGGAGGTCAGCATTCTTCGTCCTCAGCAGCCGGTTGGATCATGCTTCGTCTCGCGGCACACCCTAAGATCGCCGAGGAACTCTACGAGGAGCAAGTCCAGAACCTTGCTCAAGGCAAGAAAGAGAACTTGGCCCCCCTTCAGTATTCGGACCTGGACAAGCTCCCGCTTCTACACAATGTCGTCAAGGAAACCCTCCGCCTTCATGGCTCCATCCACTCTATCCTCCGCAAAGTCAAGAACCATCTCACCATTCCCGGCACCCCGTACGTCGTCGGCACTGACCAAGTGCTCCTGGCTTCACCAATGGTAACGGCAACGAGCAACGAGTTCTTCACAGATGCCAAGAGCTGGAACCCTCACCGTTGGGACGATCATCAAGAAGTTGAACATGCTGGTGACGCTGTGGACTATGGGTATGGTCTCGTGAACAAGGGCACCAGAAGCCCCTACATCCCCTTCGGAGCTGGAAGACATCGCTGCATTGGCGAGAAGTTTGCGTATCTCAACTTAGGTGTCATTGTTGGCACACTCATCCGCAACTTCAAACTGTCAACCATGGATGGCAAAGAAGGCGTGGTGCCTCCTACGGATAACACCTCCATGTTCGCGCGCCCTCCTCAACCATCACCCATCAGGTGGACCCGACGTGATTGAAACGAAACAATCTGATGGCGACATGAACCGTGCATTTTCTTCTCCTTTAGACAGCGATAAAACAAATAGAAGTAATTATAATTCCATTGCCCAAACGAATATGTCACAAGGCGCTCTGAATGACATTTTGTGATCGTGGGGTGATGATTCATTTGCATGGGTATCAAGAATGACACTGTTAAAATTGCATCTCCCCAGAAATCATGTCATCGTACCCCCTGTCCGTCATTGCTGCCACTAATCGCGCAGCATCTCAGCGCACTGTAGAGGCCACAACCCACAGCGAAGTCTAAGGGTCCCCAGGGTGCAATGGTGATCCGCCAAGTCAGTGGAGAGCTCCCGGCGAATTGGGACCTGTGAGTGCACATAAGATGGGAGGTTCCGAGGGAATCTGATGAACATCGAACCATTCAACTTCAGGGGCCAGACCCTGCAGCTCCACTCTGCAGCTGAACAAGCAACTGAACCGGGGATCTGATCGTGCGGAGATTCAAATTGAGGTGGCCAGATCCGACAACATCATGCGTCTCTAGCTCTTGCAACCAAATATGAGGTAAAGATCAATGTTGAGCGCTTGCCCACAGAGTTCAACGCGTCGCATGTGAGCGCGTCTCTCATATCAAAAGGATACGAATACGGACACGGACTGTGGATCCTGAGCCGGGTGGAGCGCCGGTTTTATGGACCATGATCCTACGGGCAACAAACGGGAGCTATTGCGCCTAGATTCGCTGCGGAAAGATCTTTTGTATCCAATCGATTGGTCGTGAGAATACGATTGGCGAAAAAGGGCAAACGTATTTCCTTCCCTTGTCGTAAGCACTAGTGATTTTGGGCGAAGGCCGGGGCAAGTGCATCACATCACATGGTCTCAGCCATCTGGGGACACAGAGTGACAAACTCTTGGTTCTGACTGGCCGGGAAGGGAGCCTGACGCTGGAATACCAAAGCCACGCGGTGCAGCCTTTTGATCATCCGCAAAACTCTTTCAACTCAAAGTGGAAATCACTTCCGTTGCCAGCATGAATTCTCCAAGGACTGGCACGGCCAGTGATTTCAAGCTTGCACCCGGGCTTCGATATGAGCACTCTGCTGGAGAGAACGCCGTCATTCACCTGCATCAGCTATGTAGCCCCTGCGCCAAGTTTACCACCACAAGTCCCCTTCTTCGGACTCTCGCTCGGCGGGGCCGCATCAGGATCCTTGCCTCCGAGATTGCCCATGTTGGAACGCCTTTTGAATTGAAAGCCGGTTACTCGAGCGGTTGCCATCTATGTGCACTTTTGTGGGACCGCGTTGCAGCACATCTGTTGGATCCGGCAAGGTCAGCAAGATCCATGGATTACAGCACTCCAGTAGCAGTGATACTCGAGGCCCGCGATGATGAGAAGGAGTATGCTATTGAGGTCCAAAAGGGAACGGACTGGAAAAGAAAAGCTTGGTGGGCAGTGGCCCCCCTGCCTTACTTGTTAGTCGCCCTTTCGACCGGTTTACATTCGTTTCTGACCAGCTTTAGGTCAGACAAGGGCTACATCAAATTGAAGACTACAGCCTTGGGCAGCGAAATAGCCAGTTATTTATACATCCATCGACGTGCGAGTGAGTATATCGTCTAAGTGTCAGAACTCGAATGGTCAGCCGCTGACGACATCTTCAGGTCCAGACTTGAACATCGACTCCCTTCGCCATAACTCAGTTTCGCTCTCTTCGCGCAATAACGTCAATTTTGAAGCGATCAAGAAGTGGCAAATAGGTTGTACTGAGCACCATTCTGCATGTCGCCAATTTCCGAGCGTTGTTTCCCCGACAAATCAGGCACCCTCAAGGTTACTAAACGTCAGTGGAGAAAACGTGCGTCTTGAATGTGATGTCGGAGTCACGACACCTGGGCTGGAATACACAACTCTCAGTCACATGTGGGGACCCGATCCCTCTTTGTGCCCACAGTTGCTGGTGTCGACCATCGATTCGTTCATGCTGAGTATTTCCATGCACGATCTACCTAAGAAATATGTTGACGCCATTGAAGTCACACGGGCCCTGGGGTTCCAATACATTTGGATAGACTCTCTCTGCATCATCCAAGACTCAAAGGAAGACTGGCAAAGAGAAGCCGTCAAGATGGCGGCAGTGTACGGGCGATCCAGCTGCAATATTTCCTACACCTTCCCCCCTGCATCAGAGTCATCAAACAATCATCTGCGGGATCCCAGGGTACATTTGCCTTGTCACACCCGTCTACCCTGTAAGTCTGGGCTGGAGACCTCCAAAGCGCCTGAAGATCTAGTGATCCAGCATACGCCTGGATACATACGACCTGCTTGGCTACCAACAAACTACAAGTCCGTGTGGCCACTCCTTTCGAGAGGATGGGTTTTCCAAGAACGACTTCTTTGTCCCCGGACAGTATATTACGGCCAAGATCGACTGATTTGGGAGTGTTGCAATGGGATTGAGGACGAATTCTACGGGCCCCTGGCGACACTTTCTGGGTCAAAAGTGCATTTCTATCGCATAATCACCCGTCTGACCGATTTCTTGAGAGGCGGTCGAGAGCTTCAACGTCAAACTGGCAGTTCGGAAGCCACCATTGGTGAAACGGATACTACCACCGGCGAAATGCGATGGGCTTTCCTGATTCGAGACTATCGCGCAGGAGACCTCACGAAAGAGACAGACCGTGGGATCGCTTTTGCTGGCATTGCTCGCGCGATTCAAGCCAAGGCTAATGTCACATACCTAGCTGGTCTCTGGAAGGAGTTTCTTGAGTATGACCTGCTATGGTCGGTGAGTTCTGTCCCAGTCAACGTCACGGACTATGAACGCGTCAGAAAGGAGTCAGAGCCAGCGCCAAGTTGGTCCTGGTTCTCTATCCCAACATACAAAACGGCTCTCGGAAACGATATTCTAGATTTTCCCTTTCGAACAACGATGCAAACATACCGACATTTCTCGATATATAACGCGAAGACAGTCTCATATTGTCATCCCGACGGCTCAGCAAATCCCGACTCACTACTATACAAATTTACTGGCATGACTTTGGCCATCAGGGCAAAGCGCATTCCTTGCACGCTCGAGTGGAGAGACGCCCCGAAACTACTGTATGTGCTGCCGTTGGGGGATTACAAGTGGGCGTTGGGCATGAAGAATGTCTGGCTGAAAGCAAGTCAACAATGGATTCGGTCCAAGTGCCTAAAATATGCACACGATGATCCTCTTCTTAAGGAAGAAGATCAGCTCCCTCAAGATGCTTGCATGATACTGACTGTGGAACAAGCATTCTACACGGATCAGTCTGCCACACAACATGCATATAGCCTGGAGCGACAGAAAAAAGGGGATATTCCGGACTCTTGGAATCTTACTTATCAATACGCAGGCATCGTGGTCGTACCAGTAGACTCGACAGATGCTCAGGAATTGGTACGTTGGCGACGTATCGGTGTTTTCATCTTCAGTGACGACATTGAAGAGGAGGGCTTTACGACACCATTCGACGAGTATGAGGCTACGGAAGAAGATCTTGTCTTGATCTAAGTTTTCAGTCTTGCAATTGTTCCAGAGGTCTTGCTAGATTCTTTTCGATGTGGAACAAGAATTGTCTATTGTGATTGCATGATTTATAAACTGAGGCTGTTTTGTTACTTCTTGAGTTTCAAAGCTGGCTAGTTAACTAGGTCTTCGGCAGTGGTTGCTGACATTTCTGGTTAACCAAGCGTAAATGTATCTAGACACAATAGCTTGGGAAATCCAAACACCAGTCCAAGAGATTCGCTAATGATATCCACGAGTCACATCTCACATTGGCTAGGTCTTATTGCTATTGTTTCAAATCATGCCTGGGCCCCGGCATTTGATTTGTAGATCTTTAAGTAACGACTGTGTACGAATGCATGAGGTACAAACGATGCAAACATGAAGAAGTTGAAACATGAAAAATGGAGAAGGGTTTCTTCCCGTAGCCTGACCCCTGATATTCCCCGACATGCCCCTCAAGACATATTCGGGACGGGCATTGACTGTGAGAATACTGCTATCATCGCCAAACTGATACCAGTAGAGCTTAGATCCACACACATCCGCTGCCCTCCTGACCACAGACCATCTGTGTATCGAGATGATTGGTTAGGCATTGTTTCGTGAGTATTATGCAAAACAACTAGAATACTTACGGCGTTGGGGGCTCCGCCAGGGCAGGTCCAGAGGTCGCAGGCAGAGATTTGGCCACTGCAGCGGCAGTTGGTCTGTCCAACAACCTGGCCGCCGTTGCAGGCAGGAAGAATCTGGCCGCAGTCGACACGAGCTTCGAGATCACGACTCTCGACCCAGCCGTTAGGCATGGCGATGGCGCCTGCGGCGAAGATGGCAAGAACGGGAATGGTGAAGAACTGCATTTTGGTGGGTTGAGTAGAGTGTGAATGGGGAATAGTTGCAGAGGAAATGTGATATCGGTGTTGTGGATGATCTTGTAGATGTTGTGAGTGAGCTGGAGATGGAAGTCAGAATTGCAAGTGGCTTCTTCACCTTTTTATACTTTTTTGTCCTCGTACATTCCGCCTTGATACATCATTGAGAACGTTTCTCAGCAACACCTTCGCAAGCCGTTTCTCCCATTGCCTTCTTGCCTGGCTACTCTACTTCATGTTACCTTACAAACTCCCCCTTCAACGTCTGGTACTATTCCGTGTATCTCAATTCCCCAACGGTACGGAAGCGCGCTCAGGTAATCCCGATTGGTCTGTTCGCTTCATCATTCACCGTGGCATAGCCTCAACTCGTGGTTGGATGAAGCTTGTGGGAATGGTGAGTCTCAGCCGTTTTGTGACGATCTTCTCATGCTGATCGGTGGACCTTTCGCCCGAGGTTGATGAGCGCTTGCGCAAAGTTAATGGTAAGACAAGCTATTCAAAGGATTGTTTCGAGTTTCACCAGCTGGCGGTTTCCAGTTCCTTTCGGTATTCCTACCACTATACCATGATACCATGCAGGCTGGCTGTTGGAATTGAAGAAAGGGATGGAAGTAACAATTGTGGGTATGAAAAGTGACAACATCGGGGATCAGCATGACAACATCCGCAATCGTTCACACTCAGCCTACAGCAAACCGCGGCAGCCCACTCATTTGGCATAAGGATCCATGCCTGATCAACGAAAAGATGAGTCCGAACTCTGGAGCCGAGATATCCGAAAGTCGTGGAGCACAACTCAGTCTCCGAGCTGGGGCTGCTTAAATCCACGTTATTCCAGCCCCTGTGGAGTCTAGTAAGTCTTCGCAATAGACATTGTCCTGATGTCAAGTACCATTGCCCGTAGTCCCCCGCTTCCAAAATCTGTGAAATACACGCCGGGAATAACAAGAACCCCTACCCGTTATTGTTCTTCCGCGATACTGCGCAACAAGGTTGCTTTCTGGCATTACATTGGAGAGCAAACCGCTAGCACCTATCGTCGATTTACATCTTAGCGGAGTCTTACTGGAGAATTCATGCACTTGACGAGGTGGCGCGAGTTGGAACTGTCTTACCACCCCCTCATTGTCTCACGAGGGAGCATCCTTCAAGTTCCACTTTTGCGCCCCAAAGAGGCACAGCTTCGCTTATTTGAAGACACCGCAATAAGTATTCAACACCGACTTCCTTCACCATTCCCATACAATGTGCTACTAGAGACGAGTGTGATCAGTTTAATGCTCTAGTTTCCAACCTACAGATGTGCATCAAAGTGAATGGACTAGTTCTCGGACACTACACCTATAGCCGGCTACAGAAGCACATGTAGGCAAAGGCCTCGTCCAAAATTAGTGTTCTGTGCGTTCAGGTACCACAATTATATGATGTCGATGACAAGAGCAGAAATATGAATCCGAGCTTACCAGCCGCAGCCTGTATCAAGTGAGACGTTTTTGCCTAGGTCGACGCCAAGGCCTATCGGAAGAAAACGCGCGGGTGAGGCTGGCGGGAGGTCCCGGTGAGGCGAATTGCGTATTGGGTGCAAATCCAGCATTTAGGGGTAAAGATCGACATGCCCACTCTTAAAAAGTCCGAGATGACCAGTGCTAATGCGCAACCGAAACTTGACACTCGAAAGGGATGATTTCGCGGTGTTAGGCATCTAGACATGTCGCTACTGAAATCATTAGTCAACCGCTAGACTAAACGTACCGCCCGAGGCTCGGCATTCGAACAGCGGCGATGTCCTCTTCACGAAGCTGCCTTATGCCGTAAGTCTCCTCAAAAGCCCTCCTTGTCAACAGGGCTGAGTAAGACGTGGCCGTACCTTGCTTGCCGGCCACAACACCCTCTCTCCCTAGGGTGTTCAGAGCCAAGTCTTGCATTCCAACAACATTGGCTGATATTTCTCGTCCTGCGTCAAGACTAAGCTGCTAGTTGTCAAACGCCGCGGGAGTGGCTGCGAAAACACGCTATGACTGCGGGCTGACAATTGCGGATGTGACTTGCAGCATCATCGCCACCATTGGAGGATCACATGGCGTTCAGCTTCTGAGCCCCCATCATATTTGCCGACATCGAATAAGACCTCTTAGTTAAGACAATGACGTCTATTTCTCTCTCGTGATTTGGAAATTCCTTCGCATGACAGTGGTTTTCTAAACATGCAATGTACGGGAATCACCGAAAACTTGCCCTTCTCGCCAATGAAGGCGCAGCCAGCCCACGCTGCTGTGCTTATGCCAAGATGCCTTGTCGGTCGCCTATTGACTGCAAGTGTATGTGGTGACGTTATTCAGGATTTGTACTCCGAGAAGGAGCAACGGGTCGGTGGTATCAGCAAATGGAGTTCCTTGAGAGATCAAGTGAAATCCAGGGGGTATGCTAGGCGGACCGAATGACACTTTGGTATAAAGAAACGCCCTGTGCAACTAAAGATAATGAGAAAGTAGTATACTGGACATCAGCAACACGAAACCGCCTAATCATGTTGAACCTCCTTGCAATCTCATTCCAGCGGCAATCTGCCGCTGTGTTTTTGGCGCTCTGCGCTTTTCTTCTCTTTGCCGATTGTACCTCAGCCGTCAAGATCAGAGATGGCGCGGATCCAACTGTGATGAAGAGCGGGGATACCTACTACTCGGCTGAATCTGCAGGTGGCATCTATGTTCGAGCTGCATCCTCGCTCGAAGGCCTTGGCGCGTCCGATGTTCGACGCGAGCTAGTCTGGTCCGACACGAAGAACATGGGCGCTATCTGGGCCCCCGAGATCACAACTGATCTTGGTCGAACCTACATCCACTTCTCTGCCGGAGTAGACGCTGCCCATCGCATGTACGTGATCAGTGCCGACTCGCCTCTTGGGGAGTACTCGGCCGAGACCAAGCTTGCCCTGCCCGACGACCAGTGGGCTATCGACGGAACGTTCTTCGTTTTCGAAGGACTAGGATACTTCGTCTGGTCCGGCTGGAAGAGTGAGGCGGAGAACTCAGAACAGAACCTGTACATCTGCCGCATGGACAGTCCTTCTCAGCCTATCGGCCAGCGGTACATCATCTCACAGCCGAGAGAATCTTGGGAACAAGGCGACAGCCCACTCATCAACGAAGGTCCCGAGGCAATTGTTGACCCAAACGGCCAGCTACACATCGTCTACTCTGCCAACGGTAGCTGGAACAACAAATACTGCCTCGCAGACCTTCGACTGCGGAAGGGTGGTGACCCTACGTATGTGTGGGATTGGTATAAGTCCAACGGTTGCCTGTTCGGTTCTCATCAGAACAGAATGATGAACGGTTGGGATGCAACTTTGTACATCGATGGACCTGGACATCACACGTTCGCACTTCCCAACGGCGACGTCAACGATAGCCCTGGGGGCACAAGCCGCATTCCATTCGTGTTTCACGGCGTGGAGAAGGGTACAACTTACAGCTGGGATAATCGTGATTGGTTTACCGGCAGCTACGTCTGGTGGAGTAACACCGCTTACACTCGAGCGAACGTGCCGGGAGATACAAGTAACACGGGGTACAGCTTCAAGTTCTTTGAGTAGGGGGACAAACTTCTGGACGTCTTTCTCATTTGGAAGTTCGTATCATACTGCGCGTCTGGAGGCCTGTATCTATTCCAATGACATACGTAATAAGAAGTCTTTGTCTGAATCGCCTTGCACAGGAAGTGGAACTGGTTTACACATTCGCTTGTAAAGACGAGTTGCTAGAAGCATCAGTCATACATATGAGCCTACCGACCGAGTCTGACCCGCAAGTAGTTTTTATGCCCTGGCGTAACAGACTAGTGTCATGCGGACCAGGTGGAGCCGATACCATCATTAAAGACGAGTATTGCTTGCCAGTCAAGGCTTGGATAGCTTGGAAAAGAGGTCTGAATATGGATGAAAGATCATTAAACACTATCGTCAGCTGTCTGGCATGTCACCACACAGAGCGTCCAATGTGTTGGTCTTGTTGGGACCTCGCCGAGTGATGAGCATTAACGCGACTTTCGAATTAGCGCAACATTCTATGGCTGGATCAATTCATGCTGCTGGCTGTCTACGAAGTTGACTACTATTAATCAGGAGGGTCGCCTTTACAGGTAGGCTTAGATCAAGAAGGAATCAGGGTGGTCGTTGAAGAACTGCATGGCCTCCACGCGGTAGTCATCCTTAACAATTTCCGGTCCGCTCTCCTTGAAGTTGTAGGTCTCCAGTCCCTCCTCAGAGTATCTCGGCCAATCAGCAAGATCCAAACCGTGGTTGTTGGGGCTCAGGGTACGGATGAAGGAGATGGCGGTCGCTTGGTAAGCATTGGTGTTCTTGCTAAGGCCGTACGGCAAACCTGCGAACATGTAAAACCAGACATCGAAGGCATGGAACGAGCCGAGCACAGGCAGGTGAGTCAGGACACCGAGATCAGGCAGCAGGCCGGCGGAAGGAATGCTGACATCGGTTACGTAGTTCCAGACGGTCTGCTCGGAGGTGTTGTAGTGTGCCAGCAGGTTGCGGCGCTGCGCCTGGAAGCTGAAGTCGCCCACCACTGCGGCCAGACGCTTGAAGTTGGGGGTCACGGCGTTGAGAACGCCCGAGTCGAAGGGGGAGCCCTGGGTGATATCCGCTGGGTAGAGCTCCATGAGCTTGGCCATCTCAGCGTCGGAAGCCCTGGGCCACCAGATGTCCTTGAAGTACTTGGCGAAGTCCTCGTCGGTAAGGGTCTCAAGTTGAGCGAGAAGAGAGAAAAGGGTCCCCTCATCACGCATGTCGCCGGTGACCAGAGGAACGGAGGCCATCTTGCCAGCAGCAGCCAGGCGATGGGGAGAGTCCTTGAGATGCTTACCGTCGGGACGGATGGTCCAAGTCGAGGCCAGGGATCGAGGTCCGAGAACTAGTCAGGAATCAGAGTCAGCCGAATGTTATCAGTTTGTAATACTGAAAGTTCACTTACGCATGCCCTCGTCGTTGACGGAAGCCATGATGTCGTCAAAGTCGGCGACCTTCAAGCAGGCAATCTTATCGGTGGCGTTGGTGCATCCTGTTCTCTCAACCATGTTGTCGAAGAAGGGCTGAGCACGCTCAGCGCTTTCGACCATGACAGGGCCACCAGACAGGGCCATCGCACCGCGGAAAAGATCAGTGGCGCCCTCTCCCTCATCCCACAGCAGATGGGCGACGACGGACCAGCTACCAGCCGACTCGCCCATGATGACAACCTGGTCCGGGTCACCACCGAAGTCCGCAATATGCTTCTGAACCCATTGCATAGCAACTCTTTGATCCTCGAGACCTACAAGTATACTGTTAGCACATTATGAATCAAAGTGGCCTTCTGGTACTGACCGAGGTTGAGAAGTCCGGCCTCCTCCATCTCCTTGGACGCGGAGAAACCGAAGGCGTTGAGACGGTAGTTGGCTGACACACCAATGATAGGCTGGTTGAGGCTGACAGAGGTGCGGACCAGTCCACCGATGTTGTAGTTCGGCACGGCACCTCGGATCACATCCGTCTCACTGGTGGCAGTAAAGGGGCTGCCGACCTCGTATCCACCACCGTGAATCCAAATCACCACGGGTAGCTTGTCTCCCTTCTTGGCGTCGACAGGCGCTTGCACATTGATGAGAAGGCAGTCCTCGCTGCGGGTTTGTCCGATGGTATCGAAGACTGTGTCAGCCAGGGCACCGACGATGGGGCCGATTGCCGTGCCGGTCTTGCCCAAGATGAGACTGCTGGACGAGTTCATGGACAGAATTGAGCCCGTCGTCTTCTGCGGGCAGATGGGACCGTAGCTGCTGCCATCGAACTCGCCCAACTGCTCGGTGTAGAGCTGAGAGTGCTCGAAGCGGCCAGCTGAGGCGAAAGGAATGCCTTGGAAATGTTAGTTTCTCCGTCTGAGATATTCAGCATGCGTGTCCAGGTCCCGTTGCAACGCACCTAGGAACTCCTTGATGTTGCCATTGATCCGGCCAGTGATGTTGGCGTAGTCAATCTCCACCTTGGGGCTGAATGCATCACGGGCAGAAATTGGCTTCGCAGAGGCAAAAGCGGAGTTTGAGGCCGCGAGTAGGGCTGCAAGGCCCGCCCACTTAGATGCCATATTAATTAGTTGTGTAAAGAAATTGTTAAGGAGTGTAATTGGGAGTTGATGTCTCAACTCGCCAGTTGGATACAATGATGCAGAGATGGAAGCAAGGAAGTGAGGCTCTACTCAGCCAAGAGTGATGTTGGTACATATACGATGGGAGGGAACTCTCTGCGCCAAGGGGTACAATCGATAGTCTCAAAGGATGTCATCTGGAAATCTATCCACCGACTATGCCGGCCGCTCCGGACCCTCTCAAGTCAATCATGATCGTCAATCAATGTGCCAAAGAAGCTGTCACAGGACGGAATGTCTTCCGTGGGGAGACCCTTTTGCTTCCACTTGAGCATAGCGTTGAGATTCTGGCATGCACAGCTAGTCATGTCTGGGCTCAAATGGAAGTATTCGGTAGCGATCGGCCGCCAAGGCCCCTTGACCAAGGGTCATAAACGTGGCAGTCATTTCGACACCTGGTCGTATTTCGTCGAGAGTGGGCACCCAAGACCAGGATTTCGACATCGACAGCAAACGGGGTTCGCTAGTTTCGAACTCACTCGGGGGAAAGGACGCGCCCGTGCCTCGGACCACGTGGAAACATGAGCCCCGGGCTGGGGATAAACACTCTGGAGGGTTAATTATGTTGGGATTCCTCCTTCCTTATGGAGGATTAATCGTTGTTGAGCTGAAACTCCCGCAAGCTAGTATCCAACTAAACTTACTCGTGAACATCAGCGAGTTTGGATCTAGCGTCCGTCAAGACAGCATGTGAACGTAAAGTATAAATACAATGATTATATGGCGTAGTTAAGCCCCCTAGACGTGCTGTCGCACCTTTCGCTCCTCCTCCCAAGTAACATCTCTCTGGACCACGATCGTGTCCATGGGCACATCGTCGCTCGCCTCTTCACGCTTGGGGCTTTTTGCTCCAGACACCGAGTACCTCATGCCACTGCCGTGGTGCAGGTACTCCTCCGAATCGTTGCCTGTGCTCAGGCGTTCGTGGTTTGCGGAGCGCTTGAAGTTGTGATGGACTCCAGGTCGCGAACCTCCGGCACCGCCAGTGCCACCGAAAGCAGGATTCGACGAAATTTGGTTGGACTTCTGATCACGAGTTGACCAGGGAGTGCCGTAACGCATCTTGCGATAGACGGGCACGAGAGTAACTGCACAGGCGCCAATGATGGCGACGTAGATCTCCACGACGGTGGCAGTCCACATGAGAGCGTATTGCTCTGTTCCGCGGAGTCAGCAAACCGGTCAACAAAATGGAGAGAAAAGGGTCCTTACGGGTCATGTCCGTCACACCGATGGAGTAAAGAGAGGCCAGAGATCCGAAGCGGACGAAACTGGCAATTACGACGCTGTTTTGAATGCTTCGTCAGTACCATGCCGTGGATCAGTTTTTCCGGGGTCTACTCACAGGCTGCCAAGAGCGAAAACACAGCAGATGCCCACTCTCTTGCTCGAGCTGACCTGCAGCTTCATGGTCTCGTGAATCGGCAGCACCAAGGTCAAGATATCGATGAGACTGTTGGCGATGGAGTTGCCCACGAAATACAGAATCAAGTCAATGCATGTTCCAGCGCCTGGGTTGGTCGTCTGCTCCCATGTGTACGACAGTGGACGGCACTGCAGGCAGTTGGTGATGAAAATGGCGACGCCCCAGCCGATGCATGCCGCTGACAAAGCGTAGATACCCTTCTTCATGAATGGCGTTGGGAACACGCGCCAGTAGAAGGCCAGCAGAGAAAGTTTGATCAAAGGCGAGGAAAAGCCGTAGCAGAACTCAGCGGCGACAACACACTACAAATCCGTTAGCCTCCAGTCAGAATTCTTCGCGTCCATCGGGATATCAACCGCGGACCTTCAGAAATGTGATCAACTGCATCGGGTTCTCCGCCATCACCACCACGATGCTCCGACCTAGACCTCCATTGACCGTCGCCTCAACAGTGATGGCACAGAACGCGTGGTTCACTATCAAACTGGCCAGCGCCAGCCAGTCGTCAAGGCCCCATCCTACTCCCGTGAGCTTTCGCGCCCAGAATCGTCCAGCGCAGGTAACGGTGGCTATCACCGCGAGGACGATGTTGATGACGATGATGGCAGTGTCCGTATGATCGTTGGACGCTGTCGTCGGCGTTGTTGTCGTTGTCGAAGCCATGTTGTCTTTATGTCCAGGCTGACCCGAGCCGCAGCCAGTCAACAAAAACACGATATAATCCGACTGTTGTCGTGCGTCACAAAACGCCAGCAAGAAAGCAAAAGAGCAGAGTGTCTGCTCATTTGGTGGGGGAGAACCAAGTTAATAACCACATATCCACATCCCGCTGACTGACAGAATGGTCACAGAATGCGTAGAACCATCAGAATACGGCAGATCCTGCAGTGTTTGTGGTCTGAGCGGTTCCTGATCCGGCCGGCCGGGAGTTGTTCCTGAGTCCTAAGGTGGCATTCGTGGAGACGACGGTGCAGGGAAGACGTTTCAACAGATTCATCGTAGTGCCGGGCGTGAGTGTACGTGACATGTCATGTAAAGACGTAACCGTGCCTGCCATTGGTTCAGCGATCAGATCCAACCACGAAAAGCCTTCCCGTTCTAGCCCATGAACCGTACCCACCCATCATCTGTGCCGGCATCAGGATCCCTGCTTGCCGGTGAAGAATCGACTACATGCCGGCGCAGGGGCATCGGCTTGGCAGGCGTGCAAATGCGAGTCATGTGACATCCACTCTACATACTACTAGACTCCATTCCGAACCCCAAGAGTCCACAGACACCAAAGTTTGTCCTATCAAGCGGTCCGAAAACTCCAGGTTTTCGTACAGGAGTTGTTTGGCCGAGATTGTGCTGTGACAAGAACGGCATCGGGGCGGGGTTGACAGACGACGAGGTGGATGTGTCGATCCCAAAGCCTCGAACCTAGATGCCGGTATGCAGCCGCGAAGTCAGGAGAACGAACATCCCATCGCCGCCCGCGGAAATGAGACACAAGCAGAACTTTTCACAGCGTTGCAAAGTCTCCGCCGAGCTGCCTCCTGAGATCGGAATAGGAAAGGCGAGTACCGTTTGTGACACGATCTGCCGCTGTAGGTGATAAGCGGCTACCCTTTCCACTTGATCCTTTTGATGAGCCTTTTCAGGAGGTTTCCCCTTTTGTGATCCTGGTGATCGCCATATTCGCATCGACTTTCCTTCACTTCTAGAAAAATTCCGATACGTTACCCAAGACATTCACACCGAGTTTTTCGCGGTAGCCACATCGCGATCCTTCAAGATGGCCGGCACCAAAGGCGAGAGCTTCCCGATCCTCTCATACCAGCCTCTACGCATATTCTACCAGCTTTTCGGCGCCCTCTTTATCCTCCTCTTCTGTCTTCCTGTCTGGTGTGTCCAGGCCGCAATTCCGGCATGCCGCCCTCACCCAAAATGGGGCTTCAAGCAGGCTCTCATGGCACGTCTTACACGCAACATTGTTGACCTGTACTCAAACGTGGGAATCACCGAGACGCACACCCTCAAGCCGGGCAAGGAAGGCGACCGCTTTCAGACCGCTGAGCCTTTCTCCTCAGAGCACTACCGCGGACCTCTGGCCTCGAACCCCGATGTCAAGCCTACCACTGTAGGTGGCACGTGGTTCCCCGAGAAGCCTGATGTTGAAAAAGGCTTTGGCGGCGTCGTGGTCCTGCAGATTCACGGTGGCGCCTTCGTTCTGGGCGATGGCCGCACAGGCTACTGCGGCTTCATGGCTAACACACTGATCGACAAGGCCGGCGTCGACGCCGTCTTCGCGCCGCAGTACCGTCTGTCCGGCTACGGTAGCGCGGGTTCCGCGGCTAACCCTTTCCCCGCCGCCCTGCAGGACGTTATCACCAGCTACTTGTACCTGACCCAAACTCTCGGCATCCCTTCTCAGCGCATTGTGCTCTGCGGCGACAGTGCCGGCGGCAACTTGGTGATCGGTCTACTCCGCTACCTCGACACCTTCGGCCGGGACTTTGGAATCTCTGCCCCGAGTTGCGCCGTTCTGATCGCTCCGTGGGTCAACCCGCTCGCCAGTTTGGGGCCGGACTCGGTCTACAAGCAACACGAGCACTGGAGCACCGACTACCTTCCCGTCTCTTTCCTACGCTGGGGCGCCAAGGTGTACTCGTCCGGTGTGGCTGAAGAGACCCTGCCGTACGTCACCCCTCTTGGCAACCCTTGGAAGACTCAGGTCCCCGTCTTCGTTACCATGGGCGAGGCAGAGATCCTTGAGACGGACGGCACTACATGGTGCCGCCAGATGCAAGAGGCTGGAGGCAATTTGGAGGTGTCCTACGAGGAGCATGCCGTCCACGACACGCTGTTGATGGGTGCCATTATTGGCTGGGAGGAGAGTGCGCAGGTTGTGGCCACGAGAATCGGGGAGTTTGTTGCCAAGGTCCAGAAGGTGACAGACTTGTAAGCCGGTTGTTCGGAGTAAAGAGGGGCAGAGTTGATCCATCACCCTCACAAAAAGTGTATACTAGTGTAATTTTTCTATGTACATGATGATTGGCAGTATCCGATAGACGTAAAATAGGCTCAGCGTTAATTGTTTCTCACATTCGATATTATCTGACCATCTGATGTGATGTAATGACTCGGGACCGTCGTACGATGAACTCAATACCACCTCAGGTTACAGTGATCACGATCGGTTTAGATTCCTGCGAAGAAATCGACGGATTTTGAGAGAATTTACAAGTTGAAGAGAATCATGAGTTTGTCATTAATTAAAGATATCTACAAGAACTTTGAGGCGCTGAAAATGACCCCTGAAAGCATCCTAAATGCGCAGGGAATCGCCAATCTCGTTGAGATAGGTGATGGCCTCCTCGCGATAATCATCAGCCACAACATCAGCGCCACTCTCGCTCCACAGCATCGTTGACTTGCTAGACGAGTCATACTGCGGCCAAGTGGGCACATCGGTCATGTCATGCTTGTTGGGGTCCAAGTTGTTTACAAACGAAATCAGGGTGCCCATCAGATGGCGCGAGTTGTTGCTGGGCAGCGCACCGAAGAAGTTGAGCACCACATCGCTGGCGTGGAAGCTGCCCAGGTACGGGACCGCCTCCAATGCATCAGAGTCGGCGTAGTCGGCCTCGGTAATCTCTCCCAAGGTCGCCGTGCCGGCCAAAACCGATGCGGGCAGAGCCTGCTCGATAAGGTAGTTCCACTTGTTGCCCGGAGCGGCGCTCATCAGCTGGCGACGCTGGGACTCAAAGCTGTAGTCGCCAGTGATGGCGGAGATACGCTTGAACTGAGTGTACAGAGCGTTGTTGTCGCCAGTGCCGAAAGGCGAGCCGGCCGTCTGGTTGTCGGGGTACAGAGTCAGGATCTGCTCGAGCTGGGCCTCAGTAGCGTTGGGCCACCAGGTCTTGAGGAAGTAGTCCATAACATCGTCGTCGGTGGTGGTGTTGGCGGCGTTGATCAGAGAGAACAAAGTGCCTTCGTCGCGCATGTCACTGGAGAAGTAGTCAGCATCATTGCACAGATGACTTGGCATCACAACTTACCCCCAAAGCAGAGGAACGTCGGCAATAGCTCCCGCGCTGACAAGCTTGTCCGGGCTGTCAGTGAAAACATCACCATCAGGGCGGATAGTCCATGATGAGGCCAAGCTGTTGTAGCCCAGGAAGTACGGCACTGTCTGCATGTGTGCGTAGATTTCGCTGTACTCGACCTCCCGCAGGCACGCAACCTTATCCGTGGCACTGCTGCAACCGACGTAGCTGACGAGGGAGTCAAAGGTGCTCTGCTGCCTCTCGGGGCCATCGACCTTCAACGGGCCTCCCGAGCTGCCGACGGCGGCTCGGAAGAGTCCCTCGTTGTCGCCGCCGTTGGCCACCAGGTGAGCGGCCACTGACCAACTGCCCGCGCTCTCGCCCCAGATGGTGACCTTGTCGGCGTCTCCGCCGAAGGAACCAATATGCTTGTTCAGCCAGCGCAGAGCGTTCCTCTGGTCTTCGAAGCCCAGGTTGAGCAGGCCAGCAGCCGCCAACTCCTCAGAGGCACTGAAGCCAAAGTGGTTCAAGCGGTAGTTGATGGAGGCCACAATAATGGGCTGGCCCATAGCGATACTACGCTCGACAATGTTGGTGGCCTGGTAGATCACTCCCGGGTTCTCGACATCGGCCTCCAGCAGCGAACCCCCCGCGCCCGCCTCGAAGCCACCGCCGTGGATCCACAGGAGAACAGGCAGGCCGGCAGTGCTGCTGGTGTTTTGCGGCACATGGATGTTGATCGAGAGGCAGTCTTCGCCCTGCGTGAGGGTGGACTGCGACAGAGCAGCAACGAGGACGCCAGACAAACTGCCTAGCGGTAGCACGGACGGGTCGATGGATGAGGGGAGCTCATGCTGCGGGCAGACGACGCCGTACTCTGAGACATTCTGCACGCCGGAGACGGACGTCTCGGCCAGTACCGAGTGGTTGAACCGGGCTGCTGTAGCATATGAAATGCCTAGAAAGTATCACAATTAGCATGCGGGGTTGAGAGGAGACGGGGAGCAGATCTTACCTAGATAGTTTGAGGTTCTGGTGTTGTCGTCGTTCTTGCCCTGAAACTGGGCATAGGAGGTGCTCACAATGGGGGAAGCGTCTCCGACGAAAAGAGTGGCGCCGGTGACGATCTGCGTTGTCGCATGGCAAAGGCCCAGGGCCGAGGCAAGGACTGCAAGTTGCTGGAGCATTGTAAAGAATGGACGTCTGCGATCGACAGACAAGAGAGTTTGGCGGGCGGATGAGGAGCCTAGACCATACTGGCGTTCGTTCTAGGGCGTCTCAAATATATTTGTGTACTTTTGAGCTAACCTCCCTGACTTCCCAGGCCTCCCGATCAAATGGCAGAGTGGCAATATGCCTACGTGAGAGACTATCGTAAACCCGCTGCGGATACTTGGACGGAATGATCACATATTCCGGCCAGAAGGAACCTTTTCTGGGCATCACTCCACGACCGTCTGAGCGGCCCCTCCGCATCCATTATTGAAAATTAGAATATCATCGCGACTTTATGCGCGAAATCTGAGTTGTGTACACGGCCACGCGGCAGTGAAGAAATATTGAAATGTGCGGTGGAGTGTATAAACATTCAGAGTGGGATCGCGGCAAGGTGTAACGAATATTTAATAACGCGCCGGTGGGATACCCTTGGATGTGCGCTATCCTCCGATTGTGCAACGGGTGGAAGCGTTCGTTGTCTGACTCGTGTGAACTGGATCGTGCGACTCATGTCCAATCGCAGTATGGTGGCATGCCGGGCCGGCGTTCGGGTGCGGAAACGGGCTTATCAGGTCCGCAAGCACGTGGCGGAGTAAAATGCCCTTCAACCCCTGGCCACAACAACAGGAATTTTTGAAACTGGCCGAACAGCTTCGTCTTGATGGCTTCGCTTGGAATACTTCAGCATATTTTTCTTCGAAAAGTGTCTGTGCCCTTGATCGAAAATCCCAGTGCTAAAAAATGGTTGGCATTTGTGTATGGCGATGCTAGCTGTTCATTTTTCAAAAGATACTGAGTGGCAGCTGAAGACGATGTCAAAGCAAGTCGAGAAGCGGCATCGTGAAAGCCGGACTAATTTGACGATAACCCTGTCCTCCGAGATCGCCCCGCAGAGCTACCACCGATTCAGAGGCCGGGAACTTGAAGACCCCAAGCGGGTTAAATAAATGGCAGGCGCCAAGATTAGATGCCGGGGTATCTATTGCCTCCCGTGCGGTGCACCGCCAGCCTACGTAACCTTAAGGGGTAGTGACGTCTTGGGAAACGATATCGCGAGAACTAATGTTGTTTCACCAAGAACCTGTCAACTTGGTTTTTGACATGGAACAGACGTGGTAGACCTTGTCACACAACGAGGCTCGACGAAGTGATGAAACCTTGAAAAGGGGTACAGTACCAGTTCCAGGTTCAAGGTTCTCACATCTTGCTCTGTAATGGACTTGAACAAACTGCCATACTTGTGCTCCAGTGGATGCAGGGACCATCACTTGGGTCCCTCACAGTGACAAATTCAGACATTAGAGGATGGCGAAGTATGCGCTTGGCGTGTCCTGTCTCAGATTTCTCGAAGCAAGGTATCATGGCTTCCTCGTGACTGTTTGAATGGGAAAACAGGATGTCAGCCAGAATGCCGCGTGATGACACAAACACCCCACAAAATTCGCTACTGTGCAATCTTACTGATTTCTCGGGTGAACATGTCTTTCATTTTTCCCGATGCAAGGCTTTGGTTGGGCTGACCTCCTGTTGAGTCTATACATGAGTTGGCAGTAGCTTTCCAGGATAGTAGAGTCTTCTAAATACGACTTGGTTGTACGAATGGTTCAGGACTATTGAAGTCTTCCATGCTCCAGACATGGCGCATCGAAATATTTGATTTGTTCCAGACTGGAGGAATATGCTTTGCCGCACACTAACCGAGAACACAAAACCCGCATTGGTGATTGAAAGTTGACCACCTGTTGTCTCTGAAATTGACCTCTCGATTACAGCGGACAAGGAAGCTGCAACACTTTTTACCGTCCACAGAATCAAGACGAAGTGCGAAATATCTTGAATCGTTGAAGTAGATAGCGACTCAACGTCCACTGATTGCGTTCTCACGCAGCTTGCTTCCCACTGCCCTTGCCATTGTCGTCGGTCTTGAAGCAGCAGAAGAACTTCTTTCCAGTCACGCAAGAATGACCTCCTCCCTTATCATCTTGCCCCTCCTTTTTCCATCCGTCGGGACATTTTGCATCGCAGAATGGGGCTTCGCCAAACCACTGGCATATCTCAGCCCGAGGTACCAATGAGATGTCGGGTTGTAAGTCTATAATTCTGGTCAGAGAGATTCCAGAAGTCAAAGTTCTGCATCTATGTGGCTTTTTAAACAAGCTAAGTCGAACTATTTCTATCCACGCGCGACTCGCTAGGAAACTTATGAAACTTACGGACTGGAGTGGCCGACGTTGTCAGCGCCAAAGCCGTCAACACGAGAATTTCGAGGCGCTTCATTTGTGTATGTATTGCGTTGCAGGTGTCGAGAGGTGAAAAGGTTACCGATATCTGTCCGCAATTTTGACAAGCGGACGCATGGCTTATTTAAATTCGACTGCGTTGAAGCTGAAAACCACGCATCGTGAGGTCGGGATGACGATGAGTGAGCAGTAGCACGTGCGACACGTTTGACTTCTCATGCAAGTCACCCACAGTAATGACTCTCGGAAGCCGGATCGCTCTCATTTCCAACCAATTTGTTGAGACTGTGCTTCTGTCGATGGGACGGCTCCTGACAACCAAGCTCACCCCTGCCATTGGAAAAGCTTGACCACACCAAAAGCGACTACCATACCGAACTATGGAGATTCATACCATATTTCGTCCAATCATTCAATATGTGCTGATATTCTCAGCTGGCATGATAGCACCAGCTGGGCGCCTTGCATCAGTCTGATGGCTATGAAGAAGACGTGCAAGGCGCCGAAGGAGTTGCTTACGAGATAAATGGACAGATAGAACCAGCCGCGGCAACGTGCCTGTCGAACGAGACAAGAAGTCTGCCTCACCTTGGACTTTGAGTAGTTAAGTAACACCTGGGCATATCGGTGAAAATGGTATGAGGTCTTCCCAAAATCTCCTGTGAAGAAAGTCTTACTTTCTCTGTCCCGACAACTGAAAGCTTCAGCACGAATAATCCGACGATAGGAAGGCACCTAGATACTATAAGTGCTTCTACTATGGGTACTTCAAGAATGCGATGGCTCTTCCTAGAGAAAGCCCGTGTTGCGTGGGCTTTTGATCAAGAGGCAATATCACGCTAACAGCATCCAATGTTTCGGCAGCGACCTGCACAAATTTGTTTGGTGACTCCTCAGTACAACATTGACGCGTAATTAATACCCCAGGGTCCTGTTATTTGTGCTGTATCTGCCACAGTTCTACTAGCCGACGAAGCGATTCCTTCCCGTGTTTTTTTGAGCTAGAGGAGTATAAGAGAATCATGGGGACGTCTAAATCTTGGATTCTCGAAGCGACAAAATCAAAGCTACTGGGAATTCGTTCCTGATTTCCTCAGAGAGGGTCGCAACGTTTCGTTTCATGCAGATCTGAGCCCCTCTGCAGGGCAGCTCTCGGCAGCCATGTTCGATCCTGGTGACCACAGGCATGCTTTCATCAATGTCTGCGTTTTATTCAATTTCATACGTGGATAGCGGAGCAAAAGGACTGTGGACGAGACGAAACTGCAAGTCATAGTATGGGGAGTTTGCCACGCGTACCACCTAGGGAACTGAAACCTGGTGCCTGAAGTAGCGGCGGATCGACGCAGTATCAACTGCAGAGGAATGCTCAATTTGCTGTATCGATAAATCCGGAGACATCACAGTCAACGTGGAGGGCTTTTATGCGAAGCCAATCACAAATAGCGTTGTGGGATGGCACCAATCTATCGCAGCATATTTAACTAGCTACAGCACATGCTAAGTTTGAAATTCTTCAAGGGAAATACGCGCCGAATTAGTTCCACTCAGTTTGATGACTTCACATGCACGTGTATGGGGTTGCCTATCGAGCATGCAATGTCTCACGTTCGGGGTGAATTGTTAATGGGGGCAAGCCAATGATTATTACAAAGCTTCTCACGTTCTCCTTCTGTAGAACACCATCCGGACGGGAACGATACAAGACTATGTAGGAGATCAGCGAAGACTGGCCAATCGGCGGTGGCATCAAATTGACTTATCCAGGGTCTATAGCGTGCTTTGAAGTCTTTCGAAGATTCATTCTAGACATCAACGCAGCCATTGCAGTGATTTCTAATAGAACACGCAACCACCCTTTCCATTTCGCCAAACCTTGCTTGGAAAAAGACACGTATCATCTTTTGCACCTCTCTTTCTACATAGAGAGATGCAGCCTCAAGTGACCCTAGGAATGGGTTCTAGAAGCGAGCTGTCAAATCCGACTTTGACACAACTGACTTGCTGGCTGCGGGAATCCACCAATTGGAAGATGGTCGGGAACCTCAGTAGAAGCTTCAACACTTGCGAAGCTTTCCTTCCATACGTAAGAGTCGATGAGAACTATGCATGAGGCGTGTTAGAGACTGTGTCGACTTAATGGAAAGGTAAGGTAAGTATCCTTGGCGGAATACCCCCGAAGCAGAATTTAAGACGAACACACATGTCTTTGTGATGAAGAAATAAGCACACCGTAGCACAAACGGCATCTTTTCTACACAGACTTCCCGAGCTCCTGTCGGAACTTCATTTACAAGTTAATTCAATAAGAGGCGAATGCTCGACGCGATTATCCCTTGTTCGGAAAGGGGGGAAGAGCATACCTTTATACTGTTTTGTTGCCTGATACAGTTGGCCAAGCTTCCTTCGCAGTAGACATACTGACCATCAGAGCTTCTTGGGCCATTCGAAAGGCACCAAACGATTTGGAATCTGAAATATAAATGACCAATGTACTTTGAAATGTTTCCTCAGCTCATCAACAGTACGCGGACAATGACGCCTTTCACTTGAACGGTTCGGAGTTGCTGAATGAACCACCAGTGGCCATCTCTTGGCTCCTCCGTTCTCGGTAGATTCAGAATCCGACACCGCGGTGTAAATCCACATCTAGAATGCCGACATTGAATGCTTCAGAGACTATGGCGAAGGAAAACGAGGGAATACTATTCATTCATATGACCACAGTC